TGGAAACCTACCAAGGAAAAGAATTATAAGGACATGAAAATAACTAAAATAGATTAAAATGAAAATTAAACTTTTGATCAGAAACCTATAAATCACATAAAATGGAATGGCCCCACACCATCTCTGTGCACATTTTTATCCTTTATTAAAATACTTTGTTTCTGACTCATTGATTTTGAGCAGGATTTAATACAGATCCTAGAGACTTTGGAGAAGAAATGATGCTTTGCACTATATACAAAATTCAGCCATTAGAAAAATTTTTTTTTAACTCCTGTACTTGGGCAGAGAATTAAGGTAACTGCAGTTTACCAGGGCAATTTCAGGCTATTATAAGTAAAATCCAGCTTCATGCCCCCTCCCCCCATCCCTACACCAAGTGACAAACTTACCTTGCTAGAAAATAAAAAGCATGTTTTTGATACAAGTGTTAGATTCTATCCATGGGATTAAAATAGACTAATTAAGAGCCTAACCAAAAAAAAATTATTTCAATATAATTACACATAATTTTCAGCATTAAATATACATGTCTCTAGAGATAAAATAGTTTTGATTTGCAAAATTGGGTAATTAAATTAAGCAGATAATTGTTCCTAAGGGCCTGGGCACCAGGTAATAGCAATTTGAAAAGTAACCAGCATCAATAATCAGTCTGATTAGTCTGCTAAAGATAAAAAATGAGTCTGAGAGAATAAAATTTATATTTTAGGAAAACCTCAAAATAATAAACCCCAGGTATTGCTGGTATCTCTAAATTCACCCTGTTTCTGCTCTGCCTTCTGGATGTGATGGACCTACCCACTCCCAGTTACAGGGCGGGCCACAATTGGCCTAAACCAAGTAGAATAATTCCATTCCCTTGAGTGGTGAACTTAACATAGTCTATTAATATAGTCTGTTCTTCACCATGGCCTAGGTTCCTAATTTCACATTTTAACTTTTGGATGACACTCTCATCTCCGTTTTCTTGAAAGTTTCATTGTAACATTCAATCAGCATCAATTCTCTCATGATGAGGGTTTGCCCATTGTAATAACTACACTATGCATGCAAGTCAACCAAATTTCTTATATTTACATGCATTTTAAGTATCTTCAATTTTAAGACAGTTCATCTTTCCTTATCACTTTCCCCTGCAAAATAATACAGAATCAAACAGATATTTATTCTACAGGATTTCCCACATTCTAGATTGGGCTGATTGCTTCTTTGAGCAGATTCTTCTATTCCACCATTCATCATATTTCTTGTAAAACACTTCTTGTAGAACTAGGGACTTGATTTAGAAAAGGTTTCTCTCTCTCTCTCTCTTTCTCTCTCTCTCTCTCTCTCTCTCTTCCTGGCAAGAAAATTTATTAGGTGTTGCCGTGTACTTCCTAATACATTACCTTAGGGACACTGAAAATCTGGTTGGTCACTTGTAGTGATAACAGAATGACTGGCAGTACCAGGTTTTTGCCAGGTTTAGCAGTCTCTTGGAATTGTTCCATATTCCTTTGTAAAGTTATTTTTATAGACCTAACAGTCTATTGCAGCATTATATAGACCTCAGGTGCACATGGTTACAAATCAACATCTTGATAGACTATATCAAGTTCACCGCTCAAAGTCCTATTCTATCCTTCACCATATAAAGGACTGCTTTTAGCTCCTTTACTGTCCTCCCACCTTCCCTTTTAGTAACCACTAAATTGGTTTTATAGTCTAAAGCTTTATTTTTGTTCTATTTAGTTCATTCATTTGTACCACAAATGCACCTCCCTATCGAAGGACATCTCGGCAATTTTAGTCTTTTACGCTCACAGATAGTGCCACCATGTATGTGTCATTTTGCATTTTCCTCCCAGAGCATGGCTAGGATTTTCTGGTTAGAAGGTGAATGCGTGTGTAATTTTATTAGATAATGACTATCCCTTCTGCAGCAACTATCATTTTGCATTCCCACATTAGTGATGACATCAGAGTTTGGCAGCGCCTGGTTCTCTATAATTCAACAACAGGTTTGTTGTAATTCTTTATTATTGCCAATCTGATACATGAGAATGGTTTCCCAGAGTCATTTTTTTCACATTATTTAAAATACAAATGAGTTTGAGCATCTTTTTATATGTGTTAGCATCACTGCATTTCTGTTTGTGTGAATTGTCTGTTCATTTCTTTAAGGCATTTTTCTGTGGAGTTAATGGTCTTTTTCTTCTCCACTTTTTAGAAGCTTGTTGTGTTATTGGTATCAGCTCATTCCAGTGATGTAAGTTAAAAACCTTGCTTTCAGGTTTGTCATTTGCTTTTTTACATTTTGTAGGCTGATTTTTCTTATGTAAAAGCTCTGCAGTCAAATTTATGACCCTTTTTCTTACTGCTTCTAGATTTTGAATCATTGTTGAGGACCTTTTTCTATCCTAAGTTTTAACTAGGAAGAAAGTGAAGTTAGCTTTTAATACTCATTTATCAGTGCTATCATTTCTCCCATAATTCTCTTGCTCTAAATTTTATATCTTGGTTATAATATAATGTTAAATTATTATGATGACAACCATAATAAGTTACTAGCTTCATTACATACATCCTATTCATCTTTCTCATCTATCCCTCACGACAGCCCTACAAAGCTTTATTATTCTCATTTTACAGAGGGCGAAACAGGTCCAGAGAGCAATCTGCTAAAGTCACAGCACTGAGTGAGTGCACCTGTTCTGTCAGAAACAAGCTTAAAGAGTTGGCCCAAGTTTTCTGCTTCTGCTCTGAACCCAGCAGTATAGGGGTTCTGTGGGGAGACAGAGACTATTAAAAAAATGAAGAGAAAAGGAAACAAACAACAGAGTAAAAAGGTCACCTAAGGAATGTGAGAATAATATGCATACAGATCATGTATCTGTTTAGAGGTGAATAGCCTAACTATACAAAAAACTCCTACAGGGCCTCCCTGGTGGTGCAAGGGGCTAAGCACCCAACTATGAAGCAATCTGCAGCCTCTGCAGCACGAGTTCAATCCCAGGTCAGGGAGCAATCCACATGCCGTAGCAGACCTCTCTTGTCTCGCCCGCTGCTCCCCTCAGCAATGTATTTCAGTCCATCTGCCTGTTCTGTTCCCCACTTTGTCTCTAGTGAATCCTTTTACCCCCTGCATCTGTGGCCTGTACCCCAGCTCTTATATGCATAAATAAATACTTTAAAAAAATAAAAAAACCTACAGCTCAATACCAACAAAGCAAATAATCCAATTAAAAAATGGGCAACTGATTTGAATAGACCTTTGTCCAAAGTAGACAGATCCATGACCAATAAACATATAAAAAAGATATCCAACAACACACACCATCAGAGAAATGCAAATCAACACTTCGGTGAGATATCAACTCCCACCCATTAGGAAAAGAGAAAAGAAAGGAGCACATCGTGGTGAGAAGGTAGAGACACTGGAGCTGGTGGGGATGTAATATAGCATAATCACTATGGAAACCAGAATGGAGGTTCCTCCAAAATTAAAAAATAGAATTACTATGTGATTCAGTAACCATACCTCTAGATATAAATCCAAAAGTATAGCAAAGAAATATTTGCAAACCCATATTTCTCGCAGTGTTATTCCTAGCTGAGAAGTGGCAGCAACCCAAATGTCCTGTGAGGGATGGCTAAGAAAATGTGGCAAATACATAAACTGGGATAGTATTCTGCTTTAGGAAACAAGGAAATCCTGTCACATCCTATCCTGGATAAACTTTGAGGACATTCTGCTAAGGGAATAAGCCAGACAGAAAAAGTCTTTCTCTGCATACCTGTACTTACATGAAGTATCTCAGGCAGTCAAAAGCCTAGAAACTGAAGCTGGAATGGCGACTGCTCAGGACGGCAGGGAGAGGGAAATGGAGGCTTGTTCTACGGATGTGGAATTTTAGTTTTGGGCAATGAATACAGTCCAGAGATCTATTGAATAACAATGTGAATATAGCTAATAATCCTAAACTGTACCTTAAAAAATGGCCATGACATCTATTTTGGGGCATTTGGGTTGTTTCCATAGCTTAGCTATTGTAAATAGTGCTGCTATAAACATAGGGGTGCAGGTGCCCTTTTGAATTAATGTTTCTGTGTCCTTTGGGTAAATACCTAGGAGTGAAATTGCTGGATCATATAGAAGCTCTGTCTTTAGTAGGCTGAGGAATCTCCACACAGCTTTCCATAGTGGTTGGGCCAATTTTGCACTCCCACCAGTCCAAAAATAGATGACTGGATTAAGAAGATGTGGTATATATACACAATGGAATATTACTCAGCAATCAAAAAAGATAAACTCATGCCATTTGCAGCAACATGGATGGAGCTGGAAGGGATCATGCTCAGCGATATAAACCAGAAAGAAAAAGAAAGATACTGGATGGTCACACTCATAGCAGGAATTTAGAAAACCTAAATAAGGGACCAGGAAAAAGACTAATTATAATAAAGTAAAAATCAACAAGCAACTATAAACCAGAGACACACTAAGGGAGGGTGGCAGGAGAAGAGGGATTAGGGTCAGAATAAGGGGGTGGGAATTGTATGCGGAAAACAACCAAAATGAAAATGCATACATTGTGCAAAAATGAAAAATGATGTAAGAATTATATAAAATAATTATTAAAAAAAATGACCATGACAGTAGATTCCATGTCAAGTGTTTTCTTTTTACCACGATTTAAAAAAAGTAAATTAAAAACAAAATAATAAAGAGCAGGGCTGCCCCACGATGCGCTCATGTTTTGGTTTCTTTAGCTGTCAAGCGCCCCCGGCAGTTCTTTTTTCCCCTAATTACAGGACCTCAAGGGTCCAAACGCTCCGTCCCCCGAGAAGACGTGACCTTGAGTTTCCGCCAGGTGTCGCCCTCCCCCAGGCCCGCCTTCGCCCCGCCCCTATCCCCGCCCACCTCCGGTTTCCCTCCAATCGCGGCCCTAGCCCCGCCCCCGTCGTAGCCCCGCCCCCTGCCCTAGCCATTTCCGGCATCCGGGCGGGGTGGGCTGGCTGGGAAGCCCGGCGGGAAGCATGGAGGTGCAGGGAGAGCCCCCCGCCAGCCCCCGCTGCTCCGCGTCGCCCCGGAACTGCGCGGGAGTCCCCGTGTCCAAGGAGCTGCTGACTGCGGGCAGCGGCGGCGGCCGAGGTAAGGCGAGAGAGGCGGCAGCGTGGGGCGCACATGTGCGGCCACGGGCCCAGGCCGGGCAGCCCGAGGGGAGCCCCTTGGGCGGCCGCGAGGGGTTCGGGGGTACGGGGCCGGCTCCCGGGCGTGGGTCTGTACTCCGCGGGCCAGTGTGGCCCCGCTCTGCGGAGCCCCGCAGCACGACCCCTCCCCTAAGGGCTGGGCGTTGGGGCCTGCTGTCTGCGCTGCTGGGGGAGCTGATCACTCTCGTGGCTGCACCCCGGGCTTCCCCAACTTTCACCCCAACATACCTCTCCTGCAGAGGGAGGCAGGCGCCCCGGGAACCCACACTGGATTTCAGACGCTGCAACAACTAAAAAGCATGGGTTGGAACCTCAGGGCCACTGAGTAATGCCCTGTGGGGCTTTAGGAGAGTTGCTTACAGTTTTTGACTTTTGGGAAATGGAGGTAGTAGCACCTGTCGAATTTTTGCGAGGAGAAGGGCTTGGGCATAGTCTCAGTATATGTTAGTTTGAAGAAAAGGTTCTGAGAGAATAAAGCATCCAAAGGGGTTATGATCATAATAGTCAAAGCTCATGTAGGGCTTACTGTGCCTCACTCTCCCCCACCCCACCCCCAGTAAATTAACTAATTTGATACTCAGCAACCCTGTGAAGAAGGTTCTGTTATCCCCATTTTCTAGATGAGGAAACAGTCCTGAGTAGTAACTTGCTGGGAATCATGTGGCTGGAAAATGGCAAAATGGGGACTTGAATCCAGTCACTCTGCCTCTGATTTACACTAATCCTGTACACTAATCCAATTGTTCCATCTAAAGCTGTCAGCAAGGAATGTGTGTTGGGCTCTGCTTTGTGAATAGACAGGATTTGGGTGCCAGAGTGGGGAGATTTTGCAGGTGTTGGAAACAGGATGGCAAAGCCTTGTGCTTTGGAAAGATGGGTCCTGTTCCCTTCTTGAGCTCTGATAGGCTGGAGAGTTGTGTTGATTCCAAGAGCAATAAATGGCGAGGCTGGAAAGATGGAGTGGAGGGGGTAGGGGGATTTCCTCAGTTGGTTGTTATCTCTAAGTTGGGGAACTCACCAGGTAAGAGTGTTTTATAAATGAAGAGATTGCCCCAGGAGGGCAGGTAACTTGTCTGATACAATGGCAGCTGCTAACCATTTCTGCCTTCACTAATCCATTGTACTTTCTGCTGCTCCCTCCACTCCGCCATTGTGCTTTTGCCCTTGATGGATTTCTGGTCAAAATGCAGCTTAATGTGCACTTATTACTTAGTATGGGTGACAGAGATGCATGGACAGGCTCATGAAAGGGGAGATGGATGTATATGAAGAACTAAAATGTTGTAATGAAATGTGGGTTGCCTCTTTCTCTAGAAATGTCTTGGGGAATGTGGAACAGTCAAGACTTGCGAGTACTCAGGGAAAATTTGCTGATGAGTTCCTATTTCTATTTGCGATGATAATTATGTGTATATCTCAGGTATATGGGACAGGTTGCTCATCAACTCCAAGCCAAATTCCAGAAAGACTTCTACTCTTCAAACAGTCCGCATAGAGAGGAGTCCCTGTAAGTATCTCCTCTCCTTCCCCTCTCTTTCAAGGTCTGTCTCGATGCTCCATTTTGCTTAATTAAGCAGTTATTTGATATTCATGGTCAGCTATCAAATCACAAGGTCCAGAGAAACAAGTCTTACTTGGGATTTATATTTTGGAAATTTACACTGTAGCTTTATTTACAAGGTACTGTAGTGCACCAAGATAGGATTTCTTACATTGTTCCCTGATTTGAGAGGATGACTTTCCCAGAAAAACATTTTTGGAAATCAAAAACAGTTACTCATCTCCATGAGGATTTTTTTAAAGGTTATTGAGCCCAGGTTTAATAAACACGTATGGGAAGCCAGCACCATACCATATCCCTTTAAATTGGACACAATACGTGATCTAACAAGGCCAGTTCTGTTCACTAATTATTCTATAATATTGCTCTACTGCACACTCATGATGATGTTCCACACTCAGACATGGTTCACGTAGCATTCTTATAATACACAACATGTGTACAATTCAATCTCCGTGTTTAAGAGAAAGAATATAAAGATAAGACTAGTGAACACAGTGTAGATGATGCATGAGGTTTTCACACCTATAAACTAAGACATCTTGGGTATTCTGAGAGGGGAACTTAGTCACGGTGAGCAATACATGTATTAGAACAGCTAAAATTACCTCATGGTGGCTGGCCATTCAAATACAGGTGTTTGTGTGGAGTTAGGTGTTCTTTTAGGGGGGAGCGGGAGGGTGAGATACATACCTAGGTGTGGAATTAATTGCTAGGTCATCTGGAAAGTGTATTTTTTATAAAGAAATTGTCAACTTATTTTCCCAAGTTGGTACACCATATTGCATTCCACCAGCCAAGTACAAGAGTTTAGTCATCCATTGTGTGGTGGGCCCACCAATTCTGGGGCACCAGCAGGGAGTTGGAGAAGTCGACTCAATTCTGACACTGTCTATCTGGAGATAATGTCATGTTACACGAGTTCAGGGTTCAGTCCCCCAAGACCTCCTCCCTCTACGTCAGACCCCAGCCAAAAGTCCCAGTTACCTGTGCTTCTCACCTCCCTGCTCCAGATGGAGGCTCCCTTGACCCCCTCCTCAGATTCCAGGTGCCTCTTGCAAGCCCAGGTTATTCAGTTACTCTTTGTTACCCGTCTTCTAGGAGGTTCTGGTTCTATGAAAAAGGCAAAACAGTTATACTGATGTAAGAGTTCAAGAGGATGGAAGATTTTTTAAATGGAAGGAATTTGAAAGTTTTTAAATTATTACTATGAAATTCAGAGGGGCTTTATAGGAATTTCTGGATTTTAAAAGTTGAAGTTTGGCCAAATACTTACATAAATACCCATGAACTGCATTTTCTCTCCTTAGTGTTAGACCAAGTGCAGACTTTTCTCCCGCGGATGGCGCAGGCAAATGAGACACTAAGAAAAGAAATGGCAGCTGCGCCTCCTGGTCGTTTTGATATTGAAAATACTGATGGGTCCCCTGGAAAAGTCATACAAATGGTAACTATCTTTGTTTTCGTGTCATGAAGTAAAATCACCAGGGTGCCTGGTCGCCTAGGAAAAAGAGCTTTACCGTTTTATTTCCAGGTGTGATTTTCCTTCCTGGAAAGTCGGCGCATGATCCAGCACTGCACTGATACTTGCTCATTTTATGATCCAAGGTCTTAGAGGTCAGGAAGCTTACCTGGGTCCAGGTTAGGGGTTTAGTAGCACAGAGTCCTAAGAGGACTCTGTCAAATATTACATGTGCTATCTGGAAGCATTCCTTTATTAAATGTCCTAACTAGATCTTTTTTCCCCCATCTGAGGCTCAAAACTGGTGATTATTATCTGATTCATTGATAATGCAAGAATAAATAATGCAGGGCCTCCCCGGTGGCGCAGCGGTTGAGCGCTGGGTTGCGAAACTGCGCGCGGCCTCTGCGGCGCCGGTTCGATCCCCGGCTGCTCCCCGGCCACCGGAGGAGGATCCCACATGGCGTGCAGACCTCTCCTGCCGCCCGCTGCTCCCCTCAGCAGTGTCCTTCGGTCCTTCTGCCTGCTCTGCTCCCCGCTCTGGCTCTGGTGAATTCTCTCACCCTCCCTCCCGCACTTCGGACTGTACCCAGTGCATGTATAAACAAAACAAACAAACAAACCAGCAAACAAATAAATAAAGCATGCCTCTATTAAAAAAAAAAAAAAAAAAAAGAATAAATAATGCATTTATCAGAATGACTGGTTATGCAAGCCACGTGTGAAAACTGTCAATATGGGTTCTTATTTCTACGCTGGAATTTTCATCACAGTTCTCTTTCTCGCACTTTCTCTCATCTAGCTGTCTCGATATCATCTATCTGCCTGCCTGTCTGATCTATCATCCATCTACCTTTATGTCCAAATGAATACATCCTTTCTTAGTTTTACTGAGGAATAATTGACCAAAATTGTAATATTTGAAGAGTAGAATGTGATGGGTTTTTTTTACCACAATGAAGCTAACAGTTACCATATTTTTTGGTGCTGAGATCACTTAAAATCTACTCTCTTAGCAAGTCTAAAGCATATAGTGTTGTTATCAATAGGCACCATGTTATCCATTAGATTCCTCAAAACTTATAACTGACCAAATTGTCCCAATTTCACACAGCCCCTGTCTCCTGGCAACTTTCATTCTCCTCTCAGCTTGTCTGAGTCTGGCCTATTATGTCACTTAGCATGATGTGCTCCGGATTCTCCATGTCAAAGTGCCCGTTACATTTCTCATGAATTCCAGGTTCCTGAGGGGCTGGCGTGAGTCTGCTGCAGCCCCCTGCCTAGTGTCCTGCCTGCTCCCTTCAGTGCTTAGTTCTGGTTCCATCTCCTTGTTCCTCGCTCTTCCCTGCCGCTCCCTCTACAGAATGCCCTGCCCCAGGTTTCTCCACGAGGACGCTCCACCTCTTCCCAGTCATCACACCAGGAAACCCTCTTACCCCGTGGGCCACACCTGTTATCCACTTACCTGGCTTTATTTGTCTCTATTTGCATTACCTGCTTTATGCTTTATGTGTAATTGTTTATTCTGCAAAGAGCCAGAGGGTAAACATAGGAGGCCCTGCGGCTGCACCGTCTGTCGTGACTAGTTTCTTCAGCATTGATGTAATGGCAGCTTAGGCAACATATGCTCAAGGGACGAGTTTTATAAACTTTGTTTATGGCCACTGAAATTTGGATTTCACATACTTTTGCCATGAAAGGTTACTCTTTTTCTACCACTTAAAAATATAAAATGCATTCTTAGCTCATGAGGTAAACAAAAATAGACAGTGGGCTGGGTTTGGCCTGCCAGCCCAAAAATGCTAACCCCTACCCCCAGGTGGGAGTTCCACAAAGGTGAGCATTTTTTGGTTCATGTTGAATCTCTGGTTCCTACTGTGGTGCCTGGCTCATGTTAATACTTGTTAAATCTGTTGAATGAGTGTTGAGCATATGAGGAGATATAGAATTAGGTTGTGGGAGGTTCCTTAGACTTGCAGTGAGTGTAAATTATGGCGGCGAACTCTGGCAGCTAAAGAATCAAAGAGCCAGCTTGTATCAGAAACAATTCTTGTCCTTGGTGTGTCTTTATGACGTTTTAGGACACTGCCCTGAAGTAAATTCCACCCCCTGGTGCTTTTTGTAGGACGTGGCCTTGTTCGAGATGAATCAGTCGGATTCAAAAGAAGAGGACAGTTCAGAAGAGGATTCACAAGACAGTTCAGAGGACAGCTCAGAATCTGAAGGTGAAGGTGACAGCGCCTCTTCAGAAGTCACCATCGAAAATATTAAGCTGCCTCATTCGGAAGGTGGAAAAGGCAAGATAGAAGTTTTGGACAGTCCTGCCAGTAAAAAAAAGAAGTAGTGGAATAAATGACGTAAGAAGCAGGAGAGCACTACCTGCTCATCCCTGAAAAAGTGGCTCACTGGTTATTTCGCATCTCAGGTACCTGTGATGCCTTCTGCAACAGCATTTGTTTCTCAGAAGAGCAAAAGTTGGCTTTTCAGGCATTGGAAGAGGTGGCGTTTGGGGATCTTTGCAGAGTAAATGGTCTTCGATCTCAGGCTAAGGCGAGTGTTTTGCAACCTTAACTATGTGTATGATGATGAGTGCATTTGTCAGCATCTTCCCCTTTAGTCTGCCCGAACTTCAGTAATAACAGATGTCTTTGAAAGTAGATGTGCAAACCACCTGTTCTTTTTTGTTTAAGATGATTCTATTGGATAAAATAGCCTAAGTTTTTTTTGGTTTTTTATTTTTTTAGGTTATTATGAAGTCAAATTTATTTGTCATCATCAAAATGGGTCCAATGAGGGCCTTTTTTTTAAGAGAAATAAATTTTACAAAGACAAGGATTATTCACATTCAGCTGACTACAGGCATATCTTCTTTCATTAAAAAAAAAAGCCTTTCCAGTTTGAGCTGTGTTTGAATCACTGTGGTTGACTCACCACTCCACATGTAGAATTTGCAGGTTTAATTATTCATGGGTTTTTTGGTTTTGTTTTCTTTTTATCATGAAACATTTTTTTTTTTTTGGTCCTAGCTACTAAAACAATGCTACATAGTTGTCCACTGTTTTCAAACCTATCAAATGTAGAAAGCAGGAATGGCAATGGGAGAAAATCCAGGCGAGCATAGTACAAAGATGGCAACCACTGGGTTTCCCTTTCAACTAGCTCTTCCCCAATTGCGTGAAGAAATGAACAGATGTGGAAATGATCTTTCTCAGCTGGAAAGGGTACTCGACTGTATGTTGTAGCACCAAACACAAGTGTGATGAGGGATTGGTGTAAATATTTAATGATTACCTTACCACCAGATAATATAATATGCTGCATTGTGAGAAGAGTTGAATTTGTCCAGTTCACTTGTTAACGTGGTGCATGGTACACAGTAGGCACTGAATAATGTTAGTAACTGGGTTATCAGATATATGAGGGTATATAGGACATCTTAAGCCACAATGGACTACTCCAGGCAGGGGGATATGAAGGTAGAATGTCACAGAGAACACATATCCAAGTCAAAATAGACACACTAATTGGTAGAAGAGATTAGTCATTCTAGAAATACTACCTACTATGTAAAATTTTAATGTTTTTCTCCTGATATGACTATCTCATCTACTAAAACTATGCTTCCTGTACAGTTGAGGAAGTCAGTTAAATTCAAACCCTCTGGACATTCTTGTGACGTAAGGGAAAAAAACCATAAAATTTAACATATGATAAGGATGCTATTTTAAGTGTAAAATAGATCATGTATTTAATATACAATGTCAAGACTGGCTCACTATTTTAAGGCTAGATTCTAGCCTCAGTATGCTAAGATAAAGTATTAAAGATAGAAGAAAGGTACAGAAATAAAACTCTGAAAGTTCTATTGCTAAAATAAGAATATCAAAGTCTGAAATCATAAAGGAAAGGCGCAGAAAAATTCACCCTCATAAATATTAAAAATGACTGAGTGGCAAATTTAAAAGATAAGGGATGTATTAGAAAAAATATTTGCACAGTGAGAGTGATTAATATATAAAGGGCTCTTCCAAGTTAGTAAAACAAGGAAGAATGTCTCAGTAGTGAAAAAGTCCTAGGAAATGAACAAATAATGTACAGAAGAAAAGTTCAGCCTCATCCATCTATCAAAATGCAGATAGTATACTTTATCCATCAAACATCGTATACTTTACCCATCAAACTGGCAGATGAACCAGAGCTAGTATATGCTGCGTTCTTTCTGTGTCAGCCACTGTTGTTAAGCGTTCTACGTGTAAGAGTTAATGTTCACACATACACAAGAACTCATTAAGTTGTACATTCAACATGTATGCACTGGCTGCATATTATATCTTAATTGTTTCGTTTGTAAGCAGTTTGCCCTACAGTCTATTTGGAAAATGAGTCACTATCGTGCTTTCTCTGCTTGATGCTGAGCTGTGACAATGGCTGCCGTTTACAGAATGGTTTGTTCCCCCTCAGATTGATGAAATACTCTCTTCACACCTGCGGGGTACATCTTCCTGTGGCTCCAATCTTATTTCAGAGTTAAAAAAGTAAAAAAAAAAATTAGTGGTGTTGTCTTTGAAGAAAATCCTTCATTCTGAATGAATCTCCCATCTGTTTCCATACTATTTTCATCATGCGTCAAACATGGTATATTAAAAGGGAAAAAAACTGCCTTGCAAAGTAGTTTGTATTCTTGTATATCCACTGTGGTAGGAAAGACAAGAAAAGACGTGAGTCTTCTTTCATTTGTATTTTCCTCTGTGCCTAGGGTTAGTGCCTTTTACTAAACTGGAATGTACAGTAAGTTCATGAAACCATTTTTCTCTTTAATAAAGTAATTTACCTTAAACATCTATGGTTTACAATCCTGAAGGGCAAAAGACAGGTTAAACATGGATGGTAGACTTTTCATGGAAAACCTTGGCCAGTGATTGCTGGGAAGGGAGGAATGAGGAAAGTTGTTAGGAGACCTTTGGACAGGAAGGTACTTTTCACTTTTGAAAGAGGCCTATGAAGAGATGGTTCCTTTCTTCTTTCAGAAGGAAGGACTTGAGGGTTCCTGGTGGCCTTGAGGATAAGTCTCGATGCTATCACCTCTATGGCCTGAGTTCATCCCCGGCCAGGGAGGTAACCCACATGGCACAGCAGACCTCTCTCGCCTGCTCCTCCCATCAGCAGTGAATTTTAGTACATCCACCTGTTCTGCTCCCCACTCTGTCTCTGGTGAATCCTCTCACCCCTTGCACCTCTGGCCTAAACCCCAGTTTAATGCAAAAAAAAAAAGTCATATTTATAAAAAAAAGATGGAAGGACTTTAATATCTTATGACTAGAATTGATTCCTGGAACTCCACTGGAGGGCCTCAGTGGAGCCAGCTCTTGAGCATAAAGTCATTACACAAAGGATAGCAGGAAATCAACAGCATCAGTCAGTGTACCAAACATCCCTGCAGACTGAACTATTCCTGGACTTGTTTGGTGGTCTTTTTTTTTTTTAATGTGATATAATCTTGCCATGTAACATAAGTTTTAGGCATATAACATAATGATTCAATATTTGTACGTATTATGAAAAGATCCATACGTCTGGTTAACATCCACCATACACAGAAATTTGTTTTCCGTGATGAGAACTTCCAAGGTCTACTCCTTTAGCTCCTTACTGCTTTTCTTTCATTCAAGAAAATTAAGAGCTAGTCTGCCTACCCCCATTTACAGATGAGAAAGGCGGCCTGGAGATTCTACAACAAATCCCCTAAGGTCTCGCAATATGTAAGGGGTAAGGCCGTGTTTTAAGTTTAATCTAGCTTTGCCTCGGTGGGACTAGGAGGTATGGTGCCCAGATGCTGTCCTAGCCTAGCCACAACTCAGTTTCCTCTGTGAAGCGGGGACAAAGGTGTGTTGGTTGTGAGTGAACACACAGCACATGCTTAGAACAGCAATCAGCAAATGTGAGGCCCAACTGTGCTCTAAGAAGAGTGCACGGTGGTAGCAAAAATGTGGGGGGGGACAGTAAGGTTATAGGTTGCTAGATCCTTCACTCAAAACTCCACTTCTGGGAATTTATTCTGGTAAGTATGGCTGTGCTCACACATTTCTGTAGAAGATTTATTGTGATGTTTAAAATAGCAAAAAAACTAAAAATGTCCAATAATAGAAACCAAGTTGAGTTAAAACCATGGAACATATGCAGATATATTGACCAGAAAGATGCTTACACATTGTTAATTGACAAAAAAGTGACAAAGTTATAAACAGTATTATTGATTCTATTAAAAAAGTATAGAAAAAGTCTGAAACAATCTGAAATATATGGTTATTTGTATGGACAGTTTCTGGTTGAGTCTTACCTTCCAATTTATGTGTTTTTACATAGTTACATATTTAATCATTCAAAAAATCCACGTGAGTATTATTTGCGTAATAGTAATAGAATTCCAGCCCATCCATCATGTCTCATGTCTGACAACATTCAAGCCTTCGTTTCCTTTGGCCTTTATTTTCTCGGAGTGCAGGTATGTGGAAACCAACCTTGATTCCTCACTTTGGGTCCAGCCACCTTGACAAGACCTCTCACAGATGAGCATTCTGCTAAGTTTTTTCCTTGGATAAACATCTTAGCCTGTGCTACTATTCACTACCTGGGACCCGACAGGCACTGGCAATGACTGTCTCCACTTGGCTAAGACCACTGTCTTCCCTGCTTGATCGCCTGTTCTACCACCGAATAGCTGTGAGGTCTGGGCAAGTTGCTTTTACTTGAAAGCAAATATATACCAAGCTCCTCCTGTGTGTTAGGCACTGATGCCATGGCACTGAACAGAGGAAGCACTTGTCTGCGAAGTTTACATTCTAATTGGGAGAGAGAGAAATCTATGCCAGGTTCTGGCCAGTGCCATGAAAAGAACAGAGTGTAAGAGAATAAAGCATAGCAGGACAGATGAGGAACAAATGAGGGACATAGGTGCGAGTTTAGAAAGAGAAGTCAGGGAACCCGTCTCTCTTAGATATTTGAGGAGAGACCTGAAGCTGGGAGGCTGGATGTGGGGAGGAAGGAGGCAGAGGTGCGCCTCCCCAGTTTGCACTTGTTCTGATTATGGCTTCTCTTCTAATTCTGTGTTCATCGAGGTCAAACTGGCACCTCGAAGTCAGTCTTGAGATTTATACACAGAAATCAGCAAAAGACGTAACTCAGTTGGTTTTACCCCCAGAGAGGAGAGAGCCGTTTGTTAAATACACACCAGCACACGACGGGGACGAGAGAGCGGTGAGTGTAAAGGCCCTGAGGTAGGCGCACTTTGGCCTGTCTGAGGAACATCAAGGAAGCCGGCATGGCTGGACAGAACGAGGCAAGTCAGCAGGAAGGAGATCATGGTGGCCGGAGCAAGATGGATAGAACCCTGTGGGCCGTGACAAGTACACGGGCTTTGTCCTAAGTGAAATGAGAGCCACAAAGAGGTTCTGAGCAGAAGAGGGATGGTCCCCACCTGGCCTAGGCTTTGAACAGACCGACACAAGGAGGCATTACCAGCGTGGAGACCGGAAGAATTGAGTTAAGAGAGGGTGACGATGTGATAGTGGTGAAGGCAGTAAGAAGAGCACATTTATTCCTTCACTTCTGAGTTAAAATTATTCAATTTATTCACTTTTTCAGAAGTTGTAAAGATTAAAGATCGTATTTTCAAAGTGCTTGGCAGTGATGGCGGCAGAGCCCTCCATAACGGATAGTGTTAGTGCTGTGGACAGAATGCCAAAGCCGGGCTCGGGGCAGGGTGCTCTCATCTACTTAGGAAGGCGACTGTGTTCTTGACAAATGGGAGCACTGAGGACTCTAGGACCAGGCTGGGGGCAGAAGAGGCCAGGAAGCATGTTTAAGCGAAAGGGGCCTGCATTAGTAAGGGCATGAGCAGAGGACTGGAAGGAACACAGAACCGCCTCAAGTGTCCACACTGCCCCAGTTTGGGGAACAATCAGCAGTTCTATTTCTTAGTAGAGTAAAATAATCAGTGAACTAAAGAAGGGAACAGCGATCATTTGGTCTGTGTGTTAATCACTTAGCAGGAGGCTGTGACCCACTGGGTTTCCATTCACTGGTAATGTTATGAATTCCATGGGGCCTTTGATTCTGATTAGCAGCTATTAAGAACTTTAGAACTTGCTATGAATAAAAGGAGTTCTTAATCTGGGCTTTAGGAGGTCTGTGAATCTCTTGAAGATATTTGCAGAATTAGAGTGTGCACGTGGGCTTGGGGGCTAGAAATGGGAGGGGGGGAGTCCACAGCTTTTATGGATTCTCAGAGATTGGAGGCCCAAAGAAAGATTAAAAACATTAATACTGAAATTAGTATTTGAGGATAAAAGCAGCCTAGAATGGACATGATTTGCTTTGCTATTTTAGGTATCATTAAAATAGTTGGTAAAAAATAGTTTAAATTACATGAAATCAGACAAAGCACTGTACTTAAAAGTGATTCCTTTATAAAATGCCATTGTCATCTTATTCGAATATGAACTGCTAGTTTGGACCCAGAGAATACTCAATCCAAAATTTCAGAATGCCAAGCTCTGATGATAAATGAACTACAGTATAATTTAAAAATGCCTACAGGCAAAATTTGCTCTGTTGATCATGCCGGAACCATTCCTGCTATTTTTCCTTTGAGTGTTTTCTGCCTCAGATTTTGTGTTGTTGTTTATTGATTCCCTGTATTCTTATATAATATTACCTTCTTTTAAGCTGCCAAGTTTCCACAGTAACAAGTACTCCCTAAGGGTTTCTTCAAAGGCAAAGAGCTAGGAATTTTTATGGAATTTTTTGTTTAAAAAGAGGGTTAGTAGAAGTTAATTGTCTGACCAACTTCCAGAGTGTTCCATGATTCAGTAACTCACCACCTTATTTACCCACCTAATTACTTTTGTCTGACAATGGGCAATTTGTGAGTACCGCAGGGGTTGTGATAATTCCCATTTCTTGAGTATAGACTATGGTCTAAACACCTTAAGTACATTCTGTGTATAATCCATTGAATCCTCTAACCTTCTAACAAGACAGGGATTTTATCCCTACTCTATAGGTACAAAGGCTCACATATATTGGGTAACTAACTTGCCCTGGGTCCTGCCCAGTGAGTGGCAGAACCAATCAGTAGGCAGAAGAACAGAAAGCAAGATGTCCTATGGAGGGTGAGTGAGCCTCAGAGAGAAAAGCATGCTCTCCCTGAACCACTGTCATTTTGCATTCCAGGCATTTCCAGTGCTTGGGCCAGGCACTGTATTGAGACAATGGATGAGAAAAAGCAGCACTGGAATCGATTAACTACTGAAAAGGGTTGTAGGGAAATTAATACTTGTAGTTAATTTACCTCAATTTATTGTTAAAATAGTTACTGAGAGAACAGTTCATTTCTGTTGAGTACCAGGAACAAAGCACAGTGTAAGTTGCTTTACTTATATTATTGCATTGAATCCTCATAAGAATGTGCCTGGGGAAGGCATTATTCCCCCTACCTTACAGGAAAGAAAGCAGAGGCTCAGAGAAGTTGCATAAGTTTTTCAAAGTCACACAGGAAGATGGTACAATAGGTCCCAAGACCAGCCTCAAAAGTTATTTCTTTTCTACTAAATCATACTGTAAAATTCACATTAGAAGCTATTTATTAGACTTCTAAATACTTAGGGTGAGAGAGCATGTCTTTAAATTTTGTGTACACCTAGGATATAACAGCACCTCCCACCTGGTAGGTACTCAAGAACCATTTATGGGTGGGCCACACATCACAGTGGGTTCAAAAATAGAATATCAAAGGCACAAAGATGTATCATACCTACAAATATGAAAAAAAAATGCCTCTTTCACATTCCTTAGACGGTTAACTATTGTTTAAGAGCAAAATTATAGAAAACCTTTTATACCTCATCTGTGCAGCTCAGAGGTTAAAACCTGTACAAATTATACAACAATTCCCAGTTCCCCCCAAGAGCACCTGTGCATTATAATTAAATGATAGGGATGTTTTCAAGATGAACAACCCTGACAGAGTCTTGGCAGAAAAAAAGCAGCTTGGTACTGTAGAACTATGGATGACATACATCAAAACCCCCTAACTGTTAATCATTTTAAAATCTAAACGGTGTATTAGAAATACTCAGACACGTGGCCTGACCCTCTTCATGGTGCACGTGTGTATTTTGGCTGCGGGCTGATACCTCCTTCCTGAGCACACTCGGGGATCCTCGGTGTATGGTGGGGTGAGGATGGTGCTGGCCCCGAGGGCTGTCTGGTGAAGGCGTCGCTCTAATACTCCAGCGTCACAGTCTTGGTTTTGAGGTATTCATTGAGCGCTTCCTCACCTAGGAAAGACAAAAGAAGGTGAGGGACCACGTGCAGAGGTGGATGTGACGTCACCAGACTTCTGGCTACGAGGTGGGGTGGGGAGTTGAGGCTGAGGCCAGTGCTTCTTAAGCTCATGTGGATCACTTGAAGAGCTTATGGAACTGCAGATTCTGGTTCCATTAAGCTCCCCACCGGCTGGAGGTTAGGCTGTCTAATTGCTCCCGGATGATGCTGAAGTTCCTGGCCCCAGGACCATGCTGGGAGGAGCTCGGGCTCAGCCCAGCCTCCAGGCCTTCCAAGAATCAGAGCTGGCTGCTGGCTTCATCACTCAAAACCTTTCTCTGTCTCGCTGCTGGGTGACAAAGTGCATTTCTAGCCTTCACCCATTTAGGCTGGGCCGAAGGGACAACGTACTTGACCTTCAGATTATATTAAATGAGCTCACTTCCACAGAGAAGAGAAAAATTGGAGGTTATTTGGTCCAATCTTATTTCAAAGATAAGGAATATACCCTTCTCCTGTTATACATAGTACTGTAAAATCTGAGAAGAGCGTATCCAGGCAAAAAATAAATAGGTCCACCTTTCTGTTCTATTCTCTTTTTTTTTTTTAAAGATTTATTTATTTATTTATATAAGCACTGGGTATAGTCAGAAGAGCGGGAGGGTGAGAGAATTCACCAGAGCCAGAGCATGGAACAGAACAGGCAGACTGACGAAATACACTGCTGAGGGGAGCAGCGGGCGGCAGGAGAGGTCTGCGCGCCATGTGGGACCCTCCTCCGGTGGCCGGGGAGCAGCCGGGGATCGAACTGGCGCTGCAGAGGCTGCGGGCAGCTTCCCAACCCAGCGCTCAACCACTGTGCCACCGGGGAGACCCTGTTCTATTCTCTTTTGATCTAGTACAACCATTGGTCTCTACAGCAGGGGGTTCTAATCCAACCGAAGCTAAGTCTGGGATCCACTTGGCTAAAGGAGTTAAAAAAATTTTTTTTGAGAAAGAAGGAAAATTGTTAGGCAAATTCTGCTGTTTTATATAAAACAGAGACCTGAAACTGGTTGATTATGCTCTATCAAAAGACAAGCAATACCTGGCTGGCTGCCTCACTTTATAATAATTTCTCTAAGAATATCTCCTACTATGATGTGGATGAAAGCCAGATTGAAGGCGTTCAAAAAAAAAAAAAAAAGACTTTACCTTCAACCCAGTGGGATTTAAAATGAGAGCTTCTTTTATTATTGCAAATACATTGCCCAAATTCATCAGGAAGAGAAAATATAAAAGTACCCCAATTTTTATTAGCAGACAATCATTCCAGTAAGTCCCAACCGTTCCATTTTTGAAACTACATGCCAGACCAACTGTGGGGACTAAAAACATGGACTCCATGCCTGACTTTGAAGTCTCTTTGCCGATGGCTGTCTGTGTGACTCTGGGCAAGTTGCCCAACCTCTCTGAACCCCAGATCCCCATTAGTAAACCAAGGACAATAATAGCACCTATCTCCCGGGGCTATTGTGAGGGTTGCTTTGTTCGTATGTGTAAAGTAACTAGAATAAGGCCTGGTACATATTTAGTATTCAAAGTAAGCTATTACTTGCAACATGATAGCATCACTGCCTGCAGTGAATTACATTTTGGGCTTTCCACAAACTCAAAATCTGAGTTTCTAGACTCCCAGAAAACTCTGCCAGTTGCACTGTTGACTCTGGAAGACTGCCAAACAGCTTAGAGACAGGATTTATTCTTGGAGCTAGCTGGTTATTCTTCCTTGGTTCCACTTAGTTCCACAAATGCTAAGCCAGGTTCACGCTGAGTGTCAGGGTAAAAACCGAACCTATTTTAGCTAAAAGATTCAACGTTAACTTCTTTAAAAGAAAAAAGTGCTTTTGCACATAACTTCTGTACTTTTCGTATATCCATTATGTTCAATACAGGCGCTTAACTTTAAAAACAGACAAGTATCCCTGCAGGCCCAGCTCTAACTGCCACGTAGGAAATACTCTGCAAGACAGCACACGTGGCACGAAACCCAGGGCAGGCTTTTCTGTGATGCGACAACAGAGGAGACACGCCATAGACAGCAGCACCTACCTAAGTCTTTTCCAAAGCCAGACTGTTTAATTCCACCAAAAGGGGCTGCCACATCCGTCTTGTTGTATGTGTTAATGAAAACAGTTCCCGCTTCCAGTTTCTCACTCACATACATAGCTTTACTTATGTCTCTTGTAAAAACCCCCGAGGCCAGGCCGTACTCGGTACTATTTGCACGCTGCAACACGCCATCAAGGTCCCTACAAGATGTTTTAGAAAGACATAACACTTGATTATGTGTGAAGCAAACCACTTCCAGTTTATGTTGTAGTAGTTTCCCTTCCATGCTAGAAAGAGGAAAACATGACTGCCAACCTACCTGCTTCAATTTTTATAAATGAAATATCCCAGGCTTACGCTAAAGAAACCCCCCAATCAAATATTACAACTCCAGTGTTATGTGTTTCATATACTTAAGACGCAACACCTGAAGAAATCTGATCTAAAGTCATCCTTTCAATCTTCTTCAGTGGCTTTCTTTTATGACATCCCCATGTTCTCCCTCTCCCTTAAGTACACTACTTGATTCACAGGTGGCCCTGAACAAGGAATGTTTTGGAGATTTGTTACAATTTCAGAAAACTCATGAATTGCATAGCTCAGAAATATTTAAAATTATGTCATGAATAGATTTAGGTAATAGTCTAATTTTATCATTGACTGTCATAGCATATACACAAATCTATTATAAAAAGTTAAAATGTATCAAAACATAACACACACAAACATTAACAGACATTTCATGGTGCCATTCACAGGTAAGAGAAATGTAAACAAATGCTTAGGCAAGGTATTAAGTCCTCACTGCATAAAATTAACTGCAGAGCATAATGTGCTCCTGCAATTTCCCCGCCACCTCTTGTAAGTATTGCGGGGAGCTCAAGTGTTGTATCTGCTTAAACACTGTGTGATGCTAATCACCACTGCGTGAACACTCTGCCTCTGGGGTAATTTTTGCAGCACACTAAAAAGTGATCTCTTGTGGTGCTTGTGCATTTTTCACTGCATTTAGTATAATACCGTAAATCTTGGCTACTGCCATGGGGCCCCTACAAAGGTCCTCACCCATATTAGTGAGGCTGGAAATGCTCCCAAGAAACACAGAGAAGCCTCATGTGATATTACAAGAGAAAGTTGGTATATACCTCAGACAATATTGATGGAAGTACTGACAGATGGTTCAGTTTGTAAACAGTCAACACAAGCTTATTTTCTCTTCTTCATGATTTTCTTAATAACATTTTCTCTTCTCTAGCTTACTTGATTGTAGAATACAGTATATAATGCCCAAAACATACAAAATGTGTACTCATCAAATGTTGGCGTTGATTAAGGCAACAGCTAGCTATTAATAGTGAAGTCTTGGGAGAGTCAAAAGTTGTATGTGGATTTTCCACCAGATGGGGGATTGGCACCCTGTTGTTCAAGGGTTAACTGTATTGTCAGAGACCCCTCCCCCATCTTCCCTCCATGTGCTCAGATTTTGCACACACAGTCCAAGTCTCATTCAGATGCTCACCCTGAATCCTCCCAGTTCAGGGAGAGGGTGCACAGCCAGACTGCATGGGTGATGTCGGGCTGTTGGGTGAAAGATTTCATTTCTCCAAGCCTTGCTTATTCTTGAGGAAAAAAATAGAAATAATAAAAGGGCCTTTCTCATTGTCCTGAGTAGTAAATGAGCTAATAGTGCCCAGAACGCAGTAAATGTCCAATAAAAGGCAGCCATAATGAGGGAACACCGGTTCCGCCAGCTCAGTATTTTGGTTTAACTCTTGTGTATTTGTAATTCACCTCCCAACTAGACTGGACGCTCTCAAGGATGTGGATCACACCTTACACTTCTCTAAACCTTGACGTTGCATCATCAAATGTGAATGAATTCAATTAATGTATTAGTTCAATTAAAGGAGAATAAAGCAGTCCCTTATATCAGTCTGGTGATTTCCCTGCCTTTTGAGTCAGGTGTGCACATGTCCAAGTAAGTAGAGACATGAACCTGCTCATCTCTCACTGGGTGCAGTTCCAAGTGCCTGTCACAGTACGAATACATCATCCTCGCCAGTGTCACTTTAATGTTTGAAAATGCATGATTTTTCTGCAACATGGCCAGTCGGCACAAGCCAAGTATTTCATCTGGCGTTCTGGCAAGCGAGAGGACCTGTTCCAAAACTGGAGGAAAATAGCTGGGCTGAATATTTTGGGAGACAGCACAGGCTTTGTATGGTACCCTCCCAAGGGACTTTCAAAGATAATCTTGACAACATACAAATTTAAACTTGCAAGATAAATTTGGAACTTAATTTGGAGGGAATGGAGCTTCTGCTAAAACTCTCCCATTTTTTAATAAATTGCACATGGTAAGGACCTAAATATTGATTATTTGGACTAAGGCAGAAAAAGGCTTTATGTCATTGCCATGGGCTATTGTATTGACATAGTTTCACAGCACACCTTACCAACATCTAGAGAATAACAAACAGCTGCCATAACAGTACCAGTAGCAATCACTTGACTTATTTAATTCTTAGAATGACCCAAAGATGCAGAAATATAACAGCTAAGACATGGAAACAACGTAGGTCCCCACCAATGGATGAGTGGGTAAAGTAGACACAGTGTACATACACAATGGGATACTACTCAGTTATAAAAAGGATGAAAAAGAAAAAGAAATGAAATCTTGCCATTGCTACAATGTGGATGACCTTGAGGTGATTATGCTAAATGTAAATTATCAGAAAGAGAAAGACAAATACTGTGTGATTTCATTTATACAGGGAATATAAAGAAACAAAATGAACAAACCCTTATTCTCTGACAACGACATAATGGTTGCCACAGGGTAAGGGGATAGGGGGACGAGGAATTGGTAGAGACTGTCAGTGGGATAGCAGCGGAAGGTGACTAGAACTTTGGTGGTGGGACTGGTGTGGTAAATACGTTTATCAAGGTGTGAAGTTGGACTCCAGAAACTTACATAGTATTGTAAACCAGTGATTTACAATACCAAAAAAAAAAAAAAAGATGAATAAATTCTGGAGACGTACTGTATAGCATGGTGACTATAGTTAACAATAATGAATTACACGCTTGAAATGTATTAAGAGGGTAGATCTCAAGTGTCTTCACCATACAAGCACAACTGGCAACTCTGGGAGATGATGGAGATGTTAATTAGCTTGAATGAGAAGATCTTTTCAAAATGCATATGCATATTAAAACATCGCATCTTAAATATGTGACTATTATTTGTAAGGATACCTCCATAAATTGGGAGGGGGAGAAAAAAAAGAGGCAGTTTTACAAGCAAAGAAACCAAGGCGCAGACAGATTAGGGAAGTGACTCCACCCACAGGGGAGGTCACCCAAGGCAGTGCACAGATGCCGCCGCCCACGTCACAACTCTGCCTTTGCCCCTCTGGTCAATTGCCCACCTCACTGTCTGTCTTCTTCATTAGATGGGAAACTTTATGAGGAGAGGGATTGCGACTTGTCTAGACCTACATCCCTCAAATCTGCCTTCTAATTCTGGCAAGTTTAGCACAGACTCCTATGGGTGAATTCAGAATGAGGAAAAGGACACAACAGTCTATCCTGGAATCAGTGTGTCAAAAGGTTACTTGTTTCAGCTTAATGTCTCCAAAAGTCTCTGACAGTATGTCTATCAAAGACAAAGAAGTCCTTCCGAACTCTATATTGTGTTTTTTCCATCTTCTTACTGATTAAAGGAAAGGAATTCTGAAGAATTTTGCATAGTATATAGTAACAAGAGCCTATTGTATTGAACCTACTGTAACAAGACTCTATTGTATCGAATATTCTTACATGAGCTAAGTTACCATATGACCCTCTGTATAATGAACACTTTGGAAAGTCTCATGTACTGAAATGAACTAACACGTCATTTACAGTTGATCATGTAGTGATTGTGGACATTTCTGAGAATCTGAGTATTAAGCTTTGGGGGCCACGATCCCCTAATAAGGTAGCACCGTTTCCTTGGAAAAATCAGAGTTCCTTGGAAAAATCAGAGTTCATAGTCACTGCCTTCCCTAAGTATGTAAATGTGAAAACTAGTCTTATTATTCTCATTGGCTTTGTTTCAGAGCGATTTCCAATGTTGATTGTGCAAAAGCTAAAATGTAATCAGCTAAAATCCCATAATGTTGGCTATTCACTTAAGCTAAGAATCAAAAATATATTACAACTGGTTAGCATTCTCTTCCAGTGATTTAATTAAGTCAGTTATTCCTATCAGAGAGTTACATGCCCATTGCTTTTATGCTCTGTGTATAGCAGTGTCAAAAGAAAAAGAATTTAGTAAAGAACCTGTTCAATTAATAAAGAATGACATACCCATTTTGGAATTTAGAAATGATCATAATAGGACCAAATGACTCCTCTTTGGCAAGGTACATGTGGTCTTCCACGTCTGTGAATACAGTTGGTTCCATAAAAAAGCCTGTTAGAAAAATAAGAAAAGAACATCAACTATAGGGAAAATAATTTCCAATAATACTACTCTCATTTAATCACATTATAGGTTTTTTTCTTCCTTCCTGGATCAGTGAAAACAAGAAGACTTTCACTTTCCTACTCAGCATTAGCATTCCTAGGTTCTTATTTTTCTGATGTCTTTATTATAAAAATTTCAAAAATATGCAAAAGTAGAAAAAATAGTATGTGACTAGTAAAAGAAATACTTTTTTCTAGTTTGCTACATTTGATTTATTTTTTTCCTTACAGAAATTATTGAAAGCCAATTCCAGAGAGTACAACTTTCACCTCCAAGTATTTCAGAATAAATCTCTAAAAAATGAGGACACTCATACCACAATACATTGTCACACTTAACAAAATCAATACTAGTTCCTTACTCATAGTTTATGTTTCATTTTTTTCAACTTGAGATGTAACTGACATGACGTTAGTCTCAGGTATACACACGACTTGATATTTGTATTTCTGATGGCCTAGAAAATATCTCTTTATAGTTGATTTGTTTGATTCGAGATTCAAATAAGCTTATGCATGATATTTGATTGTTAGGTTTCTTAAGTGTCCTTTAATGTAGAACATTTGCCTTATTATTTTTTCACACCATTGACTTGTTAACTACACTGAGTCAGGAGTCCCATAGAACATTTTGTAATTATATTTTTCATTACTGCATCGGGGTGCTATTTAATATGTTCCTCTTTCCTGTATTTGTCATAAATGAAGAGTGTGCCCTAAAGGCATGACTAGATTCAGGCGAAAATTCCTGGCAAGAATACTGCAGAGGTGCTGCTGTGTGTTACACAGTCCTGTGGAGACATCTCGGATCCAGGCGCCTCACCCTCACTGGAGCTGATATGACCAGTGGCTCCAAGTGGGCACAACCTGACCTGTCCATTGTAAAACTGGGTTTTTCTGTTTATGACTGGCCAGCAATCTTGTGGGTGGTATCCTGCAGACACTCAGGTCCTCATCAGCCTTTCAACTAATAGCTTCAGCCTCCCTGATGACCACTGTCTGAATCAATTTTTTATTTTGGGGGTATAAAGTGGTCATTTTTTTGTTCTATAGTTTTTTCTACATGAATTAGTAAGGGTTCTTCACCAAAAAAGTTTCCTTTATTATCTCTCCAGTGACCCAGAAATTCAATTCATATAGAAAACCTAGGATAAATGTTAGTTTTTCTAACTACCAATTTTAGAGTAAGGTGTTGGCATGCATTCTACCAATAACAGTGAAAAAGTAGATTTCATGGTTGTTCTTTTTCTCTCCTTTTAGTTACCATAACACTGAGCCATTCACACATTTCAGTAACAGGCACTGCTTTCCACAACAGAATCGAATCCTCCCCAGGCTATGCTGGCTAAGATTAAATCTCAGAGCACCAGGACCAACATCACCAGTGCCTGAAAAACACCATTATCCATAACACTTGTTTACTGTAATGCTAAGGACCTGTCATATCCATTTTGTTATTGATTTTCACAGCCTTGTAAAACAGGGTGTAAACCTTTCACTCCATGTTACACAGCCCGGAAATGGACTCAGAAGAATTGTTATGTTTGAGGGGTTGCATCTGAGTAGAATCTAGAAGTTGATTGTTCTGATCATAACATAAGTACTCCTATTGATGCCACAATGAAAACCATCAACATCCATTACAACTCAAGCAGCCAGGTGCTCTGGATCCCTCCTACGGAGGTGAACTTACCTGGCCTCTGAACTTGTCTGCCCCCATACACCAAGGTGGCCCCCTCTTTCACTCCAGCTTCACAGTACTGCAGGAGCTTTTCCAGGTGGGCCCTATGATTCTGTGGTCCATGATCAGTAGATCTGTCCAGTGGGTCACCAATTTTCATCTTTTTAATTTCTTCTACCTGTATGTCACCAGGTTCACAAAACACAATGCACTGTTAAGAACAATAACAGATAACCTTGACTGAGCTTCTACCACGCAGTCGGGTGTTGTGCAAAGCGATTAAAGGATGTGTTTTTGTTCTGTATTCATAGGAACACTGGAGGTAAATGTTATTTCCACATTTCAGATGAAGAAACTGAAGCCCAATAAGGTTAAATGACTTGCCTCAAGGTATACAACCGCTAAATATGGAGGAATTTTCCAAACGAGGAAGTCCAAGCTTTCACCACTGAGTTCTAAGAGAGTAAATTCAAGCTTGGCCATAAAACCTCAGTAAGTTCTCAACAAAGAGTTGTTGAAAGAATGAAAGGATATGAATTGTGTGCCCAACATGTTTGTTGATGAACTGATACATTTAAGCATTAGCATTGTGGTCTTGGTATTTGAAATGTCAGTGAGTTGTAGTTGTGAAAGCATTTGACGTGTGGTACTGAAATTTGTATTTTATGCAGGCACAAAATTGAATCACAAGGATGTTCAGAAGGCAGCACTGCCCACCATCTGCCTCTCCACTTTCTTCCTTGTTTTCTATTCACATGAAGGCTTTGCTTATGGGGGAGGGGGAGGATTAACTCTGGAGGAAAAAGAAAGCTGGGACCTGATTTTGCAAATACATGCAAATGCACAGTTACTGTTACTATCATCATGACATAATGTAGTAGAGTTTGAATTTATTTTAATTACAGAATTTATCTTTAGTGTTCTATAAATGACTTTTAATCTCATTATGGAATTATGACCTATCTACCTACCTACCTACTTATTTACCTTTCTTAGTAGAGGAAATTGTATGTTGTTATAGTAACTGTGAATTAAGGATTTGTAAGAATATAATGGTTAATCTCTTATAAAAATCTAGAGGTCTATCTCCCACAAATATAGTATATCAGGTATAGTATATCTAAGAGCTGACATACTTTCAAGGAGTATTTAAATAATAACAGCTCTTAAGTATACTTTACCTGTTTTTTTATACAGACCTATATCTTTTTACTGTAAGAAATTATAAGCACATATAAAAGTAGACAAACAAGACAATGAAACTCCATGTGCTCATCACCCAGCTTCAACCATTACCAACTCAAGGCTAATGCATCCCCCACTCACTTCCTCCAGGTTATTTTGAAGCAAATTCCAGAGAATTTAATTGATAAGTATGTCAGAAAGCAATTCTAAAGGGTAAGGACTGCTTTTTTTTTTTTTTTAAATAACCACAGTACTATTATTACACCCAAAAATTCTTGCACAATGCCAGAAGTACTTTTTTGGGCAGATGCAATTTCTCTAGATCCAGAGCAGATCTGAAGCTTACCACTCTTGTCACAAATTCATCGTGGATGGATTCTTCCACGAACAACCGACCAGCTGCAATACAGTTCTCGCCTTTGTTGAAAAACACGGCGCCCATGCCCTGGGACAGCAGAAGGGAAAGCATTAGCAATGCTGTTTGGGAAGTTAAGACTGTCATAAAATATCAAACACTGAGAAAGAGGTGTTTCTGGAAGACAGCGGACGACAAAGGAAAATACAATCTCTGGGTCCAACTCATGATGAGAAGTGCTTGGGGATACTGTTTTGATCTGGTATATTTTTTAGGGATTTTTTTTATAATAAAATTTATTTTTATATTCCCCATACAATTGCAACCCCCTTATTTTGACCCCAATCCCTCCCTTCCCGCCCCCTACCCCCCATAGAGTATCTCTGGTTCATAGTTTTTTGTTGATTTTGATTTTCACTTTCTTATAGTTATTCATTTTCCTGGTCCCTTATTTAAGTTTTCTAGATTCCTGCTATGAGTGAGACCATCCGGTATTTTTCTTTTTCTTTCTGGCTTATTTTGCTGAGCATGATCAGTTTTTAGGGATTTTTTTTCACCTTCCTTCCCTCTAGTGTACTAACACTTATAAAAATTTTTTATTTAATAATAAGGATATACCACTAAGGAAAAATGGTATGTTGCAAGAAAATTTATATTTTGCTGTATGTTTAAATGTAATACTTCTACAAAACTTTGCTTTTCAAATCTCTACATCAGTTTGCATAAGTCATAAAAGTTTAGAAAGACTCCTCTGCAGCCCCCAAGTTTTAAGAATATCTTAGTAAGGCAAATCATACAGACATTATTTTAAAAATTAAATGCTCAAGTATTCCCAAATCTAGGCATAAAGAGGATGGTTTCTGTTTATGCTACAAAATCAAATCTCATTCTAAGACTTATGATAAACAAGGAAGCTGAGATGTGTTTAAGAAGAAGGCACCTATTTGGTTGGATTTGACTTTTTCTTACCATCCGCACAGCTTTGTCAAGATCACAGTCACTGAATATTATAAGTGGGGATTTGCCACCGAGTTCCAGGGAAACTTTCTTCAAGTTGCTCACAGCACAGCTAGAGAAAGACAGATTGGAAATAATATTTAGTCTGCCTCTCTCTCTCTGTCTTACTTCTTTAACTATAAGTTGCCGTGTGGCACAGAAAGCAAATGTGGGCCTCAGAACTCTTCAGAAAGTTATTCAAAGACAAAACAAGAACGATAGACTGGTCATAGCTATAGAGGTTGGCTGACGAGCACGTGGCAGTTCATTATGCTATCCTGTGCGCTTTATATGCACCAGAAATTTTCCAAAATAAAAAGTTGTGTGCTTTTAAAATTCCATGGTTAAATGATGTGAGAGCCCCATGAGTTCAGATTCTTCAGGTATAAGAATTTTGATTACATAAAGACCAAGCAAGAAATTTCACCTCTAACCAGATAACTGAAGCACTGGGGAAAGAATGAATTTTCAGAAGCATATTTCTTATTTCTCTCTTCACACAATACCATTATTATTTAAAATTTTTTAAAAACCCCAAAAATGCAGAAAGAAGAAAAACATAACAAAATTCCATGCCATGGTTCAATGACCCTTTTTTGCCATTTTGATTTACTTATCTGTGTTCTGTATCCAACCATGGTCTTTGTCTTATTTAATATAGTTGGGGTCAACTGACTTAAACAGTTTTACACCTATTTTTCTTTCCCTTCACTGTTTTAATGACATTTTTCAAAATTATTAAAACATGATGACACAGAGCTCTATTATGTTGAGACACTTAGTTGCCTCAGACAGCTTAGGTTGCAATTTTTAAGAACTAATGTTACTGCTTTTTAGGAATTATTTTATAAATTATGCATATTTGCCATTTATATTTCTGTTCAGTTTTCATTTTTGCCCCAAAGACAACTTGAGGTGCAGCCTTAGTACAGAAGATGTTTTGTGCTGGATTATCACAGTGACCACAGGGCGGAGAATTCAATATGCCTCTAGGTTTTATTACTTTGTGCTTCAACACTTGGAAAGCATTTTATTACATTCAAACATTTTAATGCCCTGCAGTGGTAGGTAGGTTTCTCTTCTAAATTTGACGTGGTTTTTCTCCTCCAAAGTGCCTACTTAAGAAATCAAAAAACAAGAACAAAAACCCGGCCTACGAGGACATGCAGCAAACTGACACATTAAAGCCAATACCTCTTCATGATCTGCTTGCCAATCTGCGTGGACCCCGTGAAGCCCAGTTTGCGGACGTCAGGGTGTTCAGAGAGGCGCTGCCCCGCGACCCCACCTGCAGCATTTCGTGGCAAAACATGAATTAGAACACTCGCGTTCTTATAATGAAGTGACTGAATTCACAACTGGACTTCTAAGATCTCATTTAAATCTTAGCTTTACATTTTCTGCATTAATCACAAACTCCCAAAAATCTCCATAATATCCTCCATGCCCCTAAAAGCCTTGGTTTTTCCTTCCAAAGTAGTTGTTGGAAAGGGAAGCGGGTTCACCTTAGGGTAGCTGCACAACTTTCACCCCCCAATCTTCTCACCCACCATTCTAGAGCCACTGGAAGGCTTCAGCACAGAGCGGTGTGTTTATCCTTACCTGTCTGGAAACCGTATTCATTTTAATATAGTTATAATTTAGAACAAGACTCCAGTGGGAAAACAGCCACTCAGCCACTCCTGTACCACGTATTAGTTCTAACCAAGGGGGTCACGTGACCTCGTACCTGAGCCTGGAATGATGTTGATTACCCCCTTTGGAAAGCCTGCTTGAGCAGAAAGTTCTGCAAACTTCAAAGCAGTTAAGGGCGTGACCTGAAGAGAAGCAGACAGCAATTACCTTCTTCAGACTAAATAATTCTAATTCCCTAATTTGGGGGCATTTGGCATTTTGCAATAGATTTTACTGAGGTACATTCTACTTGCTTCCACTGCCATGAAACTTTAAATTATGAAATCTCCTTAGGAAGCATTCGGCAGCTATTACACATGAATATGTACTGATATGGAAAGATGCCCAGGACATAGGAAAAGGTATCGTAATATACAATCCCATTTTTGTTTAAAGACATACCATTTATAAATGTATGTCTTATTTTCAGGTAAATCAGAGAGGGGATTTGCACCTGGCCTCCTGCCTCTCACCTGTGCAGGCTTGAGCACTAAGGTGTTGCCCGCTGCCAGGCATGCAGCACTTTTCCACGCCAGCATCATCAGAGGATAATTCCAGGGGATGATAATGGCACAGACGCTGCAGGGTAGAAAGACGACAGCTTAGTTGTTTCAAACTAACAACTCATGCTGGCCAGAGGCTCTCTCCTTGTCTTACCCAAGAGGCTCCTTCTTAGTGAAGGTCAGGTTGCGATTTGGACGGGCCTGGTTGATTGGAATCGTAGAACCCTAAAGGATAAAAAGGTTGATCCTTATTTTACTAATCTAAATGAGTACATTTACTCTCAAAGATTCCATTTTCTGTCCACCTCTTATTTTTTTTCAGCTGATGTGAAAAGGCAGTATTCTACTCGTAAGAAATATGTCCACACCAAAAAAGGCACTGCTGTGTTGATTTGGAAAGAACTGAGACACAGGAGAACATGCATAATTCACACTTAGTCACCTCCATTCCCATTTTCTTGGCATAGCAGAGAAAGTTTACTGCCTGCACAACACTCTTGCTTTGTCTGTTGCTTTGCTCTCAGTAACAGAACTCCTATTTTAATTTACCCAGATAAGATACGATGTTTCCCAGTTTCCATGGCAGGCCAAGAGTAGTTTTCTTTTGTCACCACACACACTATTTCCTTACAGTAAAAAGGAAAGTGAAATATTCATTGTACTCATGTCTTGAATTTTTTTTCCTTATACCCAGCCTGCTTAGCCCATCTGTTATTTCTCTGGTCGCTGCAAACATTTGACTTTTCAATCCCTCCACCACGGAGGGCTTCTCCCTATATATACGGGAGACTATTAGCTACCCCTACGATACATTATAGTAAAGAACAAAACATCATCACACTTTATTTTTTTTCTATAATTGTTTTTTTAATATTTCAATTCTGTGAACATCTACATTTGCTAAGCAGACCCCAAAATAAAGACAAATTCGTAAAACTAGGCCATTTTAATTATTTTTGCAAAGAATGTAATAGTTGTCTTGATGATGGCAGACATGTAAGTAAGGCTGGTAGTATTCAGAAACATAGCATGGTGTTTTTCCTGATTACTGTGTAGTCTTCAATAATTATATGGAGTTACTTGTATGAAACTGCTGTCAAACCAACAAGACTGCATTTATGCATCCATCATTTTTGGGATTGTTGGTAACCTGGGCATATTTTCCCCAAATAACCTTGCCTCCTTGTGTCACAAGGCCCAATTCGCTCACGTTAACTTCAATGACAGTACCCTTGGTGATAACACCCAAAGTCATATAGAGTGGAGATGAGGGATTCTTTTTTACACCAAGTATTGGCAGGCAAAAAGTGGCTTTCAGTTCAGGAACATCATCACACTTTAGATTCTGAAAATCTTGCATTCGAGCCCTAGCTCTATGGTTTGCTTACTTAAATGTGACCACAGCCAAGTCATTCATTGTCCTCTAGCCTCTGTTTCCTTACCTGTGATGAGGGATAATAAGCATCCACCTCCTAGAGATGATTGTTAAAAGGATTAGATAAGAAAATCTTCGTAAGAGGTCACTCTGATACAGTTTCTTTACAAACTAATAAATGTTGGTCCCTTTTCCTTTTGGAATGATTTAGAAAAAGACACATAACATTTGCACTAACCTGAATTTTGTCACACCAGCCAGCAAAATATCTGAATGTTTGCACAGACATTCCAATATGAGTCTTCAGAGCCAAGGTGTAGACAGCCCCAGAATCAAGCGCCTCAATAGTTGCTAGTTCTTCTTGGTTCTCTTCCAGTAGGTCTGCAAGTCTGGATGGTCAATGAAAGAAATTCATTCAGCAAATATTGATGGATCCCCTGTTATTCACAAGATACTAACCTAAAAGCTGAGAATTTAGAGGTGAACACAAATGGACCAGGTTTCTGTCCTCATGGGAGAATGAATTCCAGGAGGGCCGACAGACACTTAAGAAATAAGTTAATAAATAATTGCTTTCAAGAGTTACAAAGGAAAAGCAGTAGGTGCTGGCAGCATGTTTGATTTGCCTTGTAAATGTGTAAGAAGTAGGGCAGTGATTGAGCCCCAGGAATCCAGGGAGGTCAGTGACAGAAACCTGTGGGGATGTGCAGGGAGCTGTTAGAAAGCCCCCCACAGTCTCGTGAACCTATGAAACAGAACTTCAGTTGGTGCTGAAATAGTTCCAACACTCACTAAAGAGGACATGATAGCAAATGAGTATAATCAGCACAACAGATTTCTGTTTGGTGCTCAGTTTCTCTAGGAAGATATGTGTTAGATTGTTTAACGATTATAAAATATTAAAAACTCATTTTTTGTGCTTCCCACCACCATTTTTTTCCTCCCCTTCCTTTACTGGTTCTCTGAGCTACTCTTTTGGACCCTTCTAAAGCTGGGCTTGTACACCTCCCCTCACTGCCCAGTGCTTCTTCCAGATCTCATTCGTAAGGGATCTTTTGACCAAGGCCAGCTATTTTGGCTTCAGGTAAGTAGAAACCTGACTTTATGCATGTGTCTAGTTACTTTGGGCCTCTCAGGGGCCAGTCTTCAACACTCTTCCAGGCCTAAGTATTTTTCCTCCTTGCTCCTGTTCCTGACATACCACGTAGACTTAAACTTTGTCTTTAAAAATAAGAGTGCAGGACAGTCTCCATTTCCTGCTCATTCTTCATGCTCCAGTCCACCCTGCTGCGGACTGGAGGGTGCCCTTTGGAGACCCATCTCCTGGTGCCCTTGTGCTCTCACTGGGCTTGAGAGCTAATGGGTGAGAAGCCCCCACCCCACCTGGGGACTGGCAAACTCAGGAGGAAGTGGTCGGGGAATCAGTTCCTCTGACTCCCTCACAGATGAGCTGGCCTCTAGCTGCTTTGTTTCTCTACCACAAACCACTATTGTGGTCTTCACAGATTCTAGCAACAGCTCTTCCTCTTCCCACCTGGCATCATCCCCCTGTTGCCACTCCTACCTGGACACTGCATGATCCTTTGTTGGATTCCCCTGACCTTGCCCACATCTTTGTAAATAGTCCTTTATTAAATTTTCTTTTTCTACGGGGATACTGACTGATACAAACAATAATACAGAAACTCACATAGGTAGGATTTTATATGATACAAGTTATAGAAGACATATATAACAGGTGCATTCTAGAATGGTTTTTGTACTAAAACATTTTGAAAAAATTTAAAAGATCGTATCACATTAGCTTATTTCAAAGGTAGCACATTGGTATTTAAAAAAAAAAAACCATACCTGTACATCAACCTTCCTCTTTCTCTTGCATTTATTCTTCCCCATTCACCATTTTCAAAAGCATCTTTCGCTGCAGCGACTGCTTTATCAACATCCACCAAAGAAGCATAGGATACTTTGCATATTGTCTATGTCAAGAGAAGTAAAATAGATTATAGGTTACTCGTATAGAAGATATAGACTTATTGGAATTAATATAATATTAGCTTTGGATTGTGATATTCAAAGAATTTTATGATGTAGAAATAATACACCCAGTAATACAGTAAAGAAAATGAAATGATTTGAACATGAAAATTGTGAGTCTGACACCTGGTCCTTTTCGTGTCCCACAACAGCATGGGAAGACGCATCCAGGGAGGCATAACTACTACTTCCAGTGGCCTAGGGAAGTTGAGCTTCTCCCCATGAGGCATAACTACTACTTCCAGTGGCCTAGGGAAGTTGAGCTTCTCCCCATGAGCTTGCACATAGTTACATGGGGGAAGGCGTGCCTCTGATAGGTGTAAGTATCTGTCTAAATTCATCATGAACACTAATTCTATAAAATAGGTCACTACAGTTACTACAATAGGAGCCAGCACCAGAATTGAATAGCCAAAAGAAATTGTATTCAGTGAAAGAAATTTGTGTTAAATGCTCAGAGGCAGAGTGACAGAATAGAACAACTTAAGATGGTCACTTTCACAACTTTGCATGAGGCCAAAATCCGTGACCTGTGCTTATTAAGCCCATGGCGCCGTCACTCACAGATCCGTCTGTAGGGTTGATGGTGTCGTATGTCTTCCCATCATCAGCGTCAGTGAACTGTCCGTTTATAAAGCACTGATATGGCATTTTAACTGTCATTTCATTGATCTCCTTTGACACCTTAAGAGAGAATTACATTTAATAGATTCAACAGATTTCTGTGCTTATCTATATCATTAATGCAGAGGGATAAGGTATGTCAGAGGGATTCTAGTTCCTATTGTCTAGAAGATGCAGGCTTCTGTGATATCAGGGCCTCCTGCTACACCCACCGCTAAGCAGGAGTGTGATAACCAGGTGCTCCAGGCTCAGCTTTTCTTCCCAGGTGACAGAGAATGCGACCTCCAGGTAAGGGAAACACCGCCATCTAGCGGCAGCATGGACAGAACACAGTCACTCTAAATCATTGAAATTGCTTTTGTCCGTTGGTTTCCTTTTACACTGGTATCACTCTAAGTTTCCTTTCCTTATGTTCCTCCCCATTTTCATTTCTCTTTTACATATGAATGGCCTTAATTTTACTCTCTGCCAGAGCTAGTAAGTGAATTTAAGTTAGTCCATTAACTTTGATGAAACTCCATTTTTTTTCCCAGCAATAAAATGGCAATAATGAAACCACTTCAGTTTTATGAAGAATAATTGATGTAATATAGGTGAGAAAGCACTGTTGGCATAAAATTCCATATCAATGCAAGGTATTAAAAAGGAAATTTAATGATTTCAAAAATAATTTCATATAGAGAAATCGATAATACTTAAAAAATATAGCAAGAGGGATCACGCCGTATCCCATACCGAGTACTCAGATGCTATGAAATATGTCCAGGGGTCTATGTAGGGTGTAATGGGGGAAATTTCATTGGAAATGACATGTTAAGTCCCTGCACATAGTCCAGTTTTCTAAACTCACTATTCCGGAAATGAGCTAAGTGTTTTACATATAAAATCTAACTGAATTTTCTCCCAAGTCCCATGAGGTGGACGTTATCATCATGCCACTTAAGACATGAGATTTAGAGAAGTTAAGTAACCTGACAAGGGCCACACGGCTCCAAGCAGTGTTACTTGGATTCTATCACAGGTCAGTCAGCCTCCAACATTCAAGTTTTTAACCAGATGATGTTAAACTGATTCCCAAATTTACCTAATTTGTATTAAACATAAATGGATGAGAAGTTGTTCTGGAATAGCAGCTTTGGGATCTCTGAAAATCTACTCCTTCATAAAAGCCAAGAGAGCACTTGAAAATATTGTCCAAATTATTTTTCTCAGAACTCTGAAAATGAACCAAAGCCTATTTAGAATCCATTATTCAAACAGGTGAATCTCTGTAAGAACTGTGACTTTGCAGCACATTCACTTGCCTTAATCCCATCTCTCTAGTGAGAGTTCTATAGTAACTAGAACACCAACATCCTTGCAACTAGGGTTTATGTGAAAACCAGCAGCCATTTGCCATGGGGGGAGGAAGGGTTTATACTTTAGCTTTTAAAAAATAGTCTTTATTATATTGCAATATAATCCAGATACCATGAAATTCTTTATTATATTGGAGAGAAATCAGATACCATGAAATTCACCCTTTAAAATGTATAATTCTTTGGCTTTCAGTATATTCATGGAGTTGCACAACCGTTACCACTATCTGATTAAGGAACATTTTTATCACCTCAGAAGGAACCCTGTATCTGTTGGCAGACATACTCTGCTTAACTCTCCTTCACCTCTGAGCCCCCTAAAACACTGACTTGTGGATTTTCCTTAGAGAGAGACATCTCATTTGAATGAAAGCATATACTATGTGGCCTTTTGCATCTGATTTCTTTCACTTAACATCATGTGCTCGAGTCACATATGTGGTAGCATACATCATCACTTTAATCCTTTTTCCTGGCCAAATAGTATTCCAATGCATGGAGATATCACTTTTGTTAATCTCTTCTTCAGTTGATGTACATTGGGTTTTCTATTTATAAATCTATTAACACAAATACATGAAAAGCACAGAATTCTTCTATAGCATCTATATCTTAACAATTTAGACTAGGAAACACTAGGGCAAAGCTTACATAATCCACTATGAGCTCTGCTTCCTGATCTTCTCCCCTCAGCTTCCTCACGACTTTTTGGATGAAATCTTCAAATTTGGTGGCCATATAGACATCTTCGTTCTGTAACTGAAGCCCACCACATTTCTGTCTGATCTCTTCAACCAGCCTTAAAGTAAGAACCAGGTCATGTTATTTACATTTTTAAAGGGTGAAGGGGGACTGTGTGATTACATAGAAATAATAATGTGGGGGAGGGGCAAGGAAAAGTGTAATTAATATCAGGTATGGACTATATATGAAATTCTTGATTATCACTTTTCCCAAAGCTTCCCAATTCCCAACCCATGTTGTTGGAAAATCAGCAAAGAAACGTAAGGACAAAATTTTTAAAAGAAACAAACAATTATAAGGGTTCTATTTCTAGGTAGACAAGAGATAGGAAAACAATTCCTCTTTAGTCACTAAAAGCAAGGAACAGTGCCTTCCTGGTGGCGCAGGTGTTAAAGTCTCCATGCTATCAAGCTATGGCCAGTCACTGCAGCCTGAATTCAATCCCTGGCCAGGGAGCTGACCCACATGGTGCAGCAGACCTCTCCTGTCTCACCCGCTGCTCCCCTCAGCAGTGTATCTTAGTGGACCCGCCTGTTCTGCTCCCCACTCTGTCTCTGATGAATCCTCTTGACGCCCACACCTCTGGTCTACACCCCAGTTCTTGTATGCATAAATAAATAAAAGTAAATCTTTAAAAATAAATATATAAACAAAAGTAGGGAACTAGTAGATGTGTTTGACCTGGAAACAAACAAACCAAGGAAAGATCAAGTCGGGAGAAGTAGAGGAGGTGGGCATAAGTGAGTGAGACTCCACCACAAAGGATTCAGATTTGATTTTCAAACTCAAAGTCAAAATCCCTAGTGGAGGGTGTGAGTCAATGAGATAGTGGTTTCACCTGGCAACGTCCATTGAGCTTGCTCCAGATTTAAAGAAGTCTGTTGTGTTTTCAATAACAGGAACATTGCTTAAAATTCCAGCCCAGATGACCTATAGGGTAAGAGAAATTTTTATGAGGGCAGAGCCATGCAGGACACCTTGGCAGAAACTGGCTAGCTCCTCACCACACCTACTTTTTCCTCTAGGATGCTGACCTGAATACACTCTCATCACGTTCCGAGCGGCTGCCATCTTACAATGCAGATGAGCAGAAGTGAACTGCACTGCCAGTCTGAGCTCATGAAAAACCTCCTTCACAGAATTCTCTGTGCTCTTTTACTATTCTAGGTTGTCTAGAATGGGAATGGCCCCCAAAGTGACCTTGAAGACAGCAGAGTCTGGGTCCCTGAATGAATGTACCCCTAACCCTCATGCTGCAGTTTCATCCCAACCCCTGTGCCAACCTACAGCTACCTTGGATTATTTATGTGAATGAGAGGTGTGTTTGAAAATAAATGTGGGGCTTCATTTCCTATTGTAGCTAATACAAAATAAGAGAAAATAGAGTCCCATGTCCCCTACTTTGAGGACTGATGGTACCAGTTACAAAAAGGCTTCGGCTTCCCAAGCTAAGGGTAGTATGAAGGACATCACACGCTCACCTTGATGGTCTCTGCCACCTTCACCTCTTCGGCTGTAAGTTCTATCACTGTTGTCTCACCCGCTGAAAAGTACTGAGAGGCAGGAATCATTTTTCCATCTTCAAACTGCAGACTTCTCACCATCAGCTACAAAATAACAACAAACAAACAGATAAGTTGAGGATCAGGACAATTCAAAGTAAAGTTGATAAGAGGAGGAGTCTTAGATACGATATGGGTATGAAGAGCAGATTATTTGGAAAACAGAAAACTATGAATTAAAAGCACTCACCACTAAGTGCAAAAGAACTGAAATGGCCAAGTTTGGATGCATTGGCTGACCTAGTTTATTTACTAATTTTTATATTTATTCATTTTTATATATTTTACATCAGTGTTCATTTTTGTACAATGTTCACTTTCTCCTCTCAGGTGCAGTGCCCTCGTTTATTTAATCTCATCAGTCTAGATGGAAATAGGTGCTAATATTGTCCTTGTTTTACTTATGAGAAAACCGAGGCTCAGTGAGGTTAAGGAATTTGTCCAATGCTACACAGCTCGGAATACCCGAGCTGGGATGGGCACCCAGGACTAGTTGGACTCTAAAGCCTATACTTGCAATAACTACCTGTCTTGCAGGCTACGGAGAGAGTCTATAACCTGCAGCATGCCATTTGCTTTCTTCACTGGGAGCCCCTGAGCCTCAGAACCCACACTCCCAAGCACAGGCCTTGGATGGTGCTTGCCCGGGGAGGGGAAGCCAACATGCATCTGAAAGAGGGTCACAGCCATCTCATTGGATCCCCCAGGACTCTGGCATGGGGAGTAGAGAGAGATGCGATCACTCTGTTTTACAGATAAGGAAACTGGCTCAGAGAGGAGAAGCATACCAGGTGAGACAGGACGCGGTAGAGCAGGGACCACATCCTACCTCCTGGCTGAATTCCAAGCTCTTCCTACACTGTCACAAAGCTGCCTCTAGGTCCTTGGGGTCCATCCTAAGGGGCCTTGTCCTTGTCAAGACTCATAGAGCCCACTCGTCCCAGAAAGAAATGGGGCACAGGTACTTTGGGCCTCCTACCCCCCACTGCAGAAGCAATCCCCTTAAGAGCAGGGATTACAGAAGAAAACTGAGAAGTTTATTTACAGGTGACCCTATGGAACACTCACTGCTTTTCCATCGTTACCAAAAAGAACGAGTCCATTCTTGGTAACAAGGCCGGGCTTCTTGGCACCTTTAATCTCCAAGGGTTCTCCAGGAGGCGCGGAGCTAGTCAGTAAGGACGAGCCGTAGAAAGTGACCCTCTAAGAAAGAAGCCAGAGCCGGGTTATGAAATGAGGAGGTGAAGGCTATCTGTAGGGGTGTATGCAAGCAACATGCCATACAGAAACCCAAAGTTCAAATGATTGTTCACGATCACATTAGGACACCCCAGTGTGAGAGGCTGCATCAAACATCTGGAGAGATGTTTGAGCTACTCTGTAAATGTATGATTGAAAATTTTCAACCATGTCCCACATCTAGGCAACCTGAGCACACACATTTATCATTTATTCATATTGATACCAGGTGAGTGAGATAAAAGCTCCCACAGACTTTGTTGGCTAAAGGTGGGTTTTCAGAGGTGATGACACAGATGCAGAGTAGAAAAAAAAAAACCCACAGATCCCCTGTATTTGTGATGGGGTTACTTCCGATAAACCCTTTGTAAGTTGGATGTAAATTAAAAATGCACTTGGGCCTGCCCTGGTGATGCAGCGGTTGAGCACTGTGCTGAGAGGCTGCCCACAGCCTCTGCAGCGCCGGTTTCGTTCCCGGCCACAGGCGAGGGTCCCACCAAAAAAAAAAAAAAGCACTTACTGCACCTACCAAACATCACAGCTTAGTCTCACCTGCCTTTAAAGTGGTCAGGACACTGACATGCGCCTACAGCTGGGGAATCATGCAGCCTGTTTTATAATCAAGTGTTGAGTAGCTTGTGTCGTTTACTGAATAAAGTACTGGAGACCAAAATCAGTCTGGGGAGTATGGTTGTCTTCCTGGCTATCGTGGGTGACTGGGAGCTGCTGGCGTCACGAGAGAGAAATCCTTACTCAGCCTCATTGCAGGTTCTTACTGCGACTTCAAGCAAAATGATGTATCCAGAAATTAGATTGCCCAAGAAGTTTTTAGTTCAAAAAAGGTCAGGATTTTTCCCGCTCTCATCAACATATAATGAACAGATATTAAGGAAACATCAGGAAACTGCTGTGGCCAGCCTGGGAAATAGCGAAGGTCAAATACAGCCTCCACTGAAAGGTTACTACTTTTTTTCTTTTCTGATGAGAATGTGGATTTTTATTTGCAGACAAAGAAGGGGGCAGCTCTTTTTCTCTCAAGAGTGCAGGGGTGGGCCTCCCCAGTGGCGCAGCGGGTTGAGCGCAGCCCTGTGAAGCTGTCTACAGCCACTGCCGCGCAGGTTCGATTCCTGGCTGACCAGGGAGATTCCCACATGGCGTGGCAGACCTCTCCTGTCTCCCCCGCTGCTTCCCTCAGCTGTGTATTTAGGTCATCTGCCTGTTCTGCTCCCTGCTGTCTCTGGTGAATCCTCTAATCCTCCTGTACCTGTGGCCTGTACCCCAGCTCTTGTATAAAACAATAAATAAATCTAAAAAAAAAAAAAAAAAAAGAGTGCAGGGCTGGTCATTTGTCCAGGGGACTGTGATTTGGGATCTACTTGACCCCACAGCCACTAGGTCTGCTCACAACAATGGTCACTATTTGCTGAGAAAAGAGGAGGGCGCTTTCTTTCAGTTGGTCACATAGGCCGAGAATCACACAGCCCCCTCGTGATCAAGGAAAGGACAGTCCTTAAACACAGTACTTCTTAGAAAGGTAACGTAAAAAAGCCTAGAACATACCTGTCCATTTATCTCTGTCCAAGCTCCGGGAACTTTATCATGACCACGGATCCAGTTATGTAAAACTTCAGCAGACTGGTCCCAGGAAATCTAGGAAAGCACAGAGCACAGACTGAACCTCCTCATGCTTCAAGTTCAAAGGCAATGGAAGCAAGTATCTCCATCAGTGGCAGAAGTGGGCAGTGCTAGGGCAGGCTGGCCTGGAGAGCTATCATTTGGAGAGAATATGGCACACTGGGTACTACTGAAAAGTAAAAAAAAAATGGCCATGAATTTCAGGTGCATTATTGCACTGACATAAATACCTCAGCATTCTCCTTTTTCTGGATACCTTCATATGTTGCCCCTTCTTCTGGCTGGGGAATACGAGGTGCTTTTCCATCAGCTATGAGTTGCACAGCTTCCACCTAAAACCAGAAGTGTTACCTGTTACGTGTGCTGTAATCCAGTGGTCAACATTGACATAGCCTTTTAACCCAAATTTCTGCGTAACAGAATTACTACACTTAAATCTGTCCAGAGAGTCAGATTATGATACTAACTACCATTTCTTCAGGTCTTTCTATACACAAGGCAGGGTGATAGCTCCTTTATGTAAAATATCCCTTGCAAACCTCATAACAATCCCGCAAGGTGAATGCTATTATTCCTGTTTTACAGATGAGGAAACTGAGGTTTAGAAAAGTTAGGCAAGTAGCTCAACATTGCAGAGATAGCTTGTAGGTATCAGAAGTAAGATTTGTGTCCAGGATTGTCTACTGCTTGTATCAAGCATGTACTCTTAAAAACAACTCTCTTTAAATTAATGTCAACCCCCATTTGGTTTTTCAATGGCTATTTCCAGAATACAATTATGGAAATAAGTCATCATGAGTTATTTTGGCTCATTATGATTATTCTTAAAAAGTAATATATTGTTATATTTATGTTTCTCAACTTGCTTTCTAGCTTAGAAAACCTGGAATAAAAATGAAAGTTAAAATAATTCCACAAGTTTGATTGCCTTCGTGATGTATCCTGCACTCTCTCCTGTCTTCTATTTGTTTGCACTGAGTTTAAAGTCCCTCCCCTTCACTGGGGGGATCATGGAAGCTCAAGTTCTCAGATTTCTCTCTAAATACAGTTGCTGACCATTCTCCCCAAGAGCACATGGAGGAAGCCACCCAGGAAGAGAGCCAAATTCCTAGTTCATTCATTCCACCCACTTTTAGTATAATTAATTATGTGTGTGTTTTGAATGTAATTATTTTGAATGTAATTATCTTTTTTGAGTACCTACTGTGTGCCAGATGCTTTAACAGTATCATTTAATTTTCACTACAACCCTATAAATTAGGCATTATATACATTTTATCGATGAGGAAACCAAAGCTAAAGAGGCTAAGTGATTTGCTTATTGTCATTTCAACAAATAAGTGGTCAAATGAGAACTCTGGCATCTTTCTGACACCAAAGCTCTTCTCTCTTAATCATTAAATGACACAAAGTATTGCTTTCTGCTCCCCTATATTGATGACTGTGGCTTTGTATCATAGGTTGTCCATCTCTGGGTGGCTACTTCTACCAATAAAGCACTGGAAAAAAAATAATGATATCGAAATCATTTTCCAACATTCTTACCCAGAGCACAATCAGAATAAATTTTACAAATGCCAGGTTTCATCCTGTTACATAGACGTATTTCAAATACATTTAAAGGAAGTCCAAATCACATAGGAAAATTTCTTCAGATTCTGTACACTTCTTTATAATTAGTCATTATAAATAAGGTTTGGAGATTCAAGTATTTGACAAAATAGATGAAGTTTTCTCCTTCATCCGCTAGATCACTGCTCCCAGAAGAACAAGTCGGTTTCACAGACTAAGAAATTTTAAGGTTCATATTCCCATCCCAAATACGTCATTATTGGTAAACATAAAATCTAATGGATTTTCAGCTTTATATTTTTAATAAAAATGCATATGGACAAATTCTCAATTAAAAAAACTACTTCTGAAACTTTTAAAGGCTTACAATCTCTTTTTGATGATATACATATACTGACCATCGCCTTGATTCCTTCAGGGAAAAGAAATCGATTATAAAGTACATCCACTGTGTCATTGGGTTGGACATCACAGGACCTCTGAAGAAGGATGGGTCCCGTATCTAAACCATCATCAGCCCAGAAAATGGAAAACCCAGCTTTCTTATCTCCCATAATTAGAGTCCTGTGAAGAGAAGAGTTTCAAATTAAAACATCAGTTAGTTATCATAAAATGATGTACTAGCAGTGATACTAAAGTATAAGGTAGGTTGCAATGGAAAAGCACACAGTGAACAACAGTAGAGAGTTGAGTCAGAGGATGTCACACCCATAAAAGCAATACTGTATGGGACTGATATTTTATATCCTATTATCTGTTGTCTTTCTTGTTACCATATACTACTAACTTGTAGTCTATTCTGGAGGGCAATGGAGGCCATCATTACTACTCCTCAGGTGTCTGCTTTATATTCCAAGTTCAGGTAACTCTGCCTACCTGGGAAAGTCATATTCCTATATCATATTAGAGCTGTGTTAGGGAGGGTAAGATAGTGGAAGGTAAAACAGAGGCTATTTGGTGTAATGTGAAAAGGTAAATTGATTTTTAATTTAGGCTGTGTAATTCAGGTACAAGTTTAGATTGTTTTTGCAAATTGTAGTAGAAAGGATTGATTAATTCAACCATTTACATTTTGTGTTCTGTAAAGCTTAGTTGAAGAGAAAAAGTTGGTCTTGTAGATGCCTATTATACAAACAATAAGCTGAACATATGGACAAATACACACAAAAATACACACAAATACACACAAAAGCTTATCAGAGATCAGACTAATATAGACAGAACATGAAATGCTAGGTCAGCCATGTCCATGATCTAAATTATTTTTACTTTTCTGAGCTACGAATCAAGTAAGAGCTCATGAAAATAGACCCATTTCTCTGTTATTAAAAAAAATCATACCAGTTGATAGCAGAGGCACCTCTGTGCCTGGGGAGGATAGACGGATGGTAAATGATGGACCCATGTTTTGGGCTGTCAATTACATCCATGGGGATGAACTGTGTGCAGAAGGGAAGCACGTTTAGTTCAGCTCCCACGGATCTGTAGGCCTCAGCCACCTCCTTTATGGTGTTGCCCTTGACTCTCCATCTTGGAAACTTGAACACAGGGGTCCCGTCTTTCTCGGCAGCTAAAGCTGAGCACAGAAGAGGATTTTCATTAAAAAAAATTAGCCTTGAGTTTATATTGTTATGATTAATATAATTTACACATTATATTTTTACAGATTGACAAAACATTTACAAATAAAACATTGTGAAGAAGAATTCGTGATCAGAATTTGACCCATTACAATTTTATCATGATCCATTTATTTTCCTAAAGTTATTTTTATCTATATATTTAAGGCACAGTATATTTGAACTCAAAAGTTTGGAATTAGGTAACATTTTGAGTTTTTAATTCAAGCCTTTTCTTTCGTAGATCAATATGTGTACCTTTCCTAGTGACACAGTCATTGAGAGAACATTTGTTCATTGATTTTTTTTTTAGATTTGCAGCTAAGTACCCATCTATCACCACCCAAATGAGACATGTTCAGCCTCTGGCATAGACAAAACACGGAATCTCTCCCCAGCTCCTGTTTCCTGGGGAGAAGTCTCTCTTACCACAGGGCAAACTATAGATCAGAAAACATTATTTCTGCCAAACAGACAGATCCCAAAATATAAAGGAAGAAAGTTGCTGAGCTGAGCTTGTAGAGTTCCTTGTCCCAAATTCACCAGTCAGCCAAGAAAGAAGCCAAGAATACACACTCCCCATAAAGCTTTTGCGATACTGGAGCATACGTGCTCTTGGACCAACATTTTTTTCATCTGGACTCTTGAAAAAGAGTATCAAAGTATAGTATTTTTTATAGCAGCAACAAGAATTAGTATAAACTCCAGAGCTGCTACTTCAGAGAAAAAAAGGAAAAATTTTATGATAATCACAGATCATTGTTTTCCAACCAAAGTGAGGCATCCCACCAGCAACTTGTAAAGATCCAAGTCAAAGCCAAGATTTCTAGTTGCTAGTTCTTTCCCCCCACCTCTACTATTTGTAGACTGTTTCTTTCCTAAGAGACCACATCACTTCTAGTGGGTGAGCCTTCCCTTCGTTCTTATCGGCACCTCTGCATCAGACCTTATTCTACACGTCCAATAATAGCACCTTTGGAAAGTCACAAATGTATTTCGAGAAAAACACGCGCCTGGAAATTTCCCTGGTGGGTCTGGTGATTACAGAGGTAAGTGGGAAAACTCCTGGAGCTTGGGCTTTTGTCTTGGAGCGCCCTTGGCAAGATAGGGAGTTTGTATCCACCTTGCAAACAGACTTGGCCAAAGGAGGCTTTCAACAGGAAGAGAGGGTGTGGCAGAGCCAAAGGGAGGTGTGCAGCCTGGGTTAGCAGGGCCTATGACTAAGAAGTGGAAGCACTGAAATTCTGATGGAAGCACAAATGCTGGGTGCTAGGTTGGATAACTGAAGTGAGTACAGAGTCCTTAACCCAGTTGTCCTAAGACAAACTCACCTAGTGGGTCAGCTTTTCCATCCTTGTCAGGAACTGTGAACACTCCCACAACTTGGTGGCCCTGTTTGCAGAGGTGGCTATAGACTTCTTGTCCAAAGAGGCTCTGGCCAATAAGGGCCAATTTCAGCTTGTTTTTTAAATACACCTGTGGAAGAAATTCAATGACAACCAATGGATTCATGATTATTTGTTAGCATGGGTAGAAGGCACCTGGATAATGAACATTCAATCATAAAAGGCTCAGTGATCTACAACTAAAAATTTGAGATACACCGAACTACATTATAAATAGATAGCAGTAAAAATTCACACCTAAGTCTTCTTTGTTTTCTCCTTGCTCTAATTACCTTGGTTATCCATTTGAAGTACTGGGATTGCAGGTACCCCTTTCAGTACATCGTTCTATGAATTCTGATGGCCCTGTAACTACTACCACAATCAAGATATAGAACAGTTTCATCGTCTCCCACCAAATACTCTCAGGTCCTTCTGTAATCACCTCTTCCCCTATCCTCCAGCCCCTGACCTTTATTCTACCCCCATAGTTGGACTCTTTCACAAATGTTAGACAAATGGAATCATAAACATGGAATCATAAATCCCTTGAGTTTGTCTTCTTTTAATAAGTGTACATGTTTGGGTTACATGCATAGTATGTGTAGCTTTTTGGTTTTTTTTTTTTTTCTGAGTAGGATTCCATGGTGTGGATGGATATACCACAGTCTGTTGATCCTGCCATCTAATGAAGGACAGTTTAGTTGGTTTCAGTTTTTGGCGACTGTGACAAAAATCTCTTTGGAAACATTCCTGAATAGGTATTTGTGTGAACATTAGGCTTTCATCTCTCTTGGGTAAATATCTAGGGTGCAACTGCTGGGCCTTTCGGTAAGTATATGGTTAACTTTATAAAAGCTGCCAAATAGTTTTCCAAAGTGGCTGTATCATTTTACACTGCCACCCGCCTTGTTTGATTTTTAATAATTCTTAAAGAACACAGTTCAGAGGATGGAGCCCCATTTTCTATGCAGTAAAATATGCCAAATTTTCCCTTGTCATTCACTGTGTTCCTTTTTGTCATCTTCCCAGTCATGCGCCGCTGTATTCCTGGCTACTCTCTGACTTAGCCTCCTCCCCACACCCCAAGTTTTTGTCTATGCCATTTGCCACCTGGGATGTTTACCTTTCATTACAGAATCTTATGTAACCCTCACTACTGTTTTCATTTCTCCAGATCCTTTTCAGCTCTCCAAAATAAGACAATTCAATGAAAGGCAGGGACAGGGGAAACCAAGAAAACAGGTGCAAGCCCCTTGCCGGGGGGACCATCCACCCAGACTCCCATGTGCCATGCACAGAAGAAAGCTAAGGAGGAGTCCAGAGCAATGCTTAAGACACCAAGCAAAAGTTCTGGGAAGGCAAGCCTTTTTTATACTCTTTAAAAAGAAGACTATAATGTAACTAGAATTGACTGCAAGAGGTAAAGTTAATTCTCATTATGGGGTTATCTGGGGGAGAAAGTGTTTCCATTTATGCAACTCAGTACCATTCTCTTCCTCCAAGTTCTTTGCACTGGATATACTTGCAGGCATGTATGATACGAGTTTGGCAGAGAAGACAAATTGAAAGGCAAATTCTTTCATAATAACACAAGCATGAGCTTCCTATAAAGGAGACGATGTGAGTGGGTTAGATTTTTCCCCCGTCCTAAAGTGCTTGGAGTCTGCCTAGAGATGCAAAAAGGCTTTTTCTTCCAGGCCCGCGAAGTCCTGGAACCAGCCCCACATGCAACGTGTCTGCTCTCGTTTCATTTCTGGAAGAGCTGATGCAATTCCAGGGCGCGGGGCTGGGCCAGAGCTGGGATCTCGCCCTACGGTTTAATACTGTTCCAAGGTGGCTGCTTCTGCAACGCCTAGGAATCCTAGAAATCTTGCCGCCTGCAGCTTGCAGCATAATGAGCTTGCAGCCACCAGCTCTGAGTGCCAGCCATTATCTGAATGGGCCTGGCACGCCAGCTGGGAGCGCACACACCTCCTAGCCCGCCCGAAGAGGACCTGCCCGACTTGTCACGACCCTCCTCCACCGGTAACAAGGCTCTCCCCATTGAAATGAAAACGGGAAGAGGTCCATCTGCCTGCCCCTCCCTGCCAAGTGACTGTCCCCACCCTGTCAATCCCAGCCAGACCTCCGATGTTCACAAGCCGCATCCTCAGCCCCTTTCCAGCAGAGCAAAAACGGTTCTCTCGACAAGCCCCATTCGAGACCCCCCCTCGGCCCTCCCTGCAGTCTCCCAGGTTTAAAATTGCCGTCTGGGCTTTTAGCAAAGTCCTAAACATCGCTGCCCACCCCGAGCCCTGCCACCCGGCCCTCCCGCCGCGGGGTCTGGAATCCAAGCGAGGGGAGAGCCGAGGCGCGGGCCGGGGCGGGACTCACCCGGCCGGTGGAGAAGCGCCGCAGCGCCGGGCCGCCCCGCCGCAGCATGCCGGAGGGGAGCGCGCCGGGCAGCTCGGGCGTGGGGCGGTCAGCGGCTCAGCCCGGCGCGGCCTGCAGCCTCCCCGCCCGCGCCTCGGCCCCGCCCCGCAGCTGGCAGAGCCCGGAGGCCAACCCACGCGCCTGGGCGGGGCCAGTGCCAGGCGCCGGGGCCGCGGGGCGCAGATTCTGGTGCCCAAGCGGAGGGACCGCTCGTGGCAGCCGCTTCAGGTCCAGACGAGGTCCAGTTACTACCCGTTACTCAGGGCTCTGCCTTAGCAATAGTCGACCTGATACCCAAACGGTGTCCTGGGGAGGCAAGAAGCTTGATTTGCACCCCGAGCTGCCAAGAGAGGGGTGAAGGCCCTCCCTTTGCTGTGGAAAGATCCAGATCCCTATCTAGTAGTTTGACAAGTGAACTTAGTGATCAACGGTGTTTAATACACTTGACACAGGGCCTGGCATAGACCTGGTCCTCATAGATGACACATAGCAATGACAGGTGTGTGTGTGCGTGTGTGTGTGTGTGTGTGTGTGTGTGTGTGAGAGAGAGAGAGAGAGAGAGAGAGAGAGAGAGAGAGAGAGAGAGAAAGGCAGAGATGAAAAGGTGGTTCTGGGTCTTGTAGGACCTGTATGCTCTTTTAAGTAATGGGAAATGCTGAACCTTTTTCTTCTGCTCATTGTTTAATATTGTGGAATCCTCAAGTGTACACACTACAGAACCAACCAATCACCAATAATCTCACAGCCCAAGGATAATTGCTCAAAATGTTGGTCTTTTCCTCACTCAAGCATAGTTAAGCAGTGATGTGATTTTGTGTTTTAGGAAAATGCGTTTGTTAGCCCTGTGGAAGGTGGTGACAATTTGGGAGGTATTGCCAATCGGTTAAGTAAGTAATCCCCCATGCCAACGGAAAGAAAAAAGGGCCAGATCTGAAAGGTATTTTTAAAATAAGAAGAATTAAACCTTGTGACTTATTGGGACAGGAATTTGGAAGGGAGGGAGCAATAGAGGGCAAGGCTGTAGTGTCTAGACTGGGCTTCTAGGTGGGAAGTGAGGCCATTCACCAACTCATCTGTTATTGATGGGGTACATCCTGGGTAAGAAGTCCATCCAAAACAGTGCAAAGGCTAAAATAATCAACTTAAGGAAGTGGCTGCCGGTGAAGGAGTAATGGGAAAGAGGTGGGTGAGGGTTACTGTTCTTCATAACAAACCTTGTATATGTACTTCTAAACCAGGTGTTGGCAAAACCAAAGGATTAGACAGAAAATTTTCAAGCATTTGCAGGTCATAGGGTCTCTACTGCAACTACTTAACTATGCTATTACAGTGCAAAAGCAACCACAGATGATAAATGTATGTCGTCGTGTTTCAATTAAACTTTATAGACATTGGAATTTGAACTTCTTGTAATTTTCATGTGCCATGAAATATCTGTCTTGACTTTTCCAAACATTTAAAAACATAAAAATCATTTTTAGTTTATTCATTGTATAAAAATAGACTGGATTTGGAAAGGCGGTAGTTTGCTGATATCAAATGCTTTGATCATTGCACTGATGCAGACTTAAAACTGCCAAAATAAACAAAACCCCAACACACCTCTTGCAAAAAAAGACTGGAAGGGACTTCTTGGCAAGGTGTACATAAAGAGAAACGACATCAAGTATCTTTCTTTGCATGGTCAAACCTTGTGTGCACTTAAAAAAATCAGGGACAAAGATGGCTGCTACCACCATTTCTATTCAACACTGTTCAGTTTAGTATAACCTAATTCTTTAATAAAATTTGAGATGCTAGGCTGTGGAATTTGATTTAAACATGTATAAATTTAAAATAGTTAACCCCAGAGACTTAAGAAAAAGTTATATTGACTCAAAACAGCTCACATGTCCAGCATGTGGCTGTGGTTGGTATGTTCTATGACTCTTACATGTATAATCTAAATGACTCCTCACCAATCCTATTATGTGGCTACGATTAATCTCCCCATTTTACAGATGAAGAAATTGAGTCTGAGTTTAAATTATTTGGCCAGAAATCATATGGCTATGAAGGAACAGAATTATGATTTGCACCTACACAATTTGGCTTTTCAATGATGAACACCTGAATTATGAGTCAATGCTACATCAATTAAAAAATTTTAAAACTTAAAACGTGAGAGGAGAAATATCTCAACCTCTAAATATTGTTACAAATATGGGGAAAAGAAATACACAAAGTTATCCAAATGTTTATCTTGGAGTAAATAGATGATCTGGAGATGTTTTTTTCTTGTTCCTGTATTTTCCAAATTATCTCTAATAAACATGCACTATTTTAAAAAAAGATTTATATATGTATACAAGAGCTGGGTACAGGCCAGGGGGTACAGGCTGGGGTACAGATGCAGGGGGTGAAAGGACTCATCAGAGACAGAGTGGGGAACAGAACAGGCAGACTGACTAAAATACACTGCTGAGGGGAGCGGCGGCAAGACAGGAGAGGTCTGCTGCACCATGTGGGTTTCTCCCTGGCGGGCCCGCGATCCAACTCATGCTGCAGAGGCTGTGGATTGCCTCATAGTGTGGTGCTTAACCCCTTGCCCCACCAGGGAGGCCCAACATGCACTATTTTAATTAGAAAAGCCGTGCTTAATTACTACATAACACTCCCTCTTGTCAATGATCTATTAACTTTGATTAATGAGTTTGTGGATACAAATGCTCTGAATGTGGCTTTAATTTATCATTATGAGCTACTCAATAATTGATGCATATGTGACTAATATAGCAAAACTGAATGGTGACCACATAGAAAATAAAGGGGAAAAAGTTTTAAGCTATAAGGCACGATGTTACCTTTAATTTTCAACTTCATTTTTCTTTCTAAAATGTCACTAATACTGCAAGCACCACACAGGCAGGCTGTGTGTGTGTGTCTTCATAATAATCTCTGCATCTAGTCTGGTGCCTGGTATTAGTGGGTACTCAAATATTTGAACTACTACAGATCCACTGGCCTCAGGAAATGTTTTAAGGGCCATTTTGACTTAGCTGTTTTGACTTAGCTATTTTTGGTCCTTGTTGAGATTACAGAACACCTAAATCCTTGTTAAAAATTCAAAAACATAAGCAGATACAGCGAAGCTTGAAAATCCACTTTCTAATCACCAACACGTATTCTTTTCTAGCTCGACAGTGCCCTGTTATTTCTTTCTACGCATTTCCATGCTTATATGTACTTAAATGTAGATCTTAAACACATAAATGTAGTCACAAATACACCTTAAGTACAGGAACCTCGTGTTGGTTTCTCGTGCCTCTATAAATCCATTTCATTTCTCTTAACAGTTATCTAGTATCTCATAGTATGGCTATATTAAACTTTGTAATTAATCCCTGTAGATGAACATTTTGATCTTCTGTTTATCAGCATTCACTAAAGACCATGCACAAAAGCGTCATGAATTACTGAATACAGAAAATCCCAGAAAAGCCAGGTGTCAGGTATTTAGACCGCACTTAAATAGCGCCCCTTCCTCTCCCCTCCTTCATGCCCACATTTTAAGAGGAGGGGTTGCAGAGGCGGCCAGCAAGGTCAGAAGGTAAAATTCCTCGCTGGGCGTTGGCACAGCAACTCCTCTGCAGCAGCGGCTTTTCTCAACAACAATCAATCCACTCAGGGTGCGCAGGAGGAGAGCCGCAGGATGTCTCAAGGCGGCGGCACGGAGTGCGAGGGAAATGCAGATTTCTTGGGAGACCCGTTTGGAAAGCGACTTTCTCGCACCCACGCCTTCCAGCTAAACCCCACCCATCTACTGTACCCGTTTTAAACTAGACTGAGGGAGCATCTCCCCAGGCATTAAAAAGTATTCTGGGGACTCCACTGGTGGCGCAGCGGTTGAGCGCTGGGTTGCGAACTGCCTGCAGCCTCTGCACCGCCAGTTCGCTCCCTGGCCGCCGGGTGAGGGTCCCACATGGCGCACAGACCTCTCCTGCCGCACCCCCTGCTCCCCTCAGTAGTGTACTTCATCAGTCTGCCTGTTCTGCTCCCCGCTCTGGCTCTGGTGAATTTTTCACCCTCCCGTGCTTCTGACTGTACCCAGTGCTTGAATGAATGAATGAATGAATGAATGAATGAATGAATGAATAAATCTTTTTAAAAAAAGTATTCTGGACACAGTGAGTCACAGGCCAAGAGGACAGCTTCTAGGGTCAGAACAGACTAGGACAAACCCAAGGAGGAATAAGGAGGTCTCCAGAGAGCAGGGCAATAAATTCTCAAGGGGATTAAACACAAACACACACACACACACACACACACACACACCACCCCACCTCCCAAGCAGGACATTCCTGGACAAGGGCAATAAAAGAAGGACTCCAAGATCAGGGCTGTGAAGCAAGATGGAACTGTGGGCCCAGAACTAGCCAATCACACACCGAAGGGCTTTAAATAATTAGGGCAAAAAGGCAAATATTCTCCGAGGCACGACAGCAGGTGGCTTCCTGGCCCCTCCCTCGCCTGGTTCCACCCGCCCAGACGCCCCACTTGGTTTCTGTTCCTTTTCTTCGTAACAAACTTTCCCGCATCTCTGTCTCTCGAGCCCTCCGCCTCCGCCTCTCCTCGCCTGCTTGCCTGAGTCGCGAGGTCCGCTGCGGCCTCCTCAGACCCCAGCCTGCGGCGGTCTAGCGACTGGGGTCGGCTCCGGAGCTGAACCCCAGCGGAGCGACGCGGGGGCTCCCCGGCGGCAGGAGAAGAGCAGCGAGGGGCGGCGAGGTCCCCACCGGAGCCGCCGTCGCCATGGCGACCGCCTCCGGCCACAGCGCTGGACTCGCTTTCCCAGCGGCCCCCGCGGCGCCGGGCCACAGGCCCCGCCCACCCTCCCCTGCGGGGCGGGGCCGGGCCGGGGGCCGGAAGTCACGTGCGGTGACAGCGCCTCGAGGTCAGGCTGCCGCGACCGCCCCGGCTGCTTGGGCTGCGCCCGGGGGAGGCGTCGGGGTGATGGCGGTGGAGACTCTGTCCCCGGACTGGGAGTTCGACCGCGTAGACGACGGCTCGCAGAGTAAGGGAGCGGCAGGGCCGGGGCGACGCGGGCCGGCGCAGTCTTGGGGCGCTCCTGAGGGGGGCTCCCCGCCGCGATCGCTGCGCAGCCGGCCCGCGGGGACCCTTTCTTTCTGCCCCTGGGGCGGGAGAGGATGCGCTCCCCCGCGGCCCTTTCGGGGTGGGGGGCCCCAGCTCTGGCGGGGCGGGCTGGTCCCCGTTGGACTCGTGGGGAGCCTCTGGCGTCGGGGGGCGGCGTCCACTCGGCAGCCCCGGGGCGCGGCCGGGCGCGGCCGGGGGGGGGGCGGCCAGCGGCGGGGAGCCGAGGTGCCCCCCGCCGGGCCCCCGGGGCTGTCGCCAGCTCCCCCGAGCGTTGCAGCTCCAGAAGAGGCTCAAGTCCGGTTCCTGTTTCAGTTCCTGTTTTTCTTGTTTTCTCCCCAAACCTACTTTCGGGAGTTGGAATTTTTTTCCCTTCATGGTCTTCGGACTGTGGAAGACAGACAGAAAGAGCTCGTCACACGGTCAGGATAAACACGAATGTCAGTTTCTCTCTGGCCACGGCCTTGCCTTGGGTTGAGTGGTGATTCTCTGTGATGTCCTGAATTTTCCATCGCAGCTGGAAAGGCTGCAGAAATTACAGCCGGTCTGCTTCAGATTTTGAGATCTAATTCCCTAATTAAACTTACAAGTCCAGTCTTTCCCCCCACCCTCCAAAATAACCATTCCTTTCTGGGAAGCAAAATTTAATAAGAGGCCAGACTCTCCCAGGGAAACTCTACTTAAGATTCATCTAAATTGGTAATAGGTTTCTAATTTTTGGTGATAGTGATCGGTATACTTGACACAGAGATATTGGGATGTATCACTTGTGAATTATTTTTTAAAATGCAGTTTTCCCAAAAGGTGAATGTAATTTTAAAAAAATTATGTGAATTATGTGTGATTTTACAAAGGAAGAGTGATGTGTGCAGACTCAGATGTGATTGGGTTTTATTAGCCTGTCACAGCAGCATGGACTGCAGTCAGGATGGTTTGCAGGGTTTGTGCAAAACATTCCATAAGATATTAGCTCTTAGGCAGCATAAAAGAAGGTGATCTTGGGGGTAATGACAAAACCCTTTAACTTTTGTGTGGTGGCGTTTCTGTGTTTCCTGTTACAGAGTGACTGCACTTGACATGTGTGCTATGAAATACATACTATGGGAAAAGGCCCCCTACTCCAGTGTCTTAAGAAAATTATAATGCAAATATGATAATGGCCTTGAAAATAGTTCTGTTTAAAATAGAATGAACTGGTTCATGGAAACACACTTTTTAACATACCAGGCACTGTGTTAGGTATTAAGCATACAAAAGATAAAACAAGGAATGCATTTATTTGGAAGAGATAAGCATGTAAATAGGTTTCTGAAATTTTACTTTTGAATGATCACTATGTAGTGATTTTGGTTTTTTGTTTGTATTAATTTCTTATTTGTATATTTTGTATTTCCTTTTACTTTGTTATTTATTTCATGTCTTTTTATATCTCTTTGTTAATGTTTACCAATTTTACAACTATTCATTATTTTATCACCAAGGAACTTTAATGTCATTCTAGGTTTTCTGTTGCCTGCTATTTTGTGAATTCACAAGCAGACTAAATGAGTAATTCAGTAGCATATTTCTCTAGCATTGCCACTAGTAACACATTTGCTCCTTAAATGCGGCTTTGGCTGGTTACATGGCGTTTCCCATGTAATTGGGAATTAGACTTGAATTTGGGATTCTGAGACTGTTATGCAGTTTTTATATTTAAGCTTTAGAGAAGAGGAGACTTCTCATTTCTTTCCTGTGCTTAGTTTTCATTAATTTTTGGATTATATCTTATATTACACCTAGACTAATTGTTTTCCAAAATAGCCTGTATTAATGCTATAATGAGATAGGAGCTTTAATAAACTCAATCGATCTTCCTGACTCAGAGCATTAGTTGCAAAATAAGGGAGAGTGGGGAACTTTACATTAGTCAATCAGAACATATTTAAGTATTAGGCATTATAGGAATAAATCATTATGAAGAAACAGGTCTGAAACCAATGGAAAACAATACTTAGGTGTTTTTTAAGCAGCCTATTGTGTATAGAATTAAGAATTACATTTTGAAATTTTGCTTCAATGACAGCATGGATTTTTGCACCTGATTCAGGTCATGTCTATTTCTTTTTTTGCAAAAAAGTTGTTTATGACTAAGATGTAGGACCAGGGCACTTTGTTTTAGGTATTATTCAGATTGTTTAAAAGTCTTTGATTATAAGGTAAGTAGGATAATGACTTTCATAATATTTTAAAGATACAGTTTTAAGATGATCTATTTATATACTCTTATCATCTACAGTATTGCTTTTAAAAATATTTTATCTGGAGAAGATTGAAAGTGAATTATTGTTTAGCTTTGAAATCTTTTTTCAAGAAGTCCAGACATTCCAAAATAATACATTTAACAATGTTTAGTATCCACTTTGCTGTGACTTTTGTAATTTTTTGAAGTAAATGCCCTGTAATTTATTACCTGTATTTCTCACTTACTGTTTTAAAATTTAAATTTAGAAATTCACGCTGAAGTCCAACTTAAGAATTATGGGAAATTTCTTGAAGAGTATACATCTCAATTGAGAAGAATTGAGGATGCACTGGATGATTCAATTGGAGATGTTTGGGATTTCAATCTTGATCCTATAGCATTAAAGGTTTGATTTGATTTTTTAAATTTATGTATATATTTTCAGGAGATACTGTATGGTGTAAACATTTTTAAAGAATGGATTTTTTTTATTTTGAATCTAGAGACTAAATTAAACTGGAAGAAAATTGTTAATTTTTTTCTCTTAGCAGGTGCTTTTGTTTGTTCTTTTTGTGTTCTTTTTTTTAATAACAACAAATTTCTTTTTTTTTTTTTTTAAAGATTTATTTATTTATTTCTACAAGCACTGGGTACAGTCAGAAGTGCGGGAGGGTGAGAGAATTCACCAGAGCCAGAGTGGGGAACAGAACAGGCAGACTGACGAAATACTCTGCTGAGGGGAGCAGTGGGCGCAGCAGGAGAGGTCTGTTGCACCATGTGGGACCCTCACTGGCAGCTGGGGATCGAGCTGGCACTGCAGAGGCTGTGTGCAGCTTTGCAGCCCAGCGCTCAACTGCTGCGTCATTAGGGGAGGCCCTACTTTTGTGTTCTTAAAAAAAGACATAAACTCCAGCTCTTGGAGCTAGATTTTTTTTTCATCATCAAGAAAATGAAGAAGGTTAGGAGTTGGTTTCCAGGTTTTATTTGTTTCCCCTTATTGAGTGTATTTTACATACAGTGAAATGCATAGATTTCAATATAAATACACTATTCACTGAATTTTGGTAAACATATAGATCCATGTAACTCATATCTCAGTCAAGATACAGCATATATATGTCATTTCCAGAAAGTTCCCTTCATTTTGAGATAGTTCTATCTTGCTTTATATTTGAAACCATAGCCTGTTACCACTTAACTAATTACTAGTATCTCTTGAGCATTTATTATGTCCTGAGTCACATAGTGACCTTTTTAATAACAGCTTTATTGAATTGTAATTCACATCATAGTTCTTTGCATTTTACTGTATTCACAGACGTGTAGGAGTATTACCACAGTCAACTTTAGAACATTTTCACCAGCGCAGAAAAAATCCCATACCCTTTAGTAGGCATTTCTCATCTGGTATGGCGCTAGTACTAAGTAGAGGCTCTAACACAGGTTTAAGTAGAATAGACTTAGGCTCAATTTTTGTATTTAACATTTTTCTTAAAGATTTATTTATTTATTTATACAAGAACCAGGATATAGGCCAGATGTGCGGGATGGGGAGAGGATTCACCAGAGACAGAGTGGGGAACAGGCAGACTGACTGAAATACACTGCTGAGGGGAGCAGCGGGTGAGACAGGAGAGGTCTGCCGTGCCATGTGGGTTGCTCCATGGCTGACAGGGATTGAACCTGCGCTGCAGAGGCTGCGGACAGCTTCACAGCACTGTGCTCAACTGCCAGCGCCACTAGGGAGGCCCCTGTTATTTAACATTTAATTTTTTTCAATTTGAAAAAAAAAATGTTTTTTCCTTTGTTTCTATAGCTTTTGCCTTATGAACAGTCTTCTCTTTTGGAACTCATAAAGACTGAAAACAAGGTATGGATTCTTAAACCTAAAAATCTGTGTTTAAAATGCTTTAGCTATCTGCTAAAATTTACTTCTTTTCTTCTTTTTTTACTTATGAAACTAGGTCTTAAACAAAGTCATCACTGTTTATGCTGCACTTTGTTGTGAAATCAAGAAATTAAAATATGAGGTAACTGTGCTTTGGACTTAAGACTTTAAAAACATAATATGAAAGCAAATATGTGCTTCTGTCTTTACAGTGTACATAAATATTAATGTTGACTGAATTATTCATTAAAAGTAATATTAGTCATGACAACCATTCATTGGGTACTTAGTAAGTACAAGTGCCAAGCTAACATGGTTAAGAGTTATAACAGCTCAGTGACATGCGTGAGGAATAAGATAAGGAAACATGTCTAAAGAGGGTGTCTTGCACAACATCTTATTGCATATTCTCAGTTGGCATCTGCATAGCTTTAAAGGCTGTGTTAGCTGCCATATATACTGACTTTCTAGATGAAACTGATTTAAAAAATTACTTTTGAATCTTTAATATACATTTAGTTTTGTGTTTCCTTACTCCTGAGCCATTAAAACTGTGGTAGAAGTTGGTAAACTTCATCTTCTTTTCCTCTCTTTTTTGATACTATGTGGTTGCTCTCTTATCTCCCATGAACTAATTGGGAAGATGTAGAATTAGAATGGTCAGAGAATTCAAAAGTCATAGCTAAAAAAAATCAAAAAGTAATTTTATGTATCAGTAATAATAATTGGTACTCTAAAGATAATTGAATTTACCTGTATTGTAAGCAATTTTTGCATTTAAGTGAATCTGTATGTAAGTGATGGAGCACTCTGCTTAATATATATGGGTAACTGAGAGAACCTAGGAATTTAAAAACAAAGGAGCAACCCTTAAGATTATTTTATTTTATTTTTTAAACAGGCTGAAACTAAATTTTATAATGGGCTCTTATTTTTTGGAGAAGGAGGTAAGTTTTAGAATTTCACATTGTTAATGTCATGATGCATTTTTGGGATTGAAATGAATAAAAAGATAACAGACAGTTGTAGGACTATATACTGTATTAGTGTGAGAAAATAAGCATTAAGATTTTTTGTTGGTTGTGTTGTTTGGTAAGCAGGTAAAACCTGAGTGATGAAGCAGCAACATACTCTCTAAAGTATTTGTGATGTTTTTATAAATTCAAAGTACTGCAGCTAGATGAGAATTTTTCTTGATTTCATTAAATAGTGAAAGTTTTAATTGTATGGGTTAATGATTGTCTCATTTTGTGAAAAATTCTGGTTTTAATACTATGTAGATTGGAAGATACACTATTGAATAAAAGTCATATTTTTAGAGGATATTTATTGAATATAAATTACAAAATTGAATTACGGTTTTTCATGTTGACTTTTAAAGCTACAGATTCCAGCATGGTGGAAGGTGACTGCCAAATTCAAATGGGTAGATTTATTTCATTCTTACAGGTAACTTGGTCTTATTTTGGGGGTGGGTTTTCTTTGAAAACTTTGAGTAAGTTACATATAATTTAAAAAGAGTTCTGAAACCTTCAAATGCTGAGAGTGTATGTTGTAAGGCTAAGCACTGTATTATAGATAAGGAGATCATAATTCCTCTAAGATTTTCATAGCATTTTTGGGAAAGTAAGGTATCAAAATAGGTTTCTTTGTATCATTTCATTTGTGGACTATTTGTTGTCATACCTTTTAAAATAAATTCTGAACTTTCTACCAGGTAGGAAAAGATTGGTTGTCAGAAAAACTTGTTCATGGCAATGATGAAGCTATTCCATGAACAGTGATGAAGTTGTTAAAAGCATCAGCAGTGATGCTTCTAACCAGTTGTTTCCAACTTACATAGGCTTTTCATCACTGAAAAGTTTTAGTTATTTTGGTTTACTTTTATAAAAAAGACCTAAATAACTTCTGTTTCTCCTCTCTCCATTATGAAAGCAACAGATGTACAATAGGATAAAAGCAAAACTTAGAAATAAGGGAAAATACCCATAATCCCATCTTCTGATTGATTGTTGGGTGTAAGATTTAAGATGTATCGTCAAATCAAACATGCTCATATATTGTTCAATTCATATCTTTTTTGTCATTGTGTATTTGACTTAATTGAGAGCATGTTGAATTATTCTCTGTGGTGGTATGTGTCAGTCAGGGTCTGGTCCAGAAATCAAATCATATAAGGTATTTTAAGAAAGGGGATTTGATATAAAGAATTAATTACATAAGAATTGGAGAGCTAAAGAAAACACAGTGAATTAATTCAGAGGAAGCAGATGCCACTGCTCCACCTAGGGGGAAGAAGGGAAAAGGCTGGGGTTGTAAGAATCTGGGAGTTTGGAGAAGGAGCACCATGGAATTGGTGCTCACACCTCTAAGGAGGCGGCACTGCTAAGATATCCCTGAGGCGCAGTACAAGGCTGGTTCCGTGGTGCTCAGAGAAGCTGGAGGCTGGAGCACGATGCCATTGCTGGGGCTCCTGCTCTTTATGTTGGTGGAAGCAGCAAGAAATAGAAAGGATGTCCTTTTCCTGCCTCTTTCTAGTCTCCCTTTCCTGCTACCTTTTAGCAGAACCTAACAAAAGATCTCTGGTGCAGGAGTCAAATGTAATTTGTTAAGGTCCCAGTGAATGTGTCAATGTTTCCCTATAGTTGCATCAAAATTTGCATTTCTTATTTTGAGGGTATTTTATTTGGTATGTACCCATTTATGATTGTTAGTCATTCCTGATAAATCTCATTATGTAGTGACCCTCTTAAGCTATAATAATTATGTATAAAATATATGATTATAGAAATATAGAAACTTTCAGAAAATACAGGAAATGGTAGATGTGAGTTGATATTTTATAACAGACATATTCTTAGGATAATTATTTCACTTGCTGTGTGCCAAATGTGTTTATAGATTAGGTTAAAGGTAATGAACATTTAAAGTTATTTCAGCATGACTTCTGGAGACCCCTCCCCCTCATCATCATTTTTTTCTAAATTGGCAACTTTTGAATGTCATCATTCATTCAGATGTTCATTCATTTTTTCACTTAATAGGACAGAAATTTATTGAGCAATTGAGGCATAGCCACCATTCTAGGTAGTGGATATTCCAAGAAGGAAAACCATGGGAATTGTATGAGGAGCTGAAACATAAGGCTTACAGTAGAAGTATGAATGAAATGCTGTGGGGGCAAAGAGGTAGAAATGACCTTGGGATTCAGGAGGTGAGTTAAGAATTGAGTACTTGAAGCATGCTTGAAGTTTTCTGGCCACAGGTTGACTAGAGATTTTACTGGAAAACTATTTTGTTTTTGTTTAACATTGTTACCATAAAATTCAATCAGAAATGGTGACATTGAAAAAGCAACTTTGTAACATATACTCAACTTGTCATTTCAGGAACTGTCTTGTTTTGTTACCAGGTGCTATGAAGTGGTGATGAATGTAGTCCATCAGTTGGCTGCCCTCTATATCAGTAACAAGTAATGGATTTTAGAAATATTTTTGCATTTATTACAGAGATACAGGAAATGTTTCCCTAAAACTAGTTAATTGTCTGAAATAGTTTTTTGTTTGTTCACTCACTCATTCCTTCATTCATTTATGCAGTATTCTTTGAATGCCCACAATACTTCAAACACTACTTGATGTATAAATACTAAGACAGTTTCTATCATAGTGACTGATTCCATTAACTGTCTGAATGAGATGTTCTTGGAATAATCTTAAAGGAATTTGGTATACAGAACAAGGCTAACATGGCAGGAGTAGATGTACTATGTTCTCTTCCTTTATTCTTTCCTCTCTCCTTTATATTGGTTCCCTGGCTTATTAGAATCATATGAGACTTCTCACACTAGAGCATCTTGGGGGTGGGTTGGGGCGGAAGAACTAGGGTATTCACAATGAAAAATTTTGTGAGTAATTCTAATGGTCTTCCAAGTTTGGGAGCTTTGCCCTAAATCAAGAGAAGTGATTAAATTTTTGTTGTGCCCTTAACTATTCTTACTACCACAAAATGACATCTTACATTTGATTAATACTTTACACTTGAAGTATGCATTCACTGTTTAGTATAACCATGATAACTTTGTTTAGGTATATGACTAGGGATTCTCAATTATAAGATGACTGAGGAGGCCTAGACTAGGAATTTGCAAGGATGCTGTAGCAGTGTTTAAATGCTGTTCTCTTGGTCACCAGTCCATTTACTGTTCTTACTATACCACCTTGCATTTTAAATCTCATAAACCGGAAGACTGTGTTAACTGTTTTCCATTTTCATGTTTTCCCCCACAGTCAGGTATTTTTTTTTTATGTTCTGTCCTTTTATTGAACCTCTATCTATGGCAGAAGGAAGCAAGAGCATAACTCCTCCACCCCTGCCATGCTGGAGAGGACTCCCACCACCATACCCCTGCCTAAGAAAGTTGAAACTAATGAATTTTTCAAATATTCTATTGTGAAATATATATTTGTACTCTGATATACAAGTAATGTTATAAATTATTGTTGAGTAAATTGAATTTCTAGGTTGTAAAATTTGAACTTTCCTAGGCTTTCAACTTTGGCATAATCCTAGTTTTGTGCATTTTTAGTAGGGATGAGCAGCCATAAGTAAGCCTACTGAAGAGAGGACTAGTTCCCAAATGCCAATGTGGGTAGAAGTACAAAATCTGACTGGGAATTGGCAATCTCTAGTCATTTAGAAAGAAATTAAAGAAAAAGCTCTGTCATATCCTACCTCCATCCTAAGCGAGGTGCTGTCAGTTTGATGGCTAAACTTACGGGCCACAAGTTGTCATAGCCCCACTCGCTGAGTTGGATCCAGGCAAGGATGGCCCAGCCTCTACGTGCAAGTCAGCCCCCTTCTTGGGAAAGTGGAATATGGTAGTAATTCTTCGAGTCCCTTAAATTTTATTACTAAAGCCTAAATGAAGAGAAATACATATTAAATTCCAAATGCTTCTACAGCTATGTGTTTTCCTTAAAATAAAAGTTAACTGTGACACAAAAGGCTTTTTTTAACCTCAGTATTATTTTATTACAGGATTGCACCCAAAATTATAGAGACAGCTGGAGTTCACTTTCAGGTAAAAGTGATTTAACTAGACATGCAAACTAAATTCATTATATTTCACTTTTGTATTATTGTATTATTTGTGTGATTGGGGATTAAAACAATTATAGCAAGATTCTTCAGAGATTTTTTTTTTTTTGCATTTGTTCTCTTCTGTGAAGGTGTTGTGAACCTATTTACGGCTAATCGTTCATTTGAAGATAACAGTTTCTTTTATTTTTACCATAATAAACTAATTTACCCACTGCTTTAATTAATTGGGTGATTTTTCCCAAATTTAACTTTAAAAATACACATAAACCTAATCTTTGATTAAATAATAATCATTAAATGTTTTTTGACAGACTATGTATGAGCACTTGGGAGAGCTGCTAACAGTTTTGCTTACCCTGGATGAAATTATTGATAATCATATCACATTGAAAGACCACTGGACTATGTATAAAAGGTGAGTTAATAAGAATATTTAAAATATTCTCTTGCTTTATGTTATTAATGTGTAAGGAAAAAGACCTGGAAGTCTATAATTAGAAGACTATCATGGGAACTCTTTTTAATGAGACAGTAACCATTCCTTAATTTTATGATTAAAGAATGATACTTGTGTAAAGCATCCTAATTCTTGAAGTGTAATAGGATGTTAATCTGATTACTTTAGAACTCATTTCTTTCCATGACAGATGTTTTTCCTGAGCTTGGTTTTATTTCATTGTATATACCCAAGATTTTTAAGGTCAAGGCGTTTTATTTTTTCAATTCATAAGCATAGACTTAATGTCTGGTATCTAAACAGCAGGTATCTGAATTTAAGATGATATAAAAATAGCATGATTAGAAAATTAAATATAAGGATTGTTTTTGTTTAAATTATAAAATGTGTAGAGCCATGCAAGAAATGTAAATAGTTTGTGATGCAAATTTAAGTCTTCTAATCTACAAGGTTACTGAAGTCTGTCCATCACAACCCTTCAAAATTTGGAATTCAGGAAGAAAAGCTAAAACCATTTGAAAAGTTCTTGTTGAAGCTAGAAGGGCAGTTACTTGATGGAATGATATTTCAGGTAAGAGAGCTATATCAGGCTCTGAACTAGAATAATATCGATCCAGCTCAAAATTATCGTAGGACACTTTTATAGTATGCTGTTGAATATGTTTTTAACTTACAACATTGTTAGTGTACTAAAATGTAATTATTTCAGTATCTAGTAGCAAACAAAATTAATAGTGTACTAATTGTATTTGGGGTGATGGTTTTTTTTTTAAGTTATTAAAGGATAAAACCATTCAAGGATTAATGCTACACATTTTCCATTCAAAGGGATTTAGAGATTAATGTAAAAATCTGAGCTTCAGTGTTAGTAAAATTAAAATGATGAATGTAGAAGTTTATCATGTACTTTATATTTAAATCTGCTCAGTAACTTATTGAGGTTCTAAATTTCTCCTTAAATGTTTTCTGTCTAGGCCTGTATTGAACAGCAGTTTGATTCTCTCAATGGAGGAGTATCTGTCTCAAAAAATAGCACTTTTGCTGAAGAATTTGCACATAGTATTCGCTCAATTTTTGCCAACGTGGAAGCCAAACTTGGTAATATAAAATGCATTTTGGGGTTTTGTTTATAAAATTTTCATTTTCTTGAAAGCAGAATTTTATGTTTTCCTTTTCTCTCATGTTACTGTTTTTTTAAGGAGAACCTTCTGAAATTGACCAGAGAGATAAGTACATTGGAATTTGTGGACTCTTTGTACTGCACTTTCAAATTTTTCGAACTGTTGATAAAAAGTTTTATAAGTCTTTATTGGACATTTGTAAGAAGGTAAGAACTTGGACCTTTTTTTTTTTAATTTGACTAGATAAAAAAGTTTTTGAGTAAAACTGGATATTTTATTCCTACTTGCAAAATTTTTATAATAATAATTACAAATGATTAATAATTTTAATAGTAATTCAAATATTTTGAATTAACTTACAATAATCACAAACATGGTATCATAATATTCATTTTTAAAATTCAAACATTCCAGAAATAAAATAACAGTAAATGAAAATATCCCTTAATTCCACATCATAAATACGTGTATACATGTATACACTTATGGATGTTCCCCAGTATTTTTCCTATACATTAGCTTTCTATTGCTCTTACTACTGTTCTTGCTTTTCTTCTTGGCACTCATTCTCATTATTGAAGTAGAAATTTTCTATATCTTTGCTATTTCCCTGATATAGTACCTAATTTTAAAATAGAAAATTTAGTTTATGTGTAGAGTCCAGTGATACATGACCAGGTAAACCCAGCTATCTTGGGTATTTATTTTTCTTTTTTTTCACTGATAAAGTTCATCAGGCTTCATATTTTTATTTACTTTTTGTATGTTTTATTGATCAGAACATTTGTGAGATTGTGTGTGTATGTGTTATTTAATATGTAGGCAGTATAAATTATGGTCATGTTCTACACCAGATATAGGAATATCTTAACTCTGTGCCACAGTAAAATAGTTTAACTCATTCTTCATGAGTTTTTATGGTTATTTTTTCTTTGAAATAAAGTATCTTCCAATGTGTATTGTAGCACTGTTAAACAGCTTATTTTTTAACCTGTATTTAATGATTTTCCTTGACTGTGTTTACCATTTTAGGTGCCAGCCATCACTCTAACTGCTAATATTATTTGGTTTCCTGATAATTTTTTGATTCAGAAAATACCGGCAGCTGCCAAACTTCTAGACAGAAAAAGTCTTCAAGCCATTAAAATACACAGAGATACTTTCCTACAGCAAAAAGCTCAATCACTTACCAAGTAGGTTTATAAATACCCATCGTGAAACTATTATTTTATGTTTTCAAGTCTTGTACTGATTCTAAATCTGGAAACCATTTTAATTATAAGATCAAATGTACTTATTTATTATTTGAGAAAAGGTTGGGCAAATGCTACAAGATTAATTTTCTAGGAGCATTTTTGTTGTGTTTTTGTTTGTTTTAAATGTTTTAGGCCTAATCTCAATATAAGATAAGCAATTTGTACTTTCTGGAGGTTTGTTTATATGTTTATATATACACATACATCTATATGCATACATATGCAATTTATCACATGCATCAATATTTTTTGACTAAATAAAATGAAATCTGCAGATGTCACTAGGTGACATTATCAACATTGTGTGTTCATGATTCAATGATGATTTTTGCAGGGGCTCATTAATTTGATGTACTTTATCTGAAGTAACATAGACACATATTTACAAGTCAAAAAATACTAAAAGGAAAAATAATTGTCTCCTGTCCACAGTACTTCAGTCCTGTTTCCGAAAAGAACACTTTTAACAGTTTCTTCCAATATTTACATCCTTATTTTTTGTTTAATACTTATTATGTAAATTTCCAAATATGCACAAACTAGAGAAACAGTAAAAAGAGCCCAGATGTTCCCATCACTTAGCCTTAATAGCTGAATTTACTCTGCGTTCTTATTTTGAGTAGGCTGCTACAATTACTTGTTGACCTCCCTGAAGATTTTAAGTTAAAGTGACATGGGATTTTGCCACTAATCCTTAACTGGTCACAGATGAAATGGCTGCTGTAAGGAAATATTTTATCTCAACCACTATGAAGAAATGAAAGTAAATATTCTTTCCTAGCCTAAGTAACCCCAATATTTTCCTTTGCTAGAGATGTACAGTCTTACTATGTCTTTGTGAGCTCATGGATGATGAAAATGGAATCTATTTTATCTAAAGAGCAGAGAATGGATAAATTTGCTGAAGACCTCACCAACAGATGTAATGTTTTTATACAGGTAGTTGCATCTTCTTTCTTAGACTATTTTGGAGGTCATTTCTTTGTTAATCCGATTTATAGAAATTATACTTGGAAAACACTGAGAAAGGATATGATGTATTTTTGTTTTTTTAAAATTGAAATTGGTTTGGTTATGCTGGGATCTAAGTGACTTACTAATTGATTTTTTTTCTCTAATATTTGCATTTAAAATTACAATTCCCTTCAAAGCATGATTTTTAAAACTATATTCTGTAAGAGGACATGGATGCAGATGGAAACAGATAGTCTAAGTAATAAGGAATTGACTTGGAACTGAGAAATACCTCTTTCTTAGTTTTCAATTCCTAGCCCCTTAGTATCCTGAACTCTTGTCTTAAGCTCTCTCAGATACATGTCTTTATCTTCTTGCTTGGCAGGTAAGAAAAGGATGAATAGAAGCCTCCTGACATCCAGATTATTTCTCAAAAAGTTTGTTTTTTTTTCAATGGAAAGATTCTTTAGCTGTAATTATACAGTATAATTTCAGCAGTACTGAACTTCTGGCATGTAATAGGTTAAATAAATTTTCAAGGGTTTCTTTGAAACCTAACTACCATGTATAATATTGTGTGAGGCAGAGTATTTGAAAGTCTCAAGAGCTAACTTTAAAATGAACTTTAGCAACACTGGTTATTGGCGAGTTAATTATTACATGGAGAATGAAATCTTGAAGAAATGAAACTTTCTGATTATAATCCATGTTTCTCTTTTTTTTTAATAGGGCTTCTTATATGCATATAGTATTAGTACCATTATTAAAACCACAATGAATCTCTACATGTCCATGCAAAAGCCAATGACCAAAACCTCAGTGAAAGCATTATGCAGGCTTGTTGAACTTCTCAAGGTAGGTTTTAGTTTGTTTTTCTTTGCTATTATGTTGAAAAAAGACCTGGGCTTCATTAAATTAGGTTGGTCTGGTAAGGTTTGATTTCTTGATTATATGAGAATAATAGCTAGGGGACGTATACTTTCAGTGGAATAAAGGACTAGCCATTAAAAAACATTTCTGGGGCTTCCCCGGTGGTGCAGTTGAACGCTAGGCTGTGAAGCTGCCCACAGCCTCTGCAGCGCTGGTTCTATCCCCAGCCGCTGGCAGGGGTCCTACGTGGCATGCAGACCTCTCCTGCCACACCCGCTGCTCCTCTCATCAGTGTACTTCACCAGTCTGCCTGCTCTGCTCCCTGCTCTGGCTCTGGTGAATTCTCTCACCCTCCCGTGCTTCTGACTGTACCCAGTGTTTATATAAATAAATAAATCTTTAAAAAAAAAAATTTCTGAGTAACTAAATGGCCAATATAGTTAAACTTTACTAAAGTAAAGCTTAGAATTAAGCTTTTGCTATTCCTTGTTTCTGCTTTTTAACTTTCCCAGTGCTTTGCTAGATCAGTGTTTGGTGTAATAGTCCATAATTTTACCTAAAAGTTTTCATTTTCACAAAGTTAATCTGATTCTTTTTAGGCAATAGAGCATATGTTCTATAGGAGAAGCATGGTTGTGGCTGATTCAGTGTCACATATAACACAGCACCTTCAACATCAGGCTCTTAATTCTATTTCTGTGGCCAAGGTATGAATGTTAATGTGTATTCAGCATAATTATCTTTTAGCTTCTTCTTCTGTTGTATGTTTTACTCCATTCCTTTAAATATAGGATTGTTGGTTATGTATCTACATGGTATTTTATGATCTTTACTTAGAGTGAAATTGTAGCATGTAATACATTAACAGACGTCTACATTAGAAAAATGACATTGCTTGCAGTTTTAAAGTAAGCATTGTTTTTAGAAACGATTTCCTTATTAATATGGCAGTTTTTAAGTATGTCTAATACAGTCACTGACAGTGCTGATAATATTACAGAAGTAAAGCACATAGCATCAAAACTCAACAGTGCCTTTAAATTGAATTGCAGAAAAGAGAACTGAAAAACTTTTCTTCTAAGTCTTGTTATTGCCTCAGAGATAAAGCTAATATTTCCTGTTTTTTCATTATCTTTAAGAAAAGAGTAATTTCTGACAAAAAGTATAGTGAACAGCGTCTTGATGTGCTCTCTGCTCTAGTTCTGGCTGAAAACACTCTGAATGGACCAAGCACAAAGCAGCGACGGCTTATTGTTTCTTTAGCACTAAGTGTGGGCACACAAATGGTGAGATGTTATTAATTACGGAATAAAAGTGAGATCTGAGATTTGACAGTTCTGTTGTTACTGACCCGGAAAATCTGTTCTCATTTTGACTGCCTGTTTTCACCCTTCCTGATAGAAAACATTTAAAGATGAAGAACTCTTTCCACTTCAAGTAGTCATGAAAAAGCTGGATCTAATCAGTGAGCTTAGAGAAAGGTAAGTGAGGGTATGTGCTATGCTCAAAAGATAGGGCTAATAGAAATATCAGTTTTCCTTTTAGCATAATGAGAATTATCACCCAGACAGACCAGTAGTTCTCTGTAATGCCTTGTGTGTAACCCAAATGAGACCATGATAGGGAGCCTATTCCTTTAGCTTTGCCTCTACAGTAGGGATGTAGTTTCCAGAAGAGCTCGTGTGAGAACCCATGATGTAGCTCTCAGAGCATCGGGCAGACCCTGATACTATTGTGATTGTTGTGATGAGTGTCTTTTGTGACATTTTAAAATCACTGCTTTATAACAAGGCTAATCTGTTTGTGAGAAGCTTACAATGCTCTGTTGCATAGTCTTAGATAGTTATTTTGAAACATGAATTTGAATTACATTGTTAGTACCCAGTCATTAAGATAAATTAGGTTTTAGAGGGCTTGTACATAGCTTCTTATGGCTTGTTTTCTTTTAACCGAGTATTAAATTTCTTGAGAGGTAAAGAGATTTTCTGAATTTTGATTCTCAGCTGAATTAGCTTACAAAACTTGTTTCCTTTTAATATTTGTATTTATAAATGGTTTGGTTCCAAAAAGCTGACATTTTTGTAGTTTTTAGTAGCATTTAATTTTCATTTTTGGAAGAAATACTGAGCCTTAAAATATGTGATTACATGATATTTAATGATAATTATGTTGCTCCATAAGCACTTGGTAAGATTTTAAACAGGTTAAGTGTAATGGGGGTTCTTTGGTCAAAATTCTTTAAAAGGTTCTGCTTTCAGTTTTGAGACAGGTAAAATAGTGCATATGATGCAAGGATTGTAAGTCTAGCCGTGTCAAATAATACTGAAGATATATATATTTTTAAATGCCTCTATTTAAAAAACAGGCTTGTTCAAGTCTGCTTAAAAACTGAAAGATGCAGATCTCTGACTGTGTCATGTTATTGGTATTCGGTATTTTATTATCTCTGTTCAGTTTGAAAAAATATTTATTTTGTGCCTTTTCTGTACTAATTTTGGGTTACGTGATCTAGAAAATGTGAAAGTAAGAGAGAACTTTTACCCTTTATTTTTTTTTTTTTCCAATAGTTATCAGCTTCTTTTTTTTTTTTTTTTTAATAAATTTTATTGTTATATTCCCCATACAATTGCAGCCCCCCCATTCTGACCCCAATCCCTCCCCTCCCACCCCCGCCCCCCTAAAAGTGTCTCTGGTTCATAGTTTTTTGTTGATTTTGATTTTCACTTTCTTATAGTTATTCATTTCCTGGTCCCTTATTTAAGTTTTCTAGATTCCTACTATGAGTGAGACCATCCGGTATTTTTCTTTTTCTTTTTGGCTTATTTCGCTGAGCATGATCCCTTCCAGCGCCATCCATGTTGCTGCAAATTGCATGTGTTTATCTTTTTTGAATGCTGAGTAATATTCCATGGTATATATGTACCACATCTTCTTGATCCAGTCATCTATTTTTGGGCATTTGGGTTGTTTCCAAAGCTTAGCTATTGTAAACAGTGCTGCTATAAACATAGGGGTGCAGGTGTTCTTTGGAATTGATGTTTCTGTGTCCTTTGGGTAAATACCTAGGAGTGGAATTGCTGGATCATATGGAAGTTCTATGTTTAGTAGGTCCAGAAATCTCCATACAGCTTTCCACAGTGGTTGGACCAGTTTGCACTCCCACCAACAGTGCAGAAGAGTTCCTTTTTCTCCACACCCTCGCCAACATTTGTTGTTGCTAGTTTTTTTAATATGTGCCATTCTCACTGGTGTGAGATGGTATCTCATGGTAGTTTTGATTTGCATTTCCCTGATGACAAGTGATGTTGAACATTTTTTCATATGCCTGTTGGCCATTTGCATTTCCTCTTCAGAGAAGTTTCTTTTAAGCTCTTCTGCCCATTTTTTGACTGGATTATTTTCTTTGTTGTTGTTGAGTCTCATCAGCTCTTTGCAGATTTTTGTGATCAGTCCTTTATCATTAGTGTTGGGTGCAAAAATGTTCTCCCAGTTGGTGGGGTTTCTCTTTGTTTTTGTTATTGTCTCTTTTGCTGTGCAAAAGCTCTTTAATTTGATGTAGTCCCAGCTGTTTATCTTTGCCTTCACTATCACTGCTTTGGGTGATGTGTCTGTAAAGATGTCTTTGATGTGCAAATCACGTAGTGTTTCGCCTATATTTCCTTCTATATATTTTATGGTTTCAGGTCTTATGTCTAGTTCTTTAATCCATTTTGAGTTGATTTTTGTGTATGGTGTGAGGTGGTGGTCAAGCTTCATTCTTTTGCATGTAGCGACCCAGTTTTCCCAGCACCATTATTGAACAAACTTTCTTTGCTCCAATGCATATTCTTTGCTCCTTTGTCAAAGATTAGTTGACCATAAATCTGTGGGTTTATTTCTGGATTTTCTATTCGATTCCATTGGTCTGTATGTCTGTTCTTGTTCCAATACCATGCAGTTTTGATGATTATGGCTTTGTAGTATAGTTTGAAGTCTGGGAGTCTGATGCCTCCATTCCCTTCTTTTTTTTTCAGGAGAGCTTTGGCTATTCGGGGTTTTTGGTGATTCCATATGAATTTCATCAATAATTGTTCTATTTCTTTGAAGAATGACATTGAAATTTTGATTGGAATAGCATTGAATCTGTATATTGCTTTTGGTAGGATGGCCATTTTAATAATGTTTATTCTTCCAATCCATGAGCAGGGATGTCTCTCCATTTCTTTGTGTCTTCTTCTATTTCTTTTAACAGTGTTTTATAGTTTTCTTTGTATAGGTCCTTACCTCTTTTGTTAGATTTATTCCAAATATTTGATTTTTTTTGTTTCAATAACAAAAGGGATGGTCTTTTTGATTTCTTCTTCTTCAGATTTATTGTTTGTGTATAGGAAGGCTACTGACTTTTGCGTGTTGATTTTGTATCCTGCCACTTTACTGAACTGATTGATGAGTTGAATTAGCTTTTCTGTGGAGTTTTTGGGGTTCTCTATGTATAATATCATATCGTCTGCAAATAGTGATAGTTTGACTTCTTCTTTTCCTATTTGGATTCCTTGGATGTCTTTCTCTTGTCTTATTGCCCTGGCTAGGACTTCCAGTATTATATTGAAAAGCAATGGTGAGAGTGGACATCCTTGTCTTGTTCCAGATCTTAATGGAATTGCTTTCAGCTTTTCACCATTGAGAATGATACTGGCTGTTGGCTTGTCATAGATGGCCTTTATGATGTTGAGGTATGTTCCTTGTATCCCCAGAATTTCAAGGGCTTTTATCATGAATGGGTGTTGCACTTTGTCGAAAGCTTCTCAGCATCTATTGATATTATCATATGGTTTTTATATTTCTTTTTGTTGATGTGTTGGATAACGTTGATTGATTTTCGGATGTTAAACCATCCTTGTGCCCCTGGAATGAATCCAACTTGGTCGTGGTGAATTATCTTATGGATACATTGTTGGATTCTGATAGCTAAAATTTTATTGAGGATTTTTGCATCAGTGTTCATTAGGGAGATTGGCCTGTAGTTTTCCTTTTTTGTGTTGTCCTTGTTCGGTTTTGGTATTAGTGTAATGTTGGCTTCATAAAACGTGTTTGGTATTGTCCCTTCCTTCTCAATTTTTTGGAAGAGTTTGTGAAGGATAGGCACTAATTCGTCTCTGAATGTTTGGTAGAATTCATTTGTAAATCCATCAGGTCCTGGGCTTTTGTTTTTGGGGAGGTTTTTTATTACCATTTCAATTTCGCTAATTGTAATTGGTCTGTTTAGGTGTTCTATTTCTTCTTTGTCTAGCTTTGGTGATTGTAGAGTTGTAGGAATTTGTCCATCTCCTCTAGATTGTTAAACTTGTTTCCATATAACTGTTCATAGTAGTTACTGATTATTCTTTTGATTTCTGCTGTGTCCGTTGTGATTTCTCCTCTTTCATTGATGATCCTGTTTATTTGTGCTTTCTCCCTTTTTTCCTTTGTGAGCCTGGCTAGGGGTTTGTCTATTTTATTGATTTTTTCAAAAAACCAGCTCTTGGTTTCATTGATCTTTTGGATTGTTTTTTTAGTTTCAATTTCATTTATTTCTGCTTTGGTTTTTATTATTTCTTTTCTTCTACTGGTTTTGGGGTTTTTTTTGTTCTTTTTCTAGATCTTTGAGCTTCGAGATGAGGTTGTTTCTTTGCGTTCTTTCTTGTTTCTTGATGTGAGCTTCTATTGCTATATATTTTCCTCTTATTACTGCTTTTGCTGCATCCCATACATTTAGGATATTAGTGTCCTCCTTGTCGTTCAATTCAAAAAATTTTTTAATTTCTTCTTTGATCTCCTCATTAGTCCAATGGTCTTCCAGTAGTGTGGTTTTTAATCTCCATGAGGTAGGAAAGTTCCTTGCCTTCTTTTTATGGTTTATTTCTAGTTTGATGCCTTCATGGTCAGAAAAGATGGTTGATATGATTTCAATCTTGGTGTATCTGTTGATGTTTGTCTTGTGCCCCAGTATGTGATCGATCCTGGAGAATGATCCGTGTGCGCTTGAGAAAAATGTGTACTCCGTTTTTTGGGGGTTTAGTGTTCTATAGATGTCTGTTAAGCCTAATTGCTCTAGGTCCTTATTTAGAGCTTTGGTTTCTTTACTTATTTTTTGTCTTGTTGATCTATCCATTGTTGATAGTGGTGTGTTGAAGTCTCCCACTACGTATGTGTTTCTCTGATGTCTGTTTTCAGAGAGGACAACAGTTGTCTGATATATTTTGGTGCTCCTTCGTTTGGTGAGTATATGTTAATGAGTGTTATTTCTTCTTGAAGTATTGTCCCTTGATCATAATGTAGTGACCATTGGGGTCTCTTTTTATCTTTTTGAGTTTGAAATCTGTTTTATCTGATATAAGTATAGCTGTTCCTGCTTTCTTTTTTGGTCCATTTGCTTGTAGGATTGTTTTCCATCCTTTAACTTTGAGCCTATTTTTATCTTTTGTAGCTAAATGTGTTTCCTGGAGACAACAAAAGGTTGGGTTTTGTTTCTTAATCCAGGCTGCCACTCTGTGTCTTTTTATTGAAGAGTTTAGTCCATTTACATTTAGAGTTAATATTGATATGTTAACATCTGTATTTGCCATTGTGTTTGTCTTTCCTTTGATTTTATTTATTTATTCTTTTAATAACTTTTTTTTTTTTTTTTGGCCTTCTTTCATTGTTATTCGTCCCTCTGAGGTTCTGGCTTTAGGACTCCTTGTAGTATTTTTTGGAGTGGGGGTTTAGTTGCAATGAAATTCCGGAGTTTCTGTTTGTCTGGGAAGGTCCATATTCTTTCTTCAAAGAGGAAGGAGAGCTTTGCGGGATAGAGTATTCTTGGTTGGCATCTGTTTTCTTGGAGTCTGTTGGCTATGTCCCTCCACTCTCTCCTTGCCCGTAGTGTTTCTTCGGAGAAGTCTGATGTCAGCCTGATTGGTTTTCCTTTGAATGTTATCTGTTTCTTCCCTCTTGCCAGCTTCATTATTTTTTCCTTGTCCTGGATTCTTGGGAGCTTTACTATTATGTGTCTTGCTGTATTTTTCTTTCGTCGTGGAAGTTTGGTGTTCTTCTTGCTTCTTGTATATCAATTTTCAGCTCCTTCTTCACATTTGGGAAGTTCTCTTCAATTATCTCTTTGAATATTTTCTCTGTTCCTACATCTCTCTCCTCTCCTTCTGGTATTCCTATAACTCTTATATTTCCTTTCCTCATGGAGTCAGATAGTTCCCGAAGTCTTTCTTCGTTCTTTTTCCTTCGTACTTCTCTTTCCTTTCTGTTTTGGTTCTTTTTATTTCTGTGTCTTCAAGATTACTTATTCGTTCTTCCATTTCATCTATTCTGCTTTCATTGCTTTTCCCAGAATTCTTTAGTTCTTCCATTAATTCTTTGATCTCCTGCATTTCTTTTACTTCCCTCTTTAGGGACTCAATTTCTTTCTTCTGACCATTGTTTTCCCTCTCTAGGGACTCAATTGCATTCTTCTGATCGTTGATTATTTTCCCTTATCATTGTTTTCCTTTATGACTTCTGTCAGTTTTTTAATCACGGCAATTTTAAATTCTCTTTCTGGAAGGCTCAGAAATTCTTCCAAGTTATTGTCTTTGCAATCTGGGGGCTGGCTTTCTTTTTGTGGTGTGCTTTTTCTCTGGAGAGTTGCTAGGTTGCGTGTGGTTCTTCTCCTCCCTACTGTCTGTTTTCTAATTTGCCGTATGCATTGGGACACTGTGTTGTTGGGACTGGCCGGCATCTTGGGTGGGCTTCTCTGTTCCCCTCTGGTTCTACCAGGAGTCATCTGTCAGTTTCAAGCAGCCTTTAATGGAGAAAGGTCCCTGTTCTAAAATGCCGATGTGGGGACACACTCCCCTGTGCACCTGGTCTGCCCCGGCGGTGGGTTCCTGCTCCCCTCTGGGCTTGGACTGCAGGCCAGAGGGGGTCTGGCGTGGGCGAACTTCCCCTGCTCACCTCTGGCTCCTGAGGAAGCCTTCTGCAGGTAGTCTTTACTGAAGAAATGTCCCTGTTCTAAAATGGTGATGTGGGACACACTCCCTGCGCGTCTGGTCTCAGGCACACTCTTCTGCGCGCCTGGTCTGCCCCGGCTGTGGGTGCTCGCTCTCCCTGTGGGCTCAGACTACTTGTTCGGAAGGAGCCAGGTGTGGGCTAACTCCCCAGCTGGCCACTAGCTCCTTCAGTAGCCTGTGCTGGGGTCAAGTCGCTAGGTGGCGCCAGAGATCTCTCCTAGAGCCCTTGGGGAGCTGATTTTCCACCCCGTGGGACAGGGAGCAGAGCGGGGATGGTAGGGTACACCTCAACGGCTTTGGGGTGCTGTGTCTGCCTTGTGCCCCACCGTCGTGGGAAACCCACGCCCCTAATTTCGTGCCCCGGGTCTCAGTTCCACAGCCCTCAGTTCCAGGACGCGGGCTGTAGCCCAGATCAGTGGCGCGGGAATGGCGCCTTTTGAATCCCGCTCCCCTGCCTGGGCGCCTTGTTCCTGCTCACTCAGGGAGGGCCTCCGCCGTCTCCCCGCAAGCCTAGGTCGCAGGCGCGGGGACCTGGGCAGCTGCGATCCGGTCTGGATCCGCGCCACTTTCCGCGCAAGCTTACCGGGCGGCCGGGGCTGTGTGCTGGGGCTGGTCTCCTCCTGGGGGCGGGCTCTCTTTAATGGCGCCTGGAGCTCACCTCCGCGGCGGATCCTGCAGGGTTCGCCTCAGCTCCCGTTCACGGGGTGTGGTGGCTGCAATAGTTCCTTTCCACTCACAGTCCCGCTTGCTGTGTCCGTTTTTCTTGTTGGCCGTTTTGGTTTGTTGTTTCCTCCTCTCTGCCGGGCGGAGAGTGCCGCCTCTGTGGGCGGGGGAGGGGAGCAGGGTTCTGCGCTTCCCTCCCTTCTCGTCCTCTTTTATGGCAACTTTCTTCTTCGGGCAGTTTGCTGGAGTCACCCGTTTATCTTCCGTGTCCCAGTTCTCACTGGGACCTGCCGCTTTTCCTCCCTATTAACTTTTTTTAATGGGAGATCTTACTCGCAGCGTCTCCTCGCCGCCATGTTGCCTTACCCTTTATATAATGTCATTCCTTTCATTATTTTTTCAGGCTACTTCAATTTTGGTACCACTAATTATTGCTTTGTGTTGCAGGATCCAAACACAATGTGACTGTTGTTTTTTATACTGGCATCGAGCTGTCTTCCCAATTTATTTAGATGATGTATATGAAAATGCTGTTGATGCAGCTAGACTACATGTAAGTAAAGAATAATACAGAGAATAAATTCATCATTTTTAAAGTCACTTTACCAACCGATCTAATTAGTTTTAAAGTAGATCATTTGATTTAAACAAACCATTTTTAAATTGACTGCTAATGCTGTTTTGTCCAGTGTTATGCTTATTCAATAGACATTTATATATTTTATAGCTACATTTTATATTAATACTCATCAATGAATTTTAATACCTTTAACTGTTCCTCTTATTCCTAATCATTCTCATTTCACTTAAATTATGTCTCAATAATCTGACATTGAGTTGTCAGCCAGTACATGTTACTCAGATCTTTCTATTTCTTTATGGAAATAAGTGTGTTTAAATGCTCAAGATAGAAAAGCATAAATGAATGTGATTTGTTGTGTGTGCATTTAAAGTGTATGCTTTAGAAAATAAACCTAACTCAGGAAAGTAAAATAGTTATGCGTAAAAAACCAGTTATGCTTCAGATTGAGGCTTTGTTTTTAAAGATAGATAATTAACCTTTGTAATATTATTTAGATCAGAATCTGCTTTTTCTGGATTCATGTACATTCTCATTTTCTTTCAGTACATGTTCAGTGCTTTACGTGACTGCGTGCCTGCTATGATGCATGCAAGGCATTTAGAATCTTACGAGATACTTCTGGATTGTTATGACAAGGAAATCATGGAAATTTTAAATGAGGTAATAACATATTTGAGATTGAAAAACTTAACATGTATTTGAAGAAAACATGTACTGCTTGGAAAAACTTTCTGGATTGAAGCAGACTTTCACTAAGTTAAAATTATATCACTATATCACAAAAATCAATATTTTTGTCACAAAGGGAACTTTGTAGTTAGAATATCACAATTGTGATAAATTGTTCTTTAATTCCTAATTTTTAGAATTTTTTTTTACTTTAGTAAACAGTGTATTTGTCTTTAAAGTTCTGTTTATTAGAAGCATGCAACTGTAAAATTGATTTGAATATTGAGTGCTGTTAATGGTGATACACTGAAGGCAACATACTTACTGATGTTTCATTTTGCCAAAATAGAGAAAACTATACATTTAAAAGACTTGTGTAACAGAAATAATATAGTATTTCCCTTCCTGGTTTAATAAAGTATGTATTTTATGCACTGATGTCTTTAAAAATTAAATTTCCACCTAGCAATATTTTTATTTAGAGGGAAGAACTAAAAATGGAATTACATCACAATATAAACCTATACAGGTTTGATAATATCATGAAAATTTTGCAGTTTCTTATATTAAACATTCTTATTTGAATATCAGGGACATGTCTGACCAGTATTTACAATTCTGTACTAACCCAGGAAAGATGATTAATTTTCTTGTCCTTATCTCCAATTTATGGTCACAGGACGCCTTTAAAATTTCCTCTTTCCTGGTACCTTTCCTCTTTTGTTGCTGGTTCCCATACATTTTATGCTGTATAATTGCTATTTGTGTTCCTTATAATAAAACCATCAGATGTAAGTTTTTTTATATTCTTTTCAAAGAAAGTAAAAGCTTAGAATTTATCTAGCAGCTCCCTGGTCAAAAAAAAAATCACTGATTTAAATGTAGAGCCAAATAATTTTGACTTTCTCAATAATAATATTTTACCATAAAGTATTTAGACTCTTAAGCCAGTTCCACTGATTATAAAACTCCAAACCTGAAAGCATAGGAATCTAGGGGAGCAATACAATTGGAATATCATTTTGAAAAATTAAGGTATCTAAATTCTTTTGTGAATAGCATTTGCTGGATAAGTTGTGCAAAGAAATAGAGAAGGATCTGCGACTGTCTGTGCATACACATTTAAAGCTGGATGACCGAAATCCTTTCAAAGTTGGCATGAAAGACCTGGCTCTCTTTTTCTCTCTGAATCCAATTCGGTTTTTCAATCGTTTCATTGACATTCGCGGTGAGTGTTCTGCTTTCCTTCTTAGAGTTATTGTCTATCTTTGCCCTAACTATTCAAGAACTAATAAACCAAAATTTTGAGGGTATCTTTTTTTGTGTTAATCCAATTTGTTCTTTAATTCCTTATTATATTTTTTATTTTCCTAACTTCTAGAAGGAAGAGATTTAATGTTCAAAGATAAGTTGATTCTTTTTAGGTTTAATTCCTGTTCTCTTTCTGCTCTTTTATGAAGCAAAACTTTTTTGGAAATTTTTTGTAGCTTATGTGACTCACTACCTGGACAAGACTTTCTACAATCTGACAACAGTTGCTCTTCATGACTGGGCCACTTACAGTGAGATGAGAAATTTAGCTACTCAGCGCTATGGATTGGTCATGACAGAGGCACATCTTCCTAGCCAGACTTTGGAACAGGTATTGTATAAGGAGTTTTGAACATACTCAGATTGTAGCATGATCACAGTATTTCCTTAAGAAATCTAAATCTATTTCCTTAAGAAATCTTTTAGATACTTAGAACGTATTTATTTTTTAAGAAAATAGTTACTATCTGAAACCTCTTACTTGACAAGACTGAAAAATTAGAGGGTGTCATTTGCCTTAGAGATAATTACAAGAGATTTCCTGTTCACAGTTAGCTTTGTTAAGCATGTGAAACATACATAGATTTAGAGACAGCTTTTCAGAAACATACTGGCCTAGTGAGGTGACTTCTGAAATTGAAAAAAGTATAGTCAAGGACACAGCTAAGGATTTTAAACCTAAATATAAAATATAAACTTTGATACTTTAGGAAAAATATTTAACTTTATGATTATAAATGTATTTGCTCTTAAAATGATGAGTGCAGGGGCCTCCCCAGTGGTGCAGCAGTTGAGCGCTAAGTTGCGAAGCTGCCTGCAGCCTCTGCAGCACCGCTTCGAACCCCAGCCACAGGGCGAGGGTCCCACATGGCGCGCAGACCTCTCCTGCTGCCCGCTGCTCCCCTCAGCAGAGTATTTCATCAGTCTGCCTGCTCTGCTCTCCCCCCTGGCTCTGGTGAATTCTCTCACCCTCCCATGCTTCTGACTGTACCCAGTGCTTATATAAATAAATAAATACATCTTTAAAAAAAAAAAAAGATGAGTGCAAAGAAGCATTTATCTTCACTAGGTCAGTGAACTAATTTGTAATATGGCAGCATCTCTCAAGTGCAGTGCTTTGTGTTTTTAGTTAATTGCAAGTCTAAGATAATTCATATATTTACAAAAATACATTCAATTCTAAAATTTGCAGATCACAATTTTTTGTTATCATGCTGCTCAGAGAAATTGTATCAGTTCGTACACAATTCCATCCATTCACTTATACATTTAATATTTACCAAAAAATGCTAGGCCCTGAACTAGGGATTCAAAAATAAATAGAAATAGTCCCAGCCCATGTACTTATAGCCTAGTGGGGAAAAAAATGAGTAAACAAACTTTTATTATAAAATATGAGAAAAGTTATAAGAACTTGAAAGGGGTGTTGTGCTGCTACTGTGAGCCGTAAAAAAGCTGAAGCGGCAGCTCATGCAGCACAGTTAGCTGCTTGGGTGCACCTGAAGAATGCAGGAGAGGACATTGTCCATTAAAGGTAGTATCGTGTAGTTAAAAGAAGCATCAATATTTACAATTAGATTTTCTAAAATCCCTGGGTTCTGCCTCTTCCTAGCTATTTGACCTTGGAGAACTCCCTTAGCTTCATTTTCTTCACCTGTGGAATTTAGAAGAATAATACCTCATTTTGTGAGATAACATATAAAGAACCTTGCACAGTGCCTCAAAAATAGTATGTATTTTATGAATATCACAACATACCCTGTCTTTTAAAATCTGGTCGTTAGTTTACCTTGGGAAGACTGATGTTCTCAAGGATGTTGGGGAAATGATTGTGAGTCATGAAGCTTTGAATATTCAAACTTAACTGTCCCTGTCTTCTACACAAAAGGGATAAGACAACATAAGCCAGGTTTCCACAAGGAGATAGCCCTGATTGTACACTAGAAGGTGTTTTTAATGCTTTTAACCTTTGGGCATATGTTTATCTAGTTATTCCTTAAAATAATTTAAAACTACTGGGGCACTTAACATGTAAGTCACTATATTGACACAAGTCTTAGTAATTATCTTAAAATAAAAATAGAACTTCTGTATGGATTGTCTTATAGGGCCTGGATGTTTTGGAAATTATGAGAAACATTCATATATTTGTGTCTCGATATCTCTATAATCTCAACAATCAGGTGAGAAATGTCTTTTTTAATTTGAATGGGTGTATAGTGGGAAGTATGGGGGCAAAGAATTGATTTTCAAGAGTGAAAATTATGATAATTAGAAATTATCTTATTATCCTTTGCTTTGATTGTATTCCTTTGCTTTCCGGTGAAATAAATTTAAATAACAGCCCACTTTGGGTAACAGCCCACTGTTTGCCATGTATTATGTTGTTTTTTAGCATAAGTTTTTTATTTGCAGATTTTTATTGAACGAACAAGCAATAACAAACATTTGAATACTATTAACATTAGGCATATTGCTAATTCAATTCGAACACATGGCACAGGAATCATGAATACAACGGTAAGAACCTTTCTTGGGAGTTGGGGGGGTAATAGACCCCTGTTTAATTTGGTTATTTGGAAAGCTGGTATATAGACTATTCTGATAAAACTATACTACTATCTGTTTATATTATACCTGAATTTCCATTTTCTGCTTGGTGTAATTAAACTTTGAAACCGAAATTGTGTTGGAAGTGATGGAAACTCTGATACAAAATGCACTTTAGAATATCTTACTGTCTTAGCATCTCATCTATATAACATTGGTGATTTGAGGACAGTAATGCATGTGTTAACTTGATATTCTCTGAAAGTTGCTTTTGAAAACAAATCATTGATAGTTTATTTAGCACCAGTCATTCTCTTGGGGATTATTAATTATTTACTAACTATATAAACAGCTAAAAATATTTACTAAAAATAATTTAAATTTTAGAAATGGGTATTCTACCATGAAGGAATCACGTGAACTTGTATGCTATTTTTTCCTTCTCTGTACAAAACAGAAATCTTTGAATTTATCTAGTTTTTAGCACACACTTAATTTCTTCTTGAAGGAAGAGTAGGAATGTTTAAATAGTGAAATACCATGAATCATAATTGTGGATAAAGGAATAGGGAGAAGTTAGAGCACACAGTGGGGAGCCATTGAAATATTTAGGCTGATGTGTGAAGTGATAGGAGTTCTCTTTTAGTGGTTACCAGTAGAGAAAAGAGACATAGAGCAGGAGTCATCCATGGAGAAATCATGACTCGACCTTTCAGGAGAAATAAGCTCTTTTTTGCCTCATATGTAATTCATTCACCTACAGATAGAATTATGAGTGTTTATGTGTCTCTGGCACTGTGCTCATAACTAAGGTGAGAAAAACAGACATTTGCTGCTTTTGCCAACACTACACTTGAGGGTGGTGGAGATGCAAATTAGTACGGGGCTTCCTTTAGTAGGTCAGAATTAATTTTATTCTTTTGACTTTAATCTCAGCTCAAATCTCACTTTCTCAGGGTTTTCTGAGTCTAGGTCAGAACCTTTTAGTACTCATTCTGAAAGTATCCAAACTTCTCACTCTAGACATTATTGCAGTTGAAAGTTAATAACTTATATAACAAAATTTTTAAAATATCACTCCTGCTAGAAATTTTTAAAAAATATCACTCCTGACAGACAAGGGCCATTTTTGTTGTAAGAACAGACACATTTCCTTGAACAAAATACTTATGGGATAATAATTAAATGTTTGTTATCTTCCTTCTGGAAAGTTCAAAGAGCACAATGGTTACTAGTTAAGTATCATTCTAGTCATGTAGATTAGTAATAAGTAATTTTATAGATGGAGGAATATAAACATCTGTGATATTTTACTTTAAAAGTAGGGTTTTGAATCTGGTTTTATGATTCTCACTATAGTTCTTAGTCCTTTTATTTTTAGCCTTCTAATTTTTTTTTTTCCCTCTTATAGTAAAAATATTTAAGGGGAGCTTATAGAAAGTTCTGTAAACTTATACAATAATTGATTGATGTATTTCAGGTCTAAAATGAATTAGACTTTATAAAGATTAGACTTTATCTAATATGAATTAAGACATTGATAATTGTTATTCAGTGGTAACTTTGGTTTGAAATAATTTTTGTACTGACTTTTTAAAATTTTAATTTTGTAGGTTAATTTTACCTACCAGTTTTTGAAAAAGAAGTTCTATATATTCAGCCAATTTATGTATGATGAACATATCAAATCCAGATTGATTAAAGATATTCGGTTTTTCAGGGAAATCAAGGATCAAAATGATCATAAGGTATTTCACATATATTTGTTTTAAGATAGTTTCTTTCTACTGTTGAGTATATGTTTATAGATGATATACTATTTCTGTAATTAAATAATATATCACAAATGATTATATAAAATCATTTAGATTTCTGTTGTGGTTTTAGTTTTATTAATTTACATTTAGTGTCTTCCTAGATCCAACCTTCAGATCTTCCTTATTTTCCTTTACAATTTCAAACTCTGCATTTCTTACGGGCAAAGGTGTAAGGGAAAATTAAATAATTTTTAATGTAGCCTGATGTTATTTTTCTTTATTTTAAAATAATACATGTTCATTTTGAATATTTCAGTAGTAGAGAGTGCATAAAACTAAATGTCCTCTCTGTTTTCTCTTTCCTCCCAATTCCATTTTCTGGAAGCAGTTGATGTTAACAATCTAATCTAATGCTTTTCAGATGTCTGTGATAAACATATTTATACATAAATGTATTGCTTCTTTTCCTACAAAAATGGAGTGATACCATACATCCTGTTTTGTTAATATGCTTACCAGGTATCAGTACATATAACTGTTCCTCATTCTTTTTAAGAGTTTATAGTAAAGATGCATACTATAATTTATTTAACTCTTACTGATAGCTGTTTAGAATGTTTTTATTTTTCACTGTTACAAAAAGTGCTATAGGTAATATCTTGACACATTTACATCTCTATTTGGAGACTTCTGAAAGACAGATTCCTTGAAGATAAATTTCTAGGGCAAAGAATATGATGTATATATTGCCAAGCACTCCAAAAATACTGCGTTAATTGACATTACCACCAATAATTTTTAAGAATGCTGATTTTTCTTCACCCTCTGACCTGAATTTATCCATAGTGAAGCAAAGAGTTGTAAGTGGTAACAATAGAGAGGCATGAGAATGTGGATGAAGGCTTAGATGGATCTTACATTTGATATGCCATATCCTAAATTTAATTACTCTTCTTAATCTTTACTTAATCCCAACTCTTTTGTATGCTAGTTGGTAGTCCTCTTCACTTTCAGAGCAGCTAATATTACTTTCTAGTAGATTTAATAAAGTTACATATTTATTATTAGAGGGTTGTATTAACTATCCTTTTCTTTGGAACAGACATTACTACTATTCAAAATAAGCAGTCCTGCTATTGTTCTATAAGAATTGTTTCCATTTGTTGTTACTATAAAATGAGATATTTTCTAAATCTTTTAACTAAAACTTTGAAAAATAATTTTTTCTTCAAGATGGAAACTAGAAATTTAGTTCACTTTGTGTTTGTCATTTGGGAAAGAGTGTATTTATAAATAAGTCTCCAGTACCTATTCAACGCATAGAAATGTAGTCTCACATCTCTGAACAACTGTTTTCAGGAGGAATTGGTTCCTTTTATCTATCAGAATAGTTGGGTGTTACAATAATGGTGTTGGTGAACCTAATTTTATGGCATTATTATTTCCCTTAGCTAATATAAAGAAATTACATTGACTTTGAACAATGACAGTTTTATACTATCCATGTTTTGTCATTAGACTTGAGTAATTTTTTATTTTTTTTAAGTACAATGGAAATTTCAAATTAGAAAGGAAAATGGTATTGGCATGATAGACATTTTATGCTTTGGGGGTCTTTATTAATAAAGGTAATCTTTAAATGATCTCTCTAGTATCCTTTTGAAAGAGCAGAAAAATTCAATCGAGGTATCAGAAAACTTGGAATAACCCCAGAGGGACAGAGCTACCTTGACCAGTTCAGACAACTCATCAGCCAAATTGGTAAGTTATTGTAAAAGTGTAGGAAAATAAAAACAAATCTTGATAAAGTACAAATTCTTCCTATATTAAATATCTCTTATGAATGAACAGTTTAATATCTGAGTACCTGAGTTCAACTTTCTTCTATTGATTTTCTTTTCTTAACAAGTTTTTAAAGTATGATTAGACTGTAGGTGAGGAAATAATTGGTTGACTAAAAACTAATATATTAAACACAACCTCTTTAGTTAAATTAAAAACATTCAATAATCTCAAAGACCACATACATAAAATCAGCTGGTACTTGAGATACCTGCCCTAACACATTGAGTTTTTTAAAGAGGTTCCCTCAAGTTGCAGCTTAATACAAAGGCAGGAGGTGGAAAGAATATTGGTGTGGAAAGTTAATTAATGATAGAAATTAACATTATATATAGATTTAATTAAAGATGAAGTACTGAGTGTTCTGAAATTGTGTAGCATAAAAAGTTATATATAATTTCTTAAGTAAGGATACATATGACAGCAAAATTTTTGCCCCTTTAGGGCTTAACAATGAGGAAAATGAAATACAAAGTTTATAACTTGACCTAGGTGTTACAGCTAAGAGGTGGCAGAGTCCAAGATGAACCCAAATAGTCTGGCTGCAGAACTTTGTTCTGAACTGCCGCGCTCTACTTGCTTCTCACTAGTACATTTTGACCAGCCAGATATCAGTTCTAACAGTTTGAATGAAAACAGTAAAACTACATATTTGATCTTTATAAGATGCGCATTAAAGAAATAGCTCTCATATTGGAATAGGCCTTAAAATAGATTCTGTGATACCTACTTTGAAGGTTGTTAAAAACATCAGATGAGACACGACCATGAAATGTTAACATTTTATCTTACCTTTTCCTTTTTAACTTACTCTCTTACTCTCCTTCAACTTCTTACCTTATTCTAACATCTTACCTTTTCTTCTGTTCTTTCTCCCAATGAATTTCAGCCGGATTAAATTATATTGAATTCCTATTATATGTCAGGACATGTTGGCTCAGGGCTGGATCAGTGAAGAAAGCAAAGGCTGTCTCATGGATCTTGCATTCTGGTCGGGGCAGACACAAACATAAAGATACTTAATTTGTCAGTGATAAGTGCTGAGTGAGGTGACATAATGGGGCTGGGCAGTGTTCTTCACTGATGTTCATGGAAAGCTCTAAGGAGGTGACATTCGGGCAGGGACTTAAGAAATACGGAATAAGCCATGTGCATGTCCAGAGAAAGAACGTAGCAGAGAGAGGGGACAGAAAGTGCAAAAGTCTGGCCTCCCGGGTGGTGCAGCGGGTTGAGCGCCATGCTGTGAAGCTGTCCGCAGCCTCTGCAGTGCGGGTTAGACACCCAGCCGGCCAGGGAGATTCCCACATGGTGCAGCAGACCTCTCCTGTCGCTCCTGCTGCTTCCCTCAGCAGTGCTTTCGGTCCGTCTACCTGTTCTGCTCCCCACTCTGGTGAATCCTCTCACCCTTCCATGCCTCTGACCTGTACCCCAGCTATTGTATAAATAAAAAATAAAAAATCTTAAAAAAAAAAAAAGAAAAGAAAAGAAAGGGCAAAAGTCCCCAGTGTGCTTAGCACTTTCGGAAATTGTCAGAAGCTGGGAAGGAGTTAGCGAAAGACCTGGAGAAGGCCATGTCAGCTACATGAAGCATTTGGACTTTATTCTGAGATGAAAAGCGCTTGTGGAGTTTTCAGAAGAGGAATGTTATGTTCCAGCTGAGTTTTACAAGAATCCCCAGCTGCAGTGTAGATGAAAGATTGGGGGGCAGGGTGTAAAGGTGGGAGCAGGTAAATGAGGCAGTCACTGCATATTGTGGTGGTCTAGGCATGAGATGGTGGAAGTTTGGAATAATAGGGTGATAGCCTGGGGGTGGTAAAAAGGGGTAGGATTCTGGCAACAATTTGCAGGCAGAATCAACCATAATTTTCCACTAATTAGATACAAAGTGTGAGAGAAAGGAAAGAGTTGGAGGACTTCAGTGTATTTGGTCTAACCAACTGGAAGGATGGACTTGCTGGTTTCTGATATAGGAAAAAATATAAAAAAAATAAAAAATTTTGGGTTTGATTTGGACATACTAAAAATTCTTTTTAGACATGTAGGTGTAGGCGTTGAATAAAAAAGCTTAGAGGAATAGTCCAGGCTGGTGATACAAACTTGGGGAAGCAGCAAATAAAGATGTCTTGATTCTATTTCCAGCTGTGTGTGTATGTGAGAGTGAAAGAGAGGCCGATATTTAATGTGAGAGTGGAGAAATTATTGCTATGCTAATTTTTAAAAATTTGTTTATAGTGTAGTCAAAAAAATTTAATGTACCTAGTTTATCAAAGCAAAATTAAAATTATATTTTAAATATTTAATATAGATTTGTGTTAAGTAGATATATTTGAAGTATACAAATACATACGTTTTAATTTTATAGACCAACAACTGAAAATAGTATTTATGAGTTGGACCTTTGTAATTGTCTGCTTTATGTCTCTGTATTCCTGATTTTTAGTGTTTAGAGTTACTTACGTAACTACCTGATTTTTGTGTGTGTGTTTCAAGGCAATGCCATGGGCTACATACGGATGATAAGATCTGGGGGTCTTCACTGCAGCAGCAATGCCATCAGGTATGGACACAAACATCCTGTCTGTCCTTTATACCACTTAAAAATTTTATGTCATTTAAATCTATTTTTATAGTAAGTGATATTACAGAAAAATTTTTTTGTCTTGATTTATTTTGAATTAAGATATGAAAATAAACTATTTTCCAAGTTAAGTATTTTTCTCCTTAAATTTTAAGAACTACATGCAGACCGCTGAAAAATCTTTTTCTCTTAAAGTTATAGTTTATTACTATACTCTGTGAATGGTTCTAAAGATTACATGATTTTAAAAAAGAATTAAATTTTGATTACTCATGCCTAAAATTCAGTTTTGGAATCTAAGTAATGATATAAATGTAACTGAAATGCAGTATTCTTTCCAAATGTGTAGTTGAACATGCTGCCTGATAAGGTAGCTACTAGCCACATGTAGCTATTGAAACTCTGAAATGTGGCTTGTCCAAATTGAAATATGCTAAAGTACACACTAATTTTGAGGGTTTAGTATAAAAAATGCTAAATATCTCAATAAAATTCATGTCACCAAGTTTTTCTTACTTTTAAAAATGTTTTTATGTCCAACGTTGTCCTTTATTTCATAGACCCTAGACATCACTGTCCAGAACAGCAGCCACGGTAGTGTCTAGCATCGAGTACTTGAAATACAGCTAATGGGAGTAGAGAGAGAATTTAAAATTTTATTTCATTATATTTTAATAATAGCTACCTTATTAGTGTAGGTCTATAGACTTGAGTCAGTAGTAACTTTGGAAGATAATTTAAAACTTGAAAAGTATGCAGAGTTTTAAGAATTTAGTTAGAAAGATTCAGTCTACACTACCACTTACATGTATGTGTCAGTTGTACATTTTTAACTTGCCTTCATAATTCTTACTCTTACATAGATTTGTGCCTGATCTTGAAGATATTGTAAATTTTGAAGAACTAGTAAAAGAAGAAGGTCTTGCAGAAGAAACATTGAAAGCAGCAAGGTAATTCCGTTTTAGTGACTAATTAAACAAAACTGAGTTCATTCTGAACTCCAAAGAAATTTACTTAGAAATGTCTTAGAATATTTTCTACTTTTGAGTGGTCTCTTCTAAACTGATGAGCGATGGATTTAAAAGTCATAACTTCATTTGAAAAAGAAATCAAGTAAGTAATTTTTTGCATTTTAGGCACTTGGATTCAGTCCTCAGTGATCACACACGAAATTCTGCAGAAGGCACAGAGTATTTCAAAATGCTTGTAGATGTTTTTGCTCCAGAATTTCGAAGGCCAAAGAATATACATCTCCGAAATTTCTATATCATTGTCCCCCCTCTGGTAAGTATTTCTAATACCGAAAATGAATTTTTTAGGTGTATTAATAAGTAGATCCAGTTTCTTTGTAACAGGAAATGCATATAGATTATATATTACTGACTTGCTGGTTGTAAATAAAACTAAATGTGCTCTCAGCGAATGTAGTCTAGAATATTTACTTACTGCTCTGCAGAATAAGACTTATTTATAGCTAAGATTGATTCTTACTTGTTAATACTGCCAGAGATTTTCTAGTGTGGTTTAAAGTACTTGAGTGAATGCCATTTCATGTATACCATATCATCTTTGTTTTGAATTGTATCATGTAGGCATTTCAAGTGATGAATGTAGACTATCTGTAATAGTATACTGAGTACAGCTTTATTCAGCAGTAAAAACTAGCATCTAGATTTTTTTGTTTTTTATTGATTCCTCTTCATAGTGTGTAGTGTGTTGTGCTCTAATTCAGTAGTTGCCAGTTAAAGACATCACTCAAGTTACCCAAAATTGCTTATCAAAACAATTGCTCCAGTAGGGGAAATGGAGTTAAGAAATTAAAGGCGTACATACTAGCAATAAGTTATTTTTTTCCTAGCAAAGTTGCTTTATTAAAAAAACATACATGGATAGCTTTAAAAATCTAAATATCACTTAAGCAGATGCAGCTTTTGATTGTATCTGACTTTAACTAAGGGTAATGACTTTTCATATTGCTGCCTGAATTGTTAACACGTATCTTCTTATATAACCATTATCTATTGAAAATAACTAATGGTCTATGGATAGCCTTTTACTTTATGAATTTTTTCTACTTAAAAAATACACCCATTGTTAATTTTGTCATAATTATGATATAGCAAAAATGACCATATTCATCTTTTATTCTTAAGATAATGTTAAACCGGAGGTGCATCTTGATAGCACTATAGTTAACTTAGAGTGAGTTTTCACCATTTTTCTTTAATTTGATGGGCAGTTTACTCTAGCCATAGTAAACAATAAGGAACCGCTTCTGAGTGTGAGGAAGAATGGTGTGTTGCAGGGCAGCTGCCAAAATTAACCTAATAGTGAGGAAAACAAGATGGATTAAGAGCACAACAAACAATTAGGACACTGTACTTGAGATTACAATATAATTCCAGGAAAAAGATAAATATGAGATAGAAAAAAGATTTAAATAACATTTGATAAAGATTTCACAACTATGTAACTGCCAACTGAGTTTTATAGGCAATAAAAATGAAACTTGGTATTTTGTTTCCAGTGTCAGCTATTATAGTACTTATTACATTGTATCATAATTATTTTTAAATAGCTCTCTCTTTACTCCTCTATAACTGTGCAATCGCCTATAGCCACAGTGGCTATTTCAATTTAATTATAATTTTATAAAGTAAGAGACTGGAGTCCTCAGTTGTCCTAACCACATTTCAAGTGCCCAGTGGCCATGTGGCTATTGGCTTGCTGCATTTCTGTCAGTACTGAGAGCACTGCTCTAGAGAGGGGATGTCTCGATGACATTCATTTTTTAATCTTAAGTACTTAATAATGCCTGGTATATTGTTTTTAGTAAATATTGTATAAGCGATATGATTAGATAGGGCATTTTGGAGATGAATTTTTTAGAGAAGTGCTGTTTGGGGGACTATTTTAAATAACTACTGATCGTTTTTTAGTAGAGAATGATAGGAAATAAGGAATAGATTTTAGAATAAATGGGTGCACAGAAGTAAGGCCTACCCTCAGGAGAGCCCTTGTGCTTTGAAGTGAAGCAGGCCTGCTTTTCTGACTCCAGCTTTCACAGAGTATGACTCTGGGCAACTTACTGAATCTCTCAAGCCTCAGTATCCCATGGAGTAAAATGTGCCCCTGTGGGTAACATGTGCATAATATTTCATAATAAATCATGCACAAGGCACTGTGTTGTAAAGTGGTAATTGGAGAGCGGGAGGGTGCCCATATTACTGGGACACATTTTTACCTCACCCTGAGCCCATTTGAATGAGGCAATTAACTCAGATCGAAAGGACAGGAACTTAGAAGAGATCCTGGTAATTTCTGAAATGTCTGTTTTAGGAATTAAATTCTGAAGACTTTCTTAGCACAAGTCTCTAATACATTGTTATATCCTTTCAGACCCTCAACTTTGTAGAACATTCCATTAGTTGTAAGGAGAAACTGAATAAAAAAAATAAAATAGGAGCTGCTTTTACTGATGATGGCTTTGCCATGGGTAAGCTTAATGGGACCGTTTTCACATTAATTTTATGTTCATCTTATAATGTATTTTTTTTTTTTTTTTTAAAGATTTTTATTTTTTATTTATTTATTTTATTTATACAAGCACTGGGTACAGTCAGAAGCGCGGGAGGGTGAGAGAATCCACCAGAGCCAGAACAGGGAGCAGAGCAGGCAGAAGGACCGAAGCACACTGCTGAGGGGAGCAGCAGGTCGCAGGAGAGGTCTGCACACCATGTGGGACCCTCCTCCGGTGGCTGGGGAGCAGCCGGGGATCGAACCCGCGCTGCAGAGGCTGCGGGCAGCTACGCAACCCAGCGCTCAACCGCTGCGCCACCGGGGAGGCCCTTATAATGTATTTTTAGAAACATTTACTTGAGAATCAATATGTGTTCGTTATAGATGTATTTTTTACAAGCAATGTTTACTGTTTTTGAGCTGGGTCACCTGATTTACAATATCTATTTTTCATCAGTTATTAATTACCTTTCATGTTCCCTTGGTGTGGCTAATCACTTTGTCTAGTTGGACCTAATATTTAATATCAGCTTTTTTTTTTTTTAAGATGTAGTTATTTATTTATACAAGCACTGGGTACAGTCAGAAGCGCGGGAGAGAGAATTCACCAGAGCCAGAGTGGGGAGCAGAGCAGGCAGACTGATGAAGTACACTGCTGAGGGGAGCAGCGGGTGGCAGGAGAGGTCTGTGCACCATGTGGGACCTTCGCCTGACAGCCAGGGATTGAACCAGCGCTGCAGAGGCTGCGGGCAGCCTCGCAACCAAGCACTCAACCGCTGCGCCACCGGGGAGGCCCTGGACCTAATATTTAGACTTTGATTTTGTTCTGGCATTTTATATTGGGTCCTGTAGCTTCCTCAAACACTATCTGTTTAGCAGTGTAAGTTTCCCCCCGACCCCATAGCCATATGTTATCTCCGGGTGATCTTTATAGCCATTTTATTTCTTTTTTCTTCCTTGATTGGCTTGTCTTTAGTTCTTTATATTTTCATATGTTTTTCTCAAGATTTAAGCCATGTTGCTACACATCATTCACTTATGTTGTAAATGCAATTTGAAAGAATTCAAAACAGTTAGTTTGATATTAGGAATTATTGTTGAAGAAATAGAATACACCTTATGTACTCATAATTTAGCTTTGGTTTTGCTAATGACTGCAGGTGTGGCTTACATTCTAAAGCTTCTGGATCAGTACCAGGAATTTGACTCACTTCACTGGTTCCAGTCTGTTAGAGAGAAGTACCTGAAAGAGATAAGGGCAGTTGCAAAGCAACAGAATGTTCAGTCAACTAGTCAAGATGAAAAACTACTGCAGACCATGAATCTCACTCAGAAGCGTCTGGATGTCTATCTACAGGTAGAGAAGAGTAATAGTCAAATCTGCTTTGACTTTTTGATATCCACTACTTCTTGATACCTGAAAAAAACAAATTATTTTAATAGTGAGATGAATAGTGATAAAAAGAGTGCATTTTAAAATGAATGGTATTTGGAAGCCATTTGACTCATCTTAAAAATGGATGCATTACTTAGTTCAATTTCTGTATATATGATTTCCACTAGAGCTTTTTAGAAATATTAATAATTAAGATAATGTTGATATCATACTCAAAATATTTTTCAGCTTTTATTTGTAATTTTTTATTTACTTAGGAATTTGAATTGCTCTATTTCTCACTGAGCAGTGCAAGAATTTTCTTCAGAGCTGATAAGACTGCAGCTGAAGAGAACCAAGAAAAGAAAGAGAAGGAAGGTCAGTGAGTATAAATTTGGAAAGACCACTACATCTTTTTAATAAATCATTTGTATTAATAAATAATTTTTAAGTCTGATTTACAGCTGCCTTTTGAAATACAATATACATCTAGAAGTCAGTCTTTTTATTTATTTTTTTAAGCAGATTCCTCTTTATTAGAAGCATAAAATCCAAAGATAAAGCATTTTGATCCCTAGCACCCTTTTACAAGTGTAATCGTATTAGATAAATCCTAAGATAGAAGTCAGTCTTTTTAAAAACATGAATCACCTATGAAACTGAAAAGAAATTCAGTTTATCTAGCATTTCATTCTGGTATGATTCTTTATTCAGTTTCATCTTTGAATTTAAATGAAATTCAACAAATTTAGTTTTTTTCTTTAACCCCCCCAACCTGTTTAGAAAGAACAAATTAGAGGAGGAACACTAAGTGTTGGCACAGGCAGAGCTGCTGAAGACTGACTAGACAGTGACTGAAGGAGCTGTTTAATAAATAGCCTTCTGTTCTCATTCATGGTCAGTCCTTAAAGAATCAAAGTGCAATATAACCATAGTAATTGTATCACTGAACTTGAGTCACATAGGAAAAAACCTTTGGTCTTAATGGAACTCCTGTGAACTATACTATTTAAGGAACTCTAGGTTTCTGGATGGTGAATATCAACCACATGCCATTTGCAATATTTAACCTACTTTTGTTGAAAAAAAATTAAGGTAAATAATATAATTTGTGACACTAGAGAAATATTTGATAGATGCATTTTCTTAATTTGAAATTCAGCAGTGTAGCTCTTCTTAATTTTCATTAGTTTCTTAATTCAGTTTTAAAAATGAACATAAACATACCCATTGTTTTCACTCATGCTTCCAGAAGAGACTAAGGCCAGCAACGGAGACCTGGCTGACAGCACCGTGTCTGCGGATCCCGTTGTGAAATGAGCCTGGCGGTGCACACTGCCCATTAGCAGAACGGGTCAGGACTGTTGCCAGTGAAATGGATGCTACTCAGCAGTGAAGTGTTTCCTGGGCCACTCTGGAAGTATTTAGATGCTGCAACTCTTTAAGGCAGTGCTCTAAAGTTAAGTACATTCCTCTTCTAAAGGCTCTCCTTGCAAAGGGTAAGGAGAGATTTTTAAAACTGGATTTTTTTTGCCTGGACTTTTAAGGCTAAGAGATGTGCCTAGAACAGTTATTTGAAGTGAAGTTCTGGAAAGGCAAATCCAGGTTACTAAACTGCCACCTCAGATCTCTTGTAATCTACGTGAATGTTTGTAGTTTGTATTTGCATAGGTCTTTGGTCCATATGTGGCTCAGTCATTGGAAATTCAATGTATAGATTATGTACAGCCAGTAAATACATTTTAAACAAAAGAAATTGAGCCTACAGTTCATAACACATACATATCAAAATATTCTTATAAAAAGGAACATATGAAGATGGTTTTGATACAAGAGGAGAGGCACTGCTGAGTGCCCTTCATGTACAGTATAAACTGATTCAATGTTAATTTCATGTGACTCACAGGAGCTGCTGCTGTCTTTGGTGGGACATTTTATAACTAGTTTACATTGCTTTGAGAACTTTTAACCTCCAACAACTGCTTTAAGTGTAGGATTTACTTAATACTCAAGATGAAAGAAAATTCAGATAAAGCCATAGAGTCCTGTTTGATGCTTCACTTTTGGTTGAAGGCACTGTGTAGGATATCAGAAAATGGAATGAAGTCTTATTTCTACATCCAAACTCAGGTTTCTTCTATGTTAGGTTAAATTGAAATTTTGGTGATGGTTTGAGCAGACTTTTTCTTTAAACCAAGTATAATCTAAGACATCAGATTAAACACTGTGCAGGCTTTTAAAAAATAACCACTGTGAGAATAAAGTTTAGTAAATCATTTATCAATTTAAAAAAATGAAGAAAGCTTTTGAGTAAATTTAGTTCTTGGCAAGCTATTAGCTTTATTTTTGTAAAGGTTATATCACTTAATAGCTGAATGGTTAATAGTTAATGGCCTATGAGCGTTTAATATGATACCTTTACAACAACAACAAAAAGACTGCTTAACTTTACATGTAATACTAACATCATTTTGGGAAATACTTGATTTTTCCATTGTACATGCCTGCTAAGCATTTCTTTGGGTACATCCTGCAGATAATTCTAAAATTGTTGTTTGATTTCCAGCTTCTGGAATTGGTGTACAGTGCCAATTTGTTGGTTACCATCAGGGTGCCTTCCCCTACCCTACTCCCCAAGATAAACACTTTCACTGTTAAATGGAGAAAAAGGCAGGAAATGTTTTTGTTTATTACATAAACAAGACTTAGCAGAATTATGAGCGATGAATGGATGAAGGCACTTAATATTTGTAATTCATACTAACTGTAGAAATGGCCCTAAAGCATGCTGCATAATTAATATTTTCTTTATTGTAAATGTTTATGTTAATGATCTTGCATCTGATTGTATCACATTTGCTACCATTTCATAGCAACTGTATTGTTTTTCCTGTTTTTCTTCTAACTTCCCTAATTCATCTCCTTTAATAAGGGATAGAAAATGTAACTAAGAGTTCTTTGTTTCTGTTCACTTGCTCCACACGTTAATTATTTTATCAAGAATTCACATGCTGACTCCATGGAGATTTATAGTTGAGAAGAAAGTGACAGAACTTTATTTTGCCTTTAGTTCAAAATATCACTACAGTCTAGTAAGTATAATACATTCATATCTTTGATATAAAATCAGAACAGATTAAGCATATATAGAGCTATTAAACTGCAGAAAAACAGGGCTTGAGTGTATTCATACCTATTAAGGATTATGTTTTTTCTTGATAACATATTCAATGTTGGTATATTCATTTTTTTCAGACATACTGTAACTAAAATTACTGAGCATTTGTTGAAAATTCACAGAAAACTTAATGTTCAAATTCTCAGGAATTAAAGATTAACCATAACATTGTCAGTTCTAATGAACTTTTGTAAAAGATGGCAAGTTTGTTACCTCCCCCAACTCTAAGATAATACAACATGTAAAATAAAACGTTAATAAATATAATTTCAAAATTTTATTTCCCCTCGATGTTTATGTTCAAAATTTAATGTCTTAAAAATCAGCAGTTTTTATCATTGAGCTTTTTGGGGTTCCTCTTTATAAAATATATGGACTCTGTCTTTAAAAAAATACTTGCATGCATATAGGCAAACATTTCAAGTATAAATTTGGTATTTGCTTCTCTCCATGTATCCCAAGTAAACTTTGGTTTTCTTTATACATTCTTGATCTTCCCATTGCTTGCTCTTTTCAATTAAAAAGACCCTGCATGAATGTTTCATTTTAGAGGTCCAGTGTGCTACCCACTGCCCCACAAGGTCAAACATTTCATTTTAAATCATCCTGAGAAGGCATCATTAGTTTGCAGTTTCATGTCAGAAACAACAAAGTGCAAATTGCAGTGCATGTTGTTATATTCTTGTAACTTGCAAACATGAGTTGAACTGAAACAAGAGTCTTCTAAATATTATATTGGAGACAAGAGACATGAACCTTTAATACTATCCTGGCAAATTGTTTTAAATCTGATTGCTACTCCTGTTTCCATCTGTAGTAGTAAATGTCTAAGATTGTGGGGCAAAAATGAGCTAAAACCATCACATACATCATCATGTTACTCTTTTATGCTTTGTTAAATATAAATATAATAATCTTAATTATGGTCTTTTTCTAGCTAAAGTTGCAAGTTTCAGACTGATGGTATTGCTTTCCTTATTGAAGTTTTAGTGTTAGTTTTTCTCTTTTAAACATCCTTTTAGAGGTTTCAAACAATAGGTTGTCAGAGATTTCAAATTAAAAAAGGAATCCATAATATGAGGAAATCTACTAGAGATTACATCAAGTCATAGGAGAAAGCACTCAACTCAGAAATGGTGATGGTCAAGTTGGAGTCTAGTTTACATAGAAACTATATACACAGCATGTTGAAGATCTAAGATAAGTAAATGGATAATTTTTTTCTATTTCAGTAATTGGACTTTTCTTGGCCCACCTAGTTTGCCTGATAACTCCAGTTGTTCCCATTAGTGGAGACATATTCTGGAAAGATGGTGAAATTTATCTTCCAGTCATTATGGATATGATGTCTGGGACCATCTTTAAGGATTATAAATGTCTTCTATAGTGTAAGATCTGAGTTAATGACACATGCTTTAGTAACGCCCTCGTTATTAGGGTGAGAAAAAAATTAAAATTTATACACCAAAACCACCTCTCCATGTCAAATTAATAGTAAAGTACTTAACCACTTCAGAATCTACACCGTATAAAACACTGTATACATGTTAAGAAAACAGCTATAAATATTAGCTATTATTACTCTTAAGTGGAAATATACTTGGCATGTGTCATAAATGCTATTGTTACTACCCTTTTAGGTAGAGTTTGAAAATAAGCAGTCTGTATTTGACTGAGTGGGTTTCACAGGAACAATTTTTTTATTTAAAAATTTGTCAGGTATGTATTTAGATTTTTTAAAATTGTAATGTAATTGACACATAATATTACACATAATGTAACTGACACATAACATAATGATGTGATTTACGATTACAGTATGCAGTGATTACCAGAATAAATTTAGTTAACATCTATTACCATGCATAATAATAATTTTTTCTTGTGGTAAGAACTTTCAAAAGCCTAGTCTCTTACTGACTTTCAGATATACAGTACGGTTAAGAGTAGTTAGTTCCCATGCTGTATCCATTACATCCCAGGACGTACTTTAACTGGAAGTTTATGCTTTCTGACCACCTTTACTCTTCCAGCCTCCCCAACCACCAACCTGCTCCCTGTATCCTGCAGTACTTTTTAAGATCATACAGTGTTGTCTTGCTGTGTCTCACTTACTTCGCTTAGCATAAAGCCCCCATGTTGTTGCAAATGGAAAACTTTCTTTTTGTGGCTGAATATTCGTTACACACATACACACACATTTTCTTTCTTCATCCACGGATGAAGGTTGTTTCCAAATCTTGGCTTTTATAAATAATGCTGCGACATACTTGGGGGTGTATATCTTTTCAAGGTAGAGTTTTTGTCTTCTTTTGATAAATACCCAGAAGTGGAATTGCTAGATTTTTATGCTATTTCTATTTATTTCTTGAGGAATCTCTATACTATTTTCATCATGAACTATACCAATTTGCATTCCTATGAACAGTGCATAAGGAATCTTTGGTAAAACTTATTTGTTGGCTATTTGATATTAGCCATTCAAGTTGTGAGGTGGTAAGCATTTCCCTGATTATTATTGATGTCGGTCATCTTTTTATATACCTATTGCCATCTGGTAAAATTGCTGGGTTTTGTTTTGTTATCAAGTTATACGAATTCTTCATATATTTTAGATATTAATCCCTAGTGAGATATAATTTGCAAATATTTCCTGTCATCCAGTAGGTTGCTTTTGTTGTTTTCCTTTGCAGTGCAGTTTTTTCTTTTTTTTTTTTAAAGATTTATTTATTTTTATACAAGAGCTGGGGTACAGGCCAGAGGCGCGGGAGGGTGAGAGGATTCACCGGAGACAGAGCAGGGAGCAGAACAAGCAGACAACAGAAATACACTGCTGAGGGGAGCAGCGGGCATGACAGGAGAGGTCTGCCACACCATGTGGGATTCTCGCCAGCTGGCGGGGATCGAACCCACACTGCAGAGGCTGAAGACAGCTTCACAGAGCGTTGTGAAATCCAAAAAAGCACCACCACACACCTTGGCAGGAGCTTACATAAGCCCTGCCTGTGTTCTCTTCTAGGAATCTTAGGGTTTCAGGTCTTAAATGTTCAACTCTTAAATCCATTATGGGGTAGTTTTTGTGTATGGTGTAAGATACTGGTCCTGGTTCATTCTTTCATATGTGGCTGTCTAGTTTTCCAATTATTAAAGAGGACTTCTCCCATTGTATTTTCTTGTCTTCTTTGTTGTAAGTGGACACCTAAGGTGTTTCTTTCTGGGAGCTCTGTACTGTTCCACTGATCTGTATGTGGTTTTTGTCCACACCATAATGTTTTAATTATTATAGCTTTCGTGATATAGTTTGAAATCAGGGAGCACAATGCCTCCAACTTTGTTTTTCTTAAAATTGCTTTGGCTATTCAGAGTTTTTATGATTCTATACAAATTTTAAGATTGTCCTTCTGTGAAAAATACCATTGGAATTTTGATAGGGATTGCATTGAATCTGTAGATTGCTTTGGGTAATATGGATATTTTAATAATATTCTTCCAGTTTATGAGCATGAACTATCTTTGCATTTATTTGTGTTGTCTTCAGTTTCCTTTATCAGCATCTTATTCTTATTGTATTCATCTTTCACTTGCTTGGTTACTTTTATTCCTAGGTATTTTACTCTTATTGATGCAATTATAATTGGGTTTGTCTTCATAATTTCTGTACAAGTACCATGTGCTAACTTACTGTGCTACTGGCACGCCTGTTTTATTTTATTTATTACAATATAGAGATGGAACTGATTTCTGTATATTGATTTTGTATCCTGCAACTTTACTTTTGTTCATTGGTTCTAAGATTTTTTTGGTACAGTCTTTAGGGTTTTCTATCTAATGTCATCTGGAAATAACAGTTTTACTTCCTTTCTGCTTTGGATGCCTTTTCTTTTTCTTCCCTACTTGCTGTGGCTGGGACTTCCGGTACTATGTTGAGTAAGTCTTGTCTTGTCTTCTTCCTGAGCTTAGAAAAAAAGCTTTCAGCTGCTGATTGTTGAGTATGCGTCAGCTCTGGGCTTGTCATCATGCTTTACTATGTTAAGGTTAAGAACTTACTCCTTTTTAAAATGGCTGATAAATGCCTACACAGTGTAGGTTTGGGTTCCTTTTCAGTTTTTACTCATGGGGGTTTTTACCCTGGGGTAGTTTTACTCATAAGCTGTTTAAAAAGCAACACCTTTTAAAACTTTGCAGTGGGATCACATATTTCTACTCATGCTGAATAGAAGTGTTTTTTGATAGTATATCCTCTGCTGTGATTTCATTATGCCCCAGTTTTGGGGGAAATTAACTATGTAAGCTATTCTAGAAAATAACCACAAAAAGTAAAAGAAAGTAATGAGTTATACTTTTTTATTTGCTAGCATTTATTGCTTGATTAATTCATTACAAAGACAATGATACTCTGTTGAACTTCATTATTACTGAACATACCATATCAAGTCAAGATTATTATATTGATTTCACAGGTAAGGGGATGACAGAGTGAGCTGGGATGCCAGGAACTAGATGTGTCAGGGTGGAAATAAGAACTTTATGCCAAACTCCATACCAGCTGTGCTTCAACAGTGAGTTTTAAAATTAATTGGTCCCTTCCTTGAGGAGGGTCTGACTCAGAACTGGACACCACCCTGAAATATCCAAGAGAACTGTAAACTTCTGAATGCTGGCTCATTAAGGCTCCAATGTAAAATTAAACACACTTCATAGTACTCATTGGCTATTAGGTGCTAGTCTTTTTATTGCATGATGTCTGGAAGAATTATCAAAACTACTCCTGCATTTCTGCTACTGTTTGGGCCTCAAGGGCTCATCACCTAACAGCACAAATTAATACTATTAGGTCCAATTATAAGACAACTTGATTATAAATAGTCTTCAGAATGACAGGCACTTAAAGCTCACTAAGTAAAATACAAAAATAGATCATATTAATAGGAAATATTTAGTATATCAAATCTAGGTTTTTGCCATTTTTAAAAAGGATACTGGAAACTGGAAAGAGATGACATTCAAATAAAGTGAACAATGCATTTTTAACTTACATTCTGAGCATTGAACAGTAAAATCTAAGACAAGAACTTACCACAAAGCACCTAACATAACATTGTAGATGGGTAGGAATGTTGTCAACCATTTCTTACTGTTTCCCTCCCAAGTCTCAGTATCAATGCCTCGAGAGTACAGTCCACAAGCGATTGTCAGCATTCTGAAACCAGGGCGTGTGCCTGTGTATCAGAGAAGTTGAAAACCCTTAAGGAGATAGCTCTCCCTCCTGGGTGCTCTTGCCCCAAAGGTGCAAGAAAATTATGCTTCAGATTCTGCGCCTCTATTTTCACTTGGACTTCCATCATTGTCATCTGGTTGATCATTTAATAGTACATATTTTCCATCATTGGTTAGTGGTATGGACTGCATTAACTGAGCCAATGCTTCTGGATCCTGAAGTTATGGGAGTTTAAGAAGAAAAAATAAAAAGAGCTTAAAATGTACTTAAAACCCCTTTGTCTTGGCTTTCACTTTTCTCTGTCATCTAGCCTCACTCCTTCTGACTCTATGCCTTCAAGTGTGTCTTCTGGCTTCTGTGAAGAAACTCAGCTGTATTACTTCTCAAGAATCTTGGCCAAGGTTTTTCTCTCAGGGAGAATATCATTTACATAGGCAAATCATAGTCATCTTCCCAGAAAAAGTCCAAGAGGAACTTTCTTCACAAAGCCTCTGTCTAATGTCTTTAAACCCCTTTCTTTTCTCCTATTCCAAGAGTTGGCAATTATGGCCATTTGGCTCACCATTTGCTTTTTTTTTTTTTTTTTTTTAAGATTTACTGGAACACAGCCATGTGCATTAAGTCACATACTGTGGTTGCTTTTATGTTACAACAGCAGAATTGAACAGTTAGTTGCAACAGAGATTGTAAGCCTATTATTTTGGGTATGTTGGTGATAGGCCTTGGTCCTTCTGCTCTCCTCGATAGATTAGAACTGCACTAATACCTATCCACTAGCTAAAGTTACTGTTTAAATTTAAATACAATTTTAAATTCAGCTCCTCAGTCAAACTACTGACATTTAGTCTGCATATTTAAACAGTTTAGAGATTTTCCATTATTGCAGAAAGTTCTGGGCAGTACCGATCTAGAAGCCCCTGGTACAGAGACTGCATCTGTCTTGCTCACTGCTATAATGCCAGGATTTTTCTTAATCAAACTTGGCTCTCAAAATTATGTTGGGTAAATGGAAGACATAAGCTGCTGAACAACCAGGAGGTAAGAGTTAATATTGATGGACCTGTGACCAGCCTGAGGAGGATGGCCTTTGAGTACATGATGGATACTTAGGTTTGTTCCATCCTAATTGGAAAGAAAGGGAACCCAGCCAACAATAGCAGGCAAAGAAAGTGACAACATAAAGCAGGAGCTGCAGCAATCATCAGCATTAAGACTCCACATGTGCTACCAGGGACCTGGGGGCCAGAGTGCTGAAGGAGAGCCCAGGCATGAGCACGCGCCCAGTGAGCAGCAGTCCCTTTTAACAGCAATCTTAGCATGTGTACAGATCTCTTTCTGAGCAGTGGTTAAACCAGTTCTAAATCATACCTTACCTTCTGAACCTCGATAATTTCTTTTCCCAAATTAATAGCATAACATATCTGTAAAAGACAAGAAAAGCAGTGTTTGGCAAAGGTGGTAGCAAAGGAAAAGGAATTCCAGGAAAAAAAGTGTCCATATTAATGAGGTCACTGTCGGGTCACATGAACACGAGGACAGAGAACTGGCTGAGAGACTCGTGACACAGGCTCTGGACAGCAGCAGCACCTGTCCTGATCTGCAGCCAGTGTGTGCTGCACAAAAAAACCCTAGGTAAGTGAAAACTGAAGTTATTCCAGTGTTCCAAATTCTTAGTGGGACACTTTTTCCTTCTCTCTTAACCATATTTAGCCATTGAATGTTTGCATACACAGTGGCAAAGACACTTGCTGAGAGCAGGGTTGATTAATTCTAAGTAGCAAATGCAGTCACACAAGAACAACTCAGACACTCTACTTTCCTGGTGTCTGCTCCCTTGGCTCGCTCTTGGAGACTAGCTTTTCTCCTTTGTCATGTCTGCTTTAATTTTTAAAGAGAAAATTAGAGGAATTCTTTTTAACATTTCTTGATACCGCTACTAAACATCCGCATTTCACCATCAGAGTTCTTCACATACTCTTGTTTTTTTCCTAGGAGGTATTATCTACACTCCTCAATCAGAACATGCAGAATAGGGACTCCCTGGTGGCGCAAGGGGTTAAGCACCGCACTATGAAGCAATACACAGCCTCTGCAGCATAGGTTCAATCCCTGGCCAGTCAGGGAGAAACCCACATGGTGCAGCAGACCTCTCCTGTCTCCCCCGCTGCTCCCCTCAGCAGTGGATTTCAGTAGATCTGCCTGTTCTGTTCCCCACTCTGTCTCTGGTGAATCTTCTCACCCCCCACATCTCTGGCCTGCACCCCAGCTCTTGTATGCATAAATAAAATAAATCTAAAAAAAAACAACAACAACAACATGCAGAATAGTCAACTGAATTGAATATGCAGGGGACTGGTGCCAAAAAAACACCCAAAATATTAAAATGGACTGGTTTGGACTCATATTAGAAAATCTTAAGATGGAAAAACCTTTTCGCCTTCAGAGTTGCTTTCAAAAACGTAAGTGCTCAGAGACTCTCCACCTGTGGACTCAGGTATGCGGACCACGAAGCCAACCAGTCTCTTGTTTTCTTGATGAGCAGCAAATCGGGTGATACTAGTAAGGTCAAACTGAAAAAAAAAAAACAAAACAAAACAGGAATAGACTGAGTATCAACAACAAACTGAAATTAAAAAACAGACAATGTCGTTCTCTCTGGGAAAAGTCATTTAAACAGTGCATGAAAGGTGACATTTAATTTAGGAAATAAAAATATAAAGTGCTCAAAATCAACAAAAAACTATGAACCAGAGACACTTTTTGGGGGGTGAGGGGCGGGAGGGGAGGGATTGGGGTCAGAATGGGGGGGGTTGCAATTGTATGGGGAATATAAAAATAAAATTTATTATTTAAAAAAAAATAAAGTGCCTACTTTGTGTATAAAGTGGTTACAAAGGTAGATTAGAAGTAATCACCAAAATTAGCACACAGGAGGGTACTTACATTGGCTCTTGTTACTTGAGTCTGAGGATCTATCAACCTGAAAATTTAAGAGGTTCATTATACTACAGATATTGGATAAACAAATTTGCAGAAATTCTAGATGAAATCACACAAATAGCTTCCAAATATGAAAACATAAGGCCTGGTTGTGACCATTCAAAGGGAGGATGTGGCATGTTTCCTTGCCTTTTTTATAACTGTATATAAAGCTCAGGGAATCTTTAGTGAGAGGTTATAGCAAATGGAGCTTTGTAGTATTTTGGTACTCATCTAAAAAGGGCAGCATTATTCTCAATAGTTGTATATAATATTCTGAATAGCCTCAACATTTAATGACTTTCCTTTGGAGTGCTGGATCAACTGGTTCTCCTAAAATAGCAAAGGAAATTACAGGGTAGTGGTGAGAAACAGTGAAGGGATTTTTTTCTTGAAACTATTCTTGTACACAATGGTGTATAAGAAATCTTTAAGAAGGCATTCTAGAGTATTCTTAACATTTTAAGCATCAGCTAAAAATCAGGTTGATGTATCTGAGAAAATAGAGTATTGCTATCTTTATAAACAAAAATTTATTCTAACACAAGGTGTATATATTTAAATTATTATTAATTCACTGTTTCATAAATGAAAGCAAAAATATTCTCTTTGTTAAAGGAAAAAAGGTTTTAATTCCACTTATAGGAAATGTCCAGAATGGGCAAATCTATAGAGATAGCAAGATTAGTGGTTATTGGCTGTTCAGGGTTAGGTATTTGGGAGGGGGCAGTGGGAAGAAATCACTACTAATGGGTATATTTTTTCTTGGAGGGGTGATGAAAATGTTCAGAAACTGTGGTGTTGGTTGTGCAATTCTGGATACGGATAAATTGTAGGGTATGTAAATTATCTCTCAACAAAGATATCCCCCTCCTGTGCCAAAGCCACAGTTTTAAATATATGCTTTTATAACGCATATATTTATAATCAGAGAGATCAAAATTGAATTCTAAGCTGGTTACTCTAAGATACTGTGTATATTACCGTTCTCTCAACAGCTTCACCTGTAAAACTGGGATAAGAGCTTCCACTTCAAAAAGGTAGTTAAAACGAGAAACTCTGTATAGAATTTCAGGTAAACCATAAAACTAAATAAATGTTATATTTATTTATATCCCAATTAATGGTTATGAATTTAATGATTTTTTAAAATAGCCATCATAAAGAATTTCCCTCAAGTAGAGAGAACTTTCTTGATATTTTTTGTAAGTTTTTCTATTAATAAAAACTTAAAATTTGTCTGTCCTCTTCTGTAACTTGAACATGAAAATTGCCATTATTGGTACATTCACAACACTGTACAATTAGCACTCTCTAATTCCAGAACATCTTTACCATCTTAAAAAGAAGCTGGATACCCCTTAAGCATTCACACTCCATTTCTCTTCCTCTCAGCTTTTGGCAACTACCCATCTTCATTGTTACCTCTATGGAGTTTCCCATTGAAGATATTTCATATAAATGATCATACAATAAAAAACTTTTTGTGTCTGTCTGTTTTCACTTGGCATAACGTTTTCAAGGTTCATCCATGTTGAAACATTTATCAGTACATTATCCCTTTTTAAGACTAAATAAGGCATTGATCCTGCTCTTTTAGACTACAATAATATTCGGTACTTATGTTCTGACTGTACCACATGTATTGTTTATTCTAAATTATTCTACTTATGTATGTACCACATTTTGTTTATTCAATTATTGATGATCATTTTAGTTTTAATGAGTATACAGCAGGCCCTTGAATAATATCATTTCATTCAACATTGTTTCTTTATGTTGATGAGGGAGGAAAAAAAACAGTGATTCATAGCCAGGGCCACTGTCCAGGTAGAGCTGCACATTCCCCATGTGTGCCTGGGCTCTCTGGTGTCCTTCCACATCCCAAAGATGTGCATGTCAGCTTCATGGGCGTGTGTAAACTGTCCCAGTCTGGCTGTGGGTAGGTGTGTGACACACCTGTAATGGAATGGCATCCTGCCTAGGGTTGGTTCCTAACATGCACCCTAAGCTGACACAATAGGCTCCAGCCACCCTATTGGTGACCCTGAACTAGAATGAGCAAGTTGTGAAATGAATGAATGCAAATCATTGGTTATTATTATATGTTTTGGGTATTTAAAGATTTGATGCTGTTTTGAGACTAGCAATATGCCACCAAACTTAACTCTTGTTTAGCCTATGGTCTCATTATACATTGTTTTGCTTAAAGTTGCAGTTACCAAGAACCTATCAGTAACATTAAATGAGAACTTACTGTACCATTATGAATGTTTGCAAGTTTTTGTTTGAACACTTGTTTTCAACTCCTGTGGGTCTCTACTTAGGAGTGGAGTTCTTTAACTTATGGACGAACTACCACACTATTTCCTACAAACCATTTTACATTCCCAGCAGCAGTGGATTCCAGTTCCTTTATGTCTTAGCTAAGACTTTAAAAATCAAATTGTTGCTGTCCTCAGGGATAAGTAGTATCTAATAGTGTGTTTGATTTTTCATCTTTTTCATGACTAATGCCATTGAGCATCTTTTCATGTGCTTGCTGGCCACTTGTGTATCTTCTTCAAGAAATATTTACTCAATTTCTTCATCCATTTTTTTAATGGGGCTTTTTTCTTTTACTGTCTTTTCTTGATTTGTAAAGGTTGTTTATCTATTTTGGCTACGAGACCTTTATTAAACGTATGATTCTGTGGGTTGGTTGTCTGTACATTTTTGGGTAGTGTTCTTTGATGTACTAACTACAGGTTTTCATACTGCTTTAAAGTGTTACTTACTCTGATCTTTTTTTAGTGATTATAAGAACAAAGAGCTAACATGTATAAAAGGTTTATAACAAATGAAAAGGCCTTATATTAATAAGGGTAAAGAACTATATTCTGCTATTTGACAAAGTCCTAGGTAAGTTTTTGGGGTATGGATAAAATTATTTTCATCTAATAACCAAAGAAACCAAGGTACAAGGTTAAGTGACTTGCCACAGTATTACAACTAATAAATGAAGCCGGGAATGAGCCTAGACAGTTTGGCACTAAAGTAGTGGCTGCTGTTCCCCAGAAATTTAATGTAAGCTTCATACATAAACTTTTTCTAACAGTCATATTAAAAGAGTAAGAAGAAATAGGTGAAATTAATACACTTCATCTAATAGATCTAAAATACTAACTACCTAAAATTATTGAGGTATTTTTGCATTCTTTGGAAGGTATGAGGCCTTAGAAATCTGGTATTTTAGACTGAAACACATCTGAATTTAACTAGTTATGTTCAAGTGCTGTACGTGGCTACATATACTGAACAGTGCAACTATTAATGAAGCCTGTGCTAGTTGTGGCCTCGGTCACCTGCTATCATTCCTAGATACCTGATTACCTAAAACCCTGTCATGTAGTTCACATTGCTTGGCTTTTTTAATTGGATCCTTCCAACAAATATTAATCAGATTTTCCTTGTGGTGGTCTAGTTATCTCAGGCAGGCTCATGTTTTGTTTCCACTGCTGTTGATTTTTATAACTAGTATTCTCAGAAATGAAAAATAGAAAACACAGTCTTCCACTTCAAGGTGTGAGGTCTAGAGGGTCACTTTAGAACAATGGTATCTTCATGAACAATAGTAATCATTCACTACTAAGTTTCTAAAGGTATCAGTTCTTGTCTTTACGGGAGCATCTTCTGGCCAATATATCTTATAAAACTGAAATGCAAAAAGGAGTAGGAATAGAAAGAGTAGCATCTTCATTCAGTCCACTCAGATATTCATTCAGTCCACTCAGATAATGTTCTAGACGGGTAAGTGTGCCTTACAAGGGGGCTAGATCAAGCTATAATTAAGTCTGAAAATGAAATTGAATGTACCTCAGGTTTTGACTGGTTACCATCAGATGGGTTTCTGCCATCCGGAAGATGTTATGAATCGCCCGAGCAGCCAACACTTGTCTCATTGCTTCATAAATTACTTCAGGAGTGTTGTCTGTTTTTACTGCCATCGATCCCAAAAATCGAACTATAAACATCTGTTGCAAGAGAGAATCTGCAAGAGAGCGTGTCTGCTGAGGGTCATGTTCCCTTCCTGCCCTACTCATCTGCTTCCCGGAGTCAGGTGAGTTAGCCTGAGAACAGCTAGAACTGCCAGTTTTGGCTTCCTGATAAAGGCACATAACCTGGCAGGACTGATCCACAGCAACCATTACTGAAAGATCATAAACAAGGCTTAAAAGATCTATTTTAATAATTCACTTACCCAACATTTTAAACTAAAGAAGTCTGCTTTCTCACTTGCCCTCCCTATTGTGCCATTGCCCCTAAAAATAAGGGTCACAAAATTATTAAGAAAATATAACCAATAGAATGTTACAAATAGCTACTCCCATGAAAAGATAGTTTTTTAGAAGTTTGAAAGTCTTTGCACAGATTTTTTAACAGCACGGACTATCTGAAGCTATATAGCTGTAAGTGCAGAGTCAGATGGGAGGCACAGCCCATTAATGTAATGTCTTCCCCTACCGCTGTGAGGAGTGCCAGTGCTTAAGTCCTACTTTTAAATTTAAACAACAGGCATTTCATTCCAGTGATATTCTCAGCCTCCAGTCCTGAAGCTGTGTTAAAATGGGGTCTTGCCAGCATTTTTAGCTACTAAATTGCCTTGGCTAGAACCCAGATTTAGTAACATGGAATAGTAGATTATGGTTAGCTCTACTGAGTATGTTCTCATTATGAGACTATAAATCAACCAACAAAAAATATGAATTTAAACAACATAAAGTCCATTTATTCATGACATCTTTGCACTGAAGAATGGGTTATTTGTGCTTTGGGTTTTCTAAGATGAAAGAGCCTATTTATGACTCATTAAATTTCATTTAATGTGACCAGTCAATCCTGTTTGAATTTGTTTTGTGATGCCAGATTTAGATTTGGCAACATTTCTATGTAGGAGCAATACAAAAGGTATATATGGATATAGCTAATGTAGAAAATCTGTTACTTCCCCTTCATTTTTATCCAAGAGCTTCCCTAACTGCATGTATAATAATTAATTTTCAAAGTGAACAACAGATCTGTGGGTCATGATTTCAATTCATATTTCAAGTTTAGCTCCCTCCGACTTGACTTCACATCTCATTTCAATGGCCCTGTACATTCTGTACAGGGGAAAAAATAAGCACACCAAGCTAGCCACTTACCTTCTGCTTCTGGAAATGTGTCATCCTCAGTTTCACCAAAAGGGTTGACACGCCTATGGGAAAAGCCAGTCAAACAATCACGACAGCTTCAGCTGAAAGGATACTTAACACCTGAACTCTTTAAGTCAGAATGCAATCATAGCTGGAGGCGGGTGGGGGATACAAGAGCCATCAAATTTATTTTCATCTCTCAGAGACAACCTCCCTTAGTCCATACCTGCTCCCTCTGTTCTGATCAAGGAATTCTGTAGCAGGAAGTACAATATCAAACTGAATAGGTGTTCCAGGTGCAATGAGTTGTTCAGCTTCAGCTATACTGACGCTTGCTTTGGGAACAATACTGTCATTTTCCGTCTCTGAATTTTTCAGGTTCTGGCTGGAATATAAAAATAGGAAGGCAAGAAAAAGTCAAATCTCTTTTAGCCTTAGGCCTTTACAATCAAATGAATACTAGTTAAATGCTGATGTGACTTTTACAAATAGAAAGGCAAGGAAGATTTCAATCAACCCTCCATTCTACAAATAAATCTTTGTGGAACATCATTCATGCCCATGGTAAAAATCCTTCTGCACTCCCCACTACCTGTAGTTAGTGCTGCTGCACAGTCTCTGCATTGTTAAACTACTTATTACACTAGCAACTAACTTTCTCGTTGTGTCTTTCTCCTTTTGGGGGAGGTTTTTGACAGTAAGGGCTACAGCTAAGTCATATTTACTACTTGGTATAAAAGGTAAATTGAATGAGTAATACATCTGCCCTCAGCTATCTCCCACCCCATCTCATCTTACTCCCAATTTCCTTTTGCCTGCCCCAGGTCTAGTTACTGATTTCCTTTCTGTTCCTTATAGACACTAAGTTCTTTTTGCCTTACATCCTCCACTACTAGTATCAGGAGTGCACACCTCTGACTCTTTGGAAGATGGCTACATCCCATCTCTTCTCAGTTTAAATGTCAGACATATCCTAGTTAAGTCTCTTCTATACTCTCCGTGATTGTACTGGCATTAGTAACATTGTAGTGTTTTTCTCCACTTTAAATATTCGCTTATCTTTTTGGCCTGTCTTCCCCCACATGTAAGTTTCATGACCTAGCCCAGTGGCTGGGCTCGTAGCAGACACTCAGCAATTATTCTGAATAGCTACATAAATGAATACTAGATAAACAATCATCACAGAATGAGGGGAGATGGCTACACATCCTTAGAAGTGAATGACAACTTGTTTCCAAGACAATCTCTCTCTTTCCCCACTGCTATCACAACATTTCTTTATTGTCAATGAGCTGACCCTCAGAGATAGCACCCCCACCCCCCACCCCCACAGTTCTGGAGCCAGCTGGCAGCCACATCTGTCACCCTTCCAATCTCTGGTTGATTCAGCTGGTCAGTGTCATTTTTTCCAGATATTCTTCTGTGTCCTTTCTGTGAGGTCATTTCTGCCTAAGAATGTGATTTACTTATTCTGGAACAGGGAGAAAAATCAGTTACTAATTAAATCTGACCTCAGATTGGTTTTTTAGAAAACCAGGCATACCTTCTAATTATTAACACTAATTAAAGTATACATTGGCACCCTAGAAAGATAGCACAGCAGAGCTGGAAGGGGACTTGGAGGCCTAGTTTCTCATCATCTTATATCTCACAAAGCTGAGGAGACAGAGACCCAGATGGTTGACTGACTCACTCAAAAGTATCTAGTTGTGTTCAAGGCTATTATCAGCATATCTCCCAACTTGGAGTGTAGCGTTTTTCACTGCGTCCATCTAACATTCTTGGAGCTTTAGAGAGAAGACACACTCACTTACCTGGCAAGGCTCAGGGATTAGTTCTACTGCCTAGATCTTTTTCCTAAATCATTCATATAGTACTCCCCCTAGAGTTGTACTTAATAAGCATGCTACTTGTGTAAACTGTTAGTTTCTTAAATTACAGTAATGAAATGTTTCTCGAACTTGTTGCCTCTTTCCCATTTTTATTACCTTTGTTCCTCTCCCATTCTGCTTCACTACAGTAACAACCCATTGGGTCTTTCTGCCCGAGCCTTCTCCCTACCACACCTCATTCACCCTGTCCCACAAAGTGCAGCAGAATACTCTTTGCACTGGCTCTGATAACACTACCCCTTCTTGCTAAGTCTTCAGTTCAGCTCCATTGCCTGCAACTCCTACTTTGTACATAACTGAAATGCAGATCTGGAATTATCTTTTTCTGTTATATCCATATCCAATGTAGTTGCAGGACCACTGAGTGGACATACAACTCATTCTCAGTGGACAGCACTGAGACCCTGGACAGTCACTCTGAGCTTTCTTACGATATTCTTCTGGGGTCATTAGAGGATACTGGTAGAACATGTAATGGGGTTCTCTCTACTGTGCCACAAAAGATGAGCACTAAACACAGTCTTTTTAAGTTACCCTTTGAAGCCATGCCTCACTAACATGGCAGATATTATAACCCTCTAGTGTTTAATCACACAGAAACTCCCAGTAAGATAAAAGGTGGGATTCCTGGAACAAATCCTAAGTACAGTATTCAGAAATAAGAGAAAAAATATGTGTATGAAAATGCAACAGATAACGTACAAAGGAAGGGGAGACAATCTATTCAGCTGTCAGTAGTAATAAATGATAGAACAGTGTGTAGTTATTAAAATAAATATGAAAAATGTAAAAATATTAATGTATACGTGTGTGTGTGTATGTATATGAAATGTAAACGCATGCCCATATACCAGCATGTGTGCAGATAAGGGCTGGGCAGTAACACGGACATATAATTGTTTCTTATTTTATAAAAAATTTTGTTTTGGTTCCATAACTGTTGATGCTGATATAAAATGCAGCGAGAGCTCCTGACTAGCAGGGTCTTCTACGCAAGAACTATCTGCTCGGACTCGGGGCCCAGTGTAGTGGGAAATACATGGATGCTGAAGGCACAGAGGTTTGAACCCTGGCTCTGCTCTTCGTGTGACATAAACGTGGGCCTCACAGCTGCCCTTCCTGGTCACACTGCTCCTGTAGACCAGAAGTGAACAGCACCCTGAGTGATTTGTAAGGATAAAGTGACTCAAGTCAACTTCTAATGTACAGCTGGTTCTGTAAAAGCTAGTTTTCCTTTGTCCTCTAGTTACCTGGGGCATGAGCTTTCTTGCTTTTTTCCAAAACTTGTAATGGGAGTCACTGCTTGGAGAGCCGTCTGATTCAGTTTGATGGCGACAGCCTAAAAATTCACAGGAAGACAAGCTCAGTCCCAAGTGGATGCCTACCTTGCAGACTGAGAAAAGGGCTGTGAGGCAATAAGGTGCCTGTCAATTACCTCTGGGTTGTCAGTCAGGTAGATCTGTCTGGAGATGTTGTTTATTGCACATATCCACTGCAGAGGAGAGAAAAACAAAACAAACAGCTGAATCCCAAATCCCAAAGTCATACAAGGAAAGAAGTAAAACAAACAAAATCTCTACCTCTTCATTTTCCTTTTTGCTTTCTGCTTGGAGGATTATTCCCCTGAAATAAAAGTGCATCTAAGTGAGTACTTCCCAGATTGCAGTGCTGAGGATTATTCTACATAAGCTGAATTCAGCTGGGGCCCAGAAAGGGACAGCAGCATGACTGGGAGGACTGGAAAAAAGCCTCTGGTTCTAGCTCTGCCACTATCCACCATGTGATCGCGGACAAACACCTTTCTCTATGGCTCTTCCCACTGCATCCTTCTCATTTCTAAAAGAGCAGAAACTCAGATCCACCAGCCCAGCTTCTATCATGAGAAACATCTCAGCCTCTCTGAAATGATCCAAGGCCACCAAGACTCTCGCCCAGTCACTTCTCTCAACCACACTCAAGGAGGAATTAGCCACCATCCCACTCCTTCCCAAGAACTGAGAAATCTGTTTATGGAGGGCCAGGGAACATGATATAATCTACTGCCCTACTTGCGGAGGGACTCCTCATCTCGCTCCTTTGATCATACACCTATGGAAGGTGAGGGACGTGGGCCTCATCCCTATTTTATATCTGAGGGAATCAAGGCATGGAGAAGTTAAGTAACTGCCTGCAACCAAAACGAGAAGTCAGGTACCTTCATTCCTCAGTCATGTTCACTCACCCTGGGAGCAAGTGTATGCAAAACTACGCTGCCAATCTAGGAGAGGAAATGGTCAACACCTGATACCAGCAAATGGGGTGCTTGGTCAAACACAACCTCAAATCAGAATGCCAATGTCAGCAGAGCAGCTCTGAGGAAGGATGGAGCCACTCTTCTGCTCCCCAGCTGAACCCTGGAGCTCTGACCTCCATGGGGCAGTTTCATGATGTGCTATAAGCCAGATCCCACTGGGATGGGAACTGTTACGAGTGACTACAAGCCTGCCATTTCCCCAGCAGGACCTCTTCCCCAGCAGCACATGGGCCACGTGTGGGGACAATACACTAACAAATGGCTCAGCAGCTGAATGCAGAACTCACATCAGCAGGAGAAACGGCCTCCTCAGGCAGGTCTTCCTACCTTCTCTCCTCCTCATCTGGCCCCCCATTACACAAAAAAGATGCCTGTCTCGGCTCAGACGGGGAATAGACACAGCCTTCTCTCTCTGAGAATGCTGACAACCTGCATCTACTGCCATCTTACATACGCAGGTCATCTCTTTCCCAAGGCCATGCATGGACAATCCTGCTGGGACTCCTTATATAAAGAGAACCAGAACCTTCTTCTGGAGGGTCTATGATACTCGGGACACTGCTTCTCCATGGAGGAGTGGCATCTGGGGTGGGATAGGAGACCTTTTCTTGGCAGGGGTGGAACACTACCCTTATCCTCCTCCCAAATAAAACCCGTGGGCATACGATTTTCCATTGGGCGTGGTGATCTGAAAGCAGTATCGTCGGTCTTCACAATCTACCGCCATCACCGAGCAATTATCCAGGTCCTGGATCAAACTTCCAGCCACCGCGCCCCTCGGCTGACACATGAGGTTCCCACCTTGAGTGAAGAAGTAAAGCCTCTCCCAGGTAGTGGTGACCAGCCCCGTTTTACTGCAGGAATAAATTTTAAAGTGCCCATTAGTACGAGGAAGTGTGAGTAGCACCTCAAAGTCTTGCTGTCTTTTCATGGCTATTGGTGGCATATTAGAAATAATGTGTCTCCATATTACAACAAAACCGCTGCGAAGAGTATCAGAAGGGATGCAATTAAGCTAGGACAACCTGAGAGAAAACAGGCTCTGCTCACACTGGAGAAGATGGTCACCAGGCACCTCCAGCACGTGGGCAGCTTGTGCCCATCCCCACTGCAGCCAGACTCTGGCATCAAAGCCCTGTATCTGGACAGAGACACCGTCCATGACCATGCACAACTGGAAACCTGGAGATCATCCCTCTGAGATACAGAGCTGAACTGCTCTGGCCCACAGCACACAGAATCCGGGTTAATTTTGCCACAACTTGATGTTACTCTTTGTGGGCTAATTATAAGAGAGCAATTCAGTTTCTGGCAAATAACCCCAGAACTTTGGGGTTTTCTATCCATATGGATTAGAGGGGACATTTGCCTGTGATCTCAATTCCGTTGAGGCATTCTATCCTGGTGAGAACACAGCTGGCGATTCATCCGCTCAGAGCCTCCACTTGGGAGCTATCAAATACTTTATTTGATGCAGTATTTCCTGTGTAGTAACTATGTGCAAGGCACTAGGTTTTCTGCCTCAACAATTATAGTAATTTCTGTAAAAATGTAACAGCTAACATTTGAGGGCTTACTACCTGCTAGGAATGACCTCATCCAGCCCGTGTAGAGACTTTATGAAGTGGGTGAATTATCAGTTCTATTTTATGGATGAAGTGACGGAGGCCCAGCTGAGTCAGGGTGCCTGTCCACTGATACAGAGTCTTCACACCTGACGATGACTTCCCTCGCTTGCAAACACAATTAAACCCTATCACTCATTCAAAATGGACATTTATATGCCTGAGTTTTAAATATGTGGTTAGGTCAATAAGCATCTAGATGACTCTGAAGGCCTCTTGGCCCTCACTCTCGCCTCGATGATGGGTGTCCTGCACCACCTAGAGTGAAGGGGTGAGATAACAGCCCTCAATGGTGGAGGATGAGGACACTGGGAGCAGTCCATCTACCAGCAGCCTGGTAAATGGAGCCTGGGTGAACTGCCAAACCTTGCAGTTGACATACTGGCTTCTTAACACGATTCTGTTTCAAGCCCCATCTCTCAGTGCAGTTTGGGATCTAAACCCAGAGGCTTCCTGTGTCCCAGCAGGAAGGGGCAATATGGGGAGCTCTTCCCCTGTATTAGGGCACTTAACAGGTACTCTGCAGTCACACCTTGAGAAAACAGGTTTTAGAAAAAGAGGCAGGGAACAGCATTCTCACTTTCTAAGGTTAAGGTATCCAGCTTTCTGGATGAGGTTCCTGTTGATCTGTGGTGCAGACACGTCAAAGTCTGGAGTGTAAACAGATTTATCAGCTATAAGTAATTCTTGCAGAAACATGTGTGTCTTCTCAGCTTCACCTTCCAGGTTCACCTGGATGCTTGAGACAGAAAGTCACAGGTCAGTCACGCCTCATGGGCCAGTGCAGTACTGCAGAGCAGCAGATGGCAGGGCTGTCCCTTGAGGGCCCACAAAGAAAGCTGCAGGGTCCCCATCGCCACTCCACCTCTAACTCAGGTCCTGAAAGCTAGAGGCCATGGGGACTGCAGTCTGTGTGACCAGAGGTGTTTGTGTGCCTGCTGTTCTAAAGTGGGATGTAAGGATTGCCACTGGGGATACCTGAACCCAGCTAAACGATTTCTCTGCTGACGTGGGAGGATGCATGCTCACAACTGTTGATGCAAATTTTAGGAGAAAAGCTTTGATGAGTCTATCCTCAAGGGTTTCATGTGCAGGAGCCGAAGAAAGTGCCAGAAAGGAAGATGAAAACATCTGTCAGTCCGCCTGTGGCCTCCCCTTCCCACTGTACTAGCACACCGCTTCCCACCTTGGTTTTGGCAGCGTGGTGGGGACGCCACTGGAGATGGGAAAATGACCCAGAAGTGGTACTAAAGCACACTGACAAAGTCAAAGGCAACACTGTTCCTTCTATGAACGCCACACAGCTGTGCGAGACAAACAGCTGTATGGCGGGCGGCCAACCAACGGCCACCCCAGCCACATGAGGGGTAAGTAAGTGGGCTCTGGTTTTCATGTCTGTGCACTGAGGTATGAAAAACCCAGGTACTTTAGCTTTATAATAGGCAACTGTCCTTTCTCCCCATAGACTGAGGTCTCCACAGGCACCCCACCTAGTGGTGATGGTCTTGGTCACAGTGTCTTGGACCATGGAACTCTGAAGTTAAAACAGGATGAAAAAGAGACAGTGAAAGACAAGGCAGAAAGGGGTCTAAAGTGACAATTTAATAGGCCCCCTCCTTTTACTTTTCCTCACCTCCCCAGTGGCTAACAATTGAACGAAAAGGTAAGAAACCAAAATCAGATTTTGAAAATCGCCTTCTAGCATAATTATAAATCCAACCTGCTCCACAAACTGATACCAGTCATCAGGAAAAAACCAGCTTGGTGACTTTCAGAAAGGAGTCCCTGCCCTCATAAACTACACCTCTCCCCTGGATTTGTATGAATGCTTAGCTCTGGTTTTTCGTGGGATTCATGCTTTACTTTCAGAGCATTTCAGGTGGACTTCAGCCTAAATAAATTCCACTGCATGGCCTTCAGAAGCGATTTTGAAATGCAACATCTTCAAGAAGTTGAACAGCTCTTTTTTTCTATTTTGTGTATTTTCTTACCGACTCTCAACATACAGAGAGACACATTTACATGCTCCAGAAAGCATGAGAAGTATTCAAGGCAGCAAGTATTCTTGGTCTTTACGAAAGAGGCCTGCAGCCAGAGGGGCCTGGGTACCTGGTACCTCCTCCAGGCTCGCCAGGGTGAGTGTGGACAAGAGAGGTCAAGGGGCCAGTGACCTCGGCATCAAATGTGGTCAGGACAGTCTGAACGTTGTTTTCAAAGACAAGCATTTTCAAGGTTAAACTGCAGTTTGTTAAATTAATTCAATAAAGGTCAAATGCCTCTTTTACCTATTATAAACTAATGTTTATTATCATTAGCCTCCTGAAAAGTTGCAGCACTTCTGGCTAGGAACCCAACGAGCTTTCAAAAAAAAAGCAAAGAGATCTAGTAAATTCTCAGTAAACCTAAGTTGGACTCACAGGCTTATACCATGTGAAACTTTAGTATTAACAAAAGGTGAGCAAGAATTTGGATTTAATGTGGCAGTATCCCTGTTTTTTTTAATCTTATTTCCTCTTGTCATATAATGGATAGGCCTCTGAGCTGCACACAAATCAGGGACTGAGGAAATCATTACTTTTCAACCACATTAGCCCCAAATATTGGCAGCTCAGAAGGGTGCTGTTTCTCAGCGTTCTGGGAGCTCTGTGAGACCCTCTACAGCCAGCACCTTCCCTCACCTCCCCAGAGGTAAATTTGCAGAAATGGCAAAAGGCACACAAGACCCAAACTGGAGTGTGGTATTACCTGTGAACCATGTCTGTAACAGAGGATAAAAAGCTGTCCATACTTTGGGAAAACATCTCTGCTCCCTTCTTAAAAAAGTTAATCTGAAAGATATAATTGCAACATTCTGAAAATCATCTAGAAAAGGTGAACGAATAATTCATTTCATGTGAGAGCAACATTTGGAAGTGGCCCACCCTGCTGGCCACAGTACCGGCTGCATCTCTGGAGCCCTCACCACACCACTGAGAGTCACTCCAAAGCCCCAAGGACTCTGGTACGTGAGAGACGGTGAAACCAGTACCTGGCTGAAGCAGCAATGGATGGGAGCAAAGCAGGTGAAGTGCCTGGAACATACCAGGTGCATCGATAATTACTACTGGTGGCAATTTTTGATATTATTATCATCAGTCTCTTTCTTGTGTGATAGTTTTTTGAGGGCAAGAGGTATGTCTTATTTGCCTTTGCATTTCCAGGGGCTAAACTGGTGTTGGCACATGACTGGTCTGGCCCCAGGAAGATGCAGCCACTGAAGTGGCTCTGAACACAGCTGGACGGATGGTGACATGGCTGAGGCACACTTTGCAGAGGGAAAGCCGAGGTTCTTCCAACCCTGACATCAACGTACAGGGGACTGCGTGTGTAAAGGAGACAGCAGGCACCTACACGGTATAGACGCCCCAGGAGGCGAGGACGACCTCCTGCTGCCAATATCCCGGAAGGCAGGCACTCTGCCCCAGGGTTAGTGTCCTCAGGAGATCTGAGGACTGCACAGTCTGCACAGTCTGAATGTGAAACAGTGCTCGCTAGCTTTGGGCAATGACGAGAAGGAAGTCCTTACTTGGGCCCCTTGACAAGCCTTGACAGGCAGAAACTACAGGAAAGAGAAAAAGGAACATTTTTGTACATGGCCGACATCTGCAACCATCCTGCCCTGAAAAGCTCAAGTTTCCATTTTTTCTATAGCCAAGATTTTAAGAAATCTGAATGTGGGATATGAACTGCTCTACTTTACATGGCTGACTTCAGAGTTAACAGGCCCAAGCCTAGTCAGGAAGAACAAGAGAAAACATTGAGTTTGGAAGTGGTTGTTACCTCACGTTAGCCCAGCTCATCTCAGACCTGGGTGCTGGGCACAGAAATCTACCTCTCACCCCAAGGACAGCTGGTATTCTCAGCACAGTTCTGACATCTTTACATCTGTTCCCAGACACTCTGGGAAAGACGGACACCAACGTCCTGAGTTTTCACAGTACAAAAGCAGATGATGGCAATTATCCTAATGCAAAGTAATATACACACAGGGAAATACTCTGTCCTCATGCTCTTTGAATCACATAGAGATCAACACTGTAAATGCTACTCTGAATCCCTGACTGTTAAATATCAAGGTGTGTTAAGTGAGCATTCTGCATTCTCAGGACACAAACATCAGGATGGCTTTCCCTCACCTTCCCCAAGCAAAACTCCTTGGATTGTGTACTATAAGTTCATGTCTCAGTTTCGCTACTATTCTGTAAACTCCTAGGATAGGGGCTCACATAGTCCCTAAGGAAATCTGATGGACAAACAGAAGGATCAGATACTGGGCCTGATAGCCATATTACAGAGGACTTACTTCTGTGAATACTACACTGGAGCTCATTTTTGTACTCATAAACCTGTACACAGATGACAAAACTTCAGTCTGTCTGCAGGCATGGGACTGAATCATGATATAATTAGAAACCTGTTTGTCAAGGGCCTAGGAAGGCAGAGATGGAGTCAAACAACCTCCACTAGGATGGGTGGTATGGAGAAGTCTGATGCAATGGAATGCCATGTAAAGCAGAGAAGTCTGATTCAATGGAATGCCACGTAAAGCAGTTCCTGACAACAACAGGAAGTACAATGGTCATCTGACCATGAGCTTACAAAGGTGGATGCTTAATTAACACTGATTTGAAAGGGCTGATGTGGAAGATGGGGAATGGATGCTGTAATCATCCAAAATGACTCATGGGGTTAAACCTTGTCTAAGCGAAGGAACCAGTTTCCATGAGGATTGTAAAAGTCTGATGGTGATGGACTATCTGGTCTTGTGTCTTGCAATTTTCCACATGAAAAATAAAACATACCATCCTCAGTCCTCAAAACGCTGCTGCTGCCACCCAACAGTATCAGTGAGCGCTGTTTTGTTCTCCTAGCATTTGTGCTACCGCTCACAGTCTCCTCTCCCCAGAGGCCAACATTCACTAACAAAGAGCAGGAGAGGTGGTGGAGCCCGTGGCCACCAGTGAGCATGAAAGCAGCCTGGATTAAACCCGTCCTTTAGGCCCTGGGAGGCTCCTCCCTCAAACCAACCAGGCTCTCCAGGCACTGACCAAACAGGCCTGGAGCTGCTTCTCCTCCTGAGACTCTGGGTGCAGGACCCTCCCCGACCCAGACTTCTAATAAGCAAGGATAACAGCTCATTCCAGGGAGGACAGACATGACACGAGTCATTAATGAGAGCACAGAGCACACTGGCATTTGCTAGCAAAGCTAGGACATGTGCCAGGGCAGAGGTGCAATACTGAATCCAAAGAGAGGAGGGCAACAGAAAGTGAGCAAGTACACACAGGGGGGCACAGGTCCTTCTGAAGAAGCACCCAAAGGTCTGCTGAGGACCAAAACCCACAGTTGGACAGTGCTACTTTCTGGTTTAGCCCAGTTTCACTCAGAAGATGCAGAAAAGTCAGACTGCCCTATTTATATAATACCTCTGTAAGCATAAGCTGACTTTAGTGTACTCACCACTCAACAATGTATAACAGCCTTCGGAAGATGACAGACAATTGAGCTTGGATGTTTAAAGATCCTCTTTTGTTCCCCTTTTCCCTAAAGGAAACTGATGCTGTTTTTTAAAAATATATTTTAAAATTGTATTATAAAAGTTATAGATGCTCACGTGGAGGGGTTTTAAAATTTTCTGATTTTTTTTCCTGTCCAATTTTGCTTCCTAACATTCCTTTGTCCCTATATCACGAACTGAAAGAAAATTCCCAGGTGCATTTCTCAGATGCCAAAATGAGACCCAATCACAGCCCATCCTGAAAGGAGCTTTCCTGTTGACAAATGTTCTGCAAACCACCAACAGGGGTAGAGAAGCAATACAGGGTTTCCACAAAACAACATCCTTCACAGCCCAGATGCAAAGGTGCTGGCAATAACCTGGCAACGTATCACCTGAGACTCCCCAGTCAAGGGTGAGCCTTCCCACACAGCAGCAGAGGAACGCGCTGTCTTGGGAGGTGAGCCTTGCTCTACCAACCCAGCAGTCAGCTCTTCCTCAGAAAATTGGACCAAGCCCAGCATTCACTTGCATCTGAGACAAAAGGCCAGGGCTCCTCCCCACAGGAGGCTTGGGATCAGGGCCATTACTTCCTGCACAGGTGGCCTCATAAGTGCAGCTCAGGATGATCTGTCCACCTGGAAGCTCTCCAGTGTGGCATCTAGAAAGTTTCCAGGGAGTTGTCCGTTGTTTCTTTCTCTGATGCTGCTTCAATTTCTCCTGAGGGCTACCTCCCAGAATACCCTGCTGGTCTCCAGATTGGTTTAGGTCTCACCCTCCTGGAAGGGTCTGCCTTACCTGTCCTTGGGTAAAGCCTATCATGGGCTCCATCACGGCCATACGCTTTGAGTACTGCAGTATGTTGAGAGCCCGGTAATAATGAAGGGCCGAGGAGTGCTGCTTCTGCCGTGCAGCTGCCACCTCTTTAACAACTTCATTCTTCACCTGAGCAAGAGGTGAAAGGAAAACTTAAGGTTATCTAGTTGCCATGGTAATTCTGTAAGAGCATGCAACTTCAAAACATCTGTTTATTTACAAGAACCATTTCTGTGCAAATATAATAAAACTAGGTAAGGTTTCACCTCAAATTTTTTAAACATCCAAATTAAAAACACCAAAGTAACAGAATTTCAGTGCTTGTGAAGTGGCACTAAGGTGAAACCAATACTTCTGTGAGCAGCATTATGACATGCTCCAGTCAGCATGGAAAACAATATGGTAGTATGACCGTCAGCCACATATATTTTGGTTTATTCATAAGGTTGTATCCCAAGGAAATCATGTAATAGAAGTAAAAAGTTAATGAAAATATTCAATATTATGTATAATAAAGTGAGCTTAAAAAAATCAGTCAAAGAAAAGGAATTGAAGTAACCTAAGGCTGTGAGTCTGATTACTATATGAGGTAGCAAGTATAAGCTAAAATCCTGCCTGAAAATTCTACCACAGTTCCAAGATGGTGTTCATTAACCAGTGTGAAAAGCTAGAATATGAAAGGGAAGTCTATTTAGGAGACTCAGAATAAATATTTTTTAAATTATGAAAAAAAATCATGAACACACCCTCAATACTATGAATTAACAAGAGGAAATGAAAAGGAGCTTAAGTGGCAAGCAACATCTAAGGTAGACAGTCTTACCTTTTCATTCTCCTTTTTTTTAGGAAGCCTGCTATATTTTGCCATTGCGATGTCATGCTCTAAAAATAAAGAGACATTTTAGCACCCAGATGGGCTGAAAGGCAAAAACATTTATTCAGTGTCTCTGCCCACAGACAAACTAAACTCACATGCATCACTAAACCCACGTACCAAGAACAGAGGACATGCCTACCATTGCTGGCGAGTCCAAAACGATCCTTTAAGGTGCTTACTTCTGCACAAGAGAAAGTAAACATTTCAGAGCAAGAAAATTAAGACACGCCACACTACAGCCTATGAATTCCCAAGAAAATAAAAGTTTATGTGTAGAAGGCTTTGCCAACACTCCCTCAAGTGCTCAGTCATTGCTGGTGGCTAGGAAGCCTGGTCTCAACTACACCCCCTCAGGGACCCTGACGGCCATGCAGCCAGTCCTCTCCAGACAGCATTCGAGGTCTGTGAGGGAGAGGACTGGACACATGGGCCGAAGGAATGGTGGTCAGGTACTATTCATCGCGACCTCGAGGACAAACATAAGCTCTGATTTTTCAGCCCGAAGTAGAGAATTTTAATCTATCTTTCCTCAGAATGCCGACTATACCCAGAACCTAGAAATGTCCTATTGTTGCCATTTTACCACCTGGTAAAGTCACCAGTAGCATATTGAAACCACTGTGGCTTCATGGTAGGATTTCAAGTCAGGTAATGTGATGCAACCATTTCTCTTTTTTTTTCTTCAGGATTACATGTGGTACTTGAGGCCTTTTATGGTTCCAGATGAATATCAATATTTTTGTTCAATTTTTTGAAAGCATATGTTAGTATACTGATGAGGACTGTGTTGTATGGCTTCTGGTAAGATAGTCATTTTGATCATGTTGAGCCTTCCCATCCATGAGCATGGAATGTCTTTCCATCTCCTTATGTCCTCACGTATATCCTTTAGTCAAGTCTTGAGTTTACAGTGTTAAATCCATCATGTCCTTGGTTAATTCTGAGCTATCTGCTTTTTCTAAGTGATCTGGAATGGAATTTTCTTCATTTCTCTTCTCATTCATCACATGTAAAAATGCAACAGGTTATTGTGTTTTTGTAACTGGCACGTTTCTGGATTCATCCATTGTTGCTAATAGCTCTTTGATAGAATCTTTAAGGTTTTCTATATAGTATAGTGTCACATCCTCTGCAAGTAACAGTTGCACTACATTTCCTTCCGGATTTCTTTTATTTCCTATTGTTGTCTGATGGCTCTAAATACTTAGTTATCTCTCAAAACCCAGTTCAGAGATAACCCTTTCCAGGAAACTTTCCCAGGCAACCTGTCCCCAAAAGGGTAATCATGTTTTTCTATGTGCTGACTCTATTTCTTGTATATCTCTATCCTGTTGCCCTCATCATCACACATTACAATGATGTGTTTCCAAGACTGTTTTCTTATTAGCTGTGACCTCCTTTAGGTGAGCCAAGAATACAGAGGGGATTCATTAAAAGTTAGCTATTTGAGGGCCTCCCTGGTGGCGCAAGGGGTTAAGCACCACACTGTGAAGCAATTCGCAGCCTCTGCAGCATGAGATCGATCCCCAGCCAGCCAGGGAGAAACCCACATGGTAAGGCAGACCCCTCCTGTCTCGCCCGCTGCTCCCCTCAGCAGTGTATTTCAGTCAGTCTGCCTGTTCTGCTCCCCACTCTGTCTCTGGTGAATCCTCTCACCCCCCACACCTCTGGCCTGTACCCCAGCTCTTATATACATAAATAAATATATCTTTAAAAAAAAAAGTTAGCTATTTGAACTACTCAAAAAAAGGTGGGAGGCATTTGTCAATGACCCACACACTGAAAAAAATTTTAATATAGGAAGAATCACTATTAAACAATATTTTGAAGATAACTGGCACTGAACTTTACCTGTAAGATCCATTTCTCGAAATTGAATAATAGGGAGAACCATTGTGTCTGCCAAATGTTTAGCCAGTTCTGTATGGAGAACATTAAGCTGAAAGAAAGAGAAATCTATTGAAGAAAATCACATCCACTATCACTGACATTGCCTTTTTTCACCAAGAGATCACGCTAAACACTTTTGTGTTGTTGAAGAGCTCAGTCAGATGCTTGTAGCAAATAAATACCCTTCATAAAGCAGTCAACAATACAGGCCTAGAGGTATTAAGCACTAACTGCAAGGTTGCAAGGTTATAACTGATGGGGGCATCAGTCAAACTTACTCAAGGTCCAGAGGTATTGTTTGTTTTGGTGTAAACTGTGGTTCTTAGCCTCAATCTGAGACACACCTGCCTGTGTGGAGAGCACCTTGATGTGCACGCAGTGGGCACAGCTCACTGTCAGTGGGGCACACAGATCACCGTGACCCCAAGCCACAATGAGCTCTGTCACCTTCAGAGGGGGCTGAAATCACACTCGAAAGACAGGCCTACTGGGTACCTACTAACCCACGGCCAGCTGTGGTCCTGGGAATCACTCTGGACAGAGAATGCTTCCTACCAAAACTACTCAGCCAAATTTCAGGTGCGTCTTTTCTTTGGAAAAAAAAGACCTGACCTTTCTAAGAACAAGAGGACTGTGTTCAATGTGGTCCTCCCTACCAGATTGCTTTAAAACTTCAGTCTTTCTCCTCTTCTACCTCAGGGCCTTAGTAACTCCTGTCAACTTAAAAAATGGTCTAGGTAGAAGAAATAAAACTATTCCCATCAGCACTACCATTTTTAAACACATTTTATGTGCCAGTTTTCTATGTTTTATAGCATTTACTTCTCACCCACTCTGCGAGTTGGGTACTATTCATTTTCCAGACAGGCAGATAAATTTCCCATTCCAGACAGCAAATAAGTAGCAGGACTAGGCTTTTTAATCCCAGGCTACTGGGACATTTAAGTAGCTATCTCAAAATGGAAAGTGGGTCACAAAAAAAAAAAAAAAAAAAAAAAGAATCAAACCACATTTTGTTCAGTTGCACTCTTACCTTATCCACCACTTTGGAAAAACAGTGGAGTGTAGAAATTACTTCTTCATCACCTTTTCCAAGGGCAAAATTCTAAGACCAAAGAATGAAAAAGCCAGGGGTTAACTGGGTGTTAACTAAGGAGCTCAGCATTACAGCATCCTCCCACCACACACTGCCCTCCACCTCACTGCCTTTCTCCCAATACCTGACAAGTATGAAAGCACAGAAAACCAGAGCTTTCCCCTTACTGCCAGCACTGCACGTGACTGCCCTCTCTGCGCGATTCCTTCTTTGGCCTTCACCCTTTATCTAGACAGCATGGCATCGTGGGGCTTATTTCCTAGAATGTTAGTAGTGACTCACTTGCAGATGAACCCTCAAGGACAGCTAATTACATCTGTGGGTTATCAGAACAAATGATAAAAACTTTGGCTAGTAACTGGTTAGAATTTACCAGTGGGAAGGAAAGGGCAAGACAAAAGAAAAGGGAGGGAGGAAAGGAGGCATAAAGGCAGGAGGGAGGAAGACAGAGAAGAAGAGAGAGAAGGGAGAGAGGGAAGGAGGGAGGGAGCTTCTAAGAATTCCTTTATAAGAATTCAATGTAAGGGCCTCCCTGGTGGCGCAGTGGTTGAGCGCAGGGCTACGAAGCTGCCCGCAGCCTCTGCAATGTTGGTTCGATCCCCAGCCACCGGCAAGGGTCCCACATGGCGCGCAGACCTCTCCTGCAGCACCCGCTGCTCCCTTCAGCAGTGTATTTCGTCAGTCTGCCTGTTCTGCTCTCTGGTGAATTCTCTCACCCTCCCGCGCTTCTGACTGTACCCAGTGCTCGTATAAATAAATAAATAAATCTTAAAAAAAAAAGAATTCAATGTAAGAGAGTCCAGAACACCGAATCGGCACATAAATATCCAGTTACCCGTTTTTCATATGCCAGCAGTTGCTTAGAAAGCTGTTGAGTGGCCAGGGACATTTCATTCTGCAAGGGAAAGAGAAAAGCAAGATTTGTCCACTGCATGTACAGAAACTGAAATATGAAATATAAATAGGGCAAATGCCGCCTCAGAGAATCCCTTAAAAATAATGTGTAAGTCTATAAAATAGTAAAATATCTTGCTCAGGAATTAAAAGGTTAAAGCTTGCTTCCTCCCCACATACCCTAATAATTTACAGATTGCTGCTCCTTCTGGTCATTCAGTGGGGAAACACATGTAGAAGGCAACAGACAGACAAACAGACATGATCTCTTGTGCTCACAGGGTTTGTTGGAGAAGCAGACATCAAAACATAGTTGCAATCATGCTGAGAAATGACAGGGAAATACTGTGTGAAGAGCTGTGTGTCGGAGGATCTAAATGTTAAGGAAGACAGTCTCAAGATCCCTGGAGATAGCAATGGAGACAAACTTTCCAGAAAGAGGGAACATGTGGGGAAAATGCATCACAAAAATGTGAAAAACAAAAAGTCTGTCTGAAGAACTATAAAAGACAAAGTAGCAAAAGGTGAAGGACATGAGGTGAGAAGGTGTGGCACTATGGCTGAGCAACAGCGTGCAGGCCTCCATGGCCCATTCACTCTAAGTGCAACGGGGTTTACGCTGCACTGTGGCTTTGTGAGACGGTCGGCGGGGATGAGAATGATGATGACACAGATGAACAGCTGCAACGCCCAGGGAGGGCCATTTTGTGCCATTTTCCTCTTCTCTTACTCCTTTACTTTCAACTACACAGTTCACCATGATGTGCTCAGCCTAGAAAACATGTCTTACATTTTCAGGACTCAATTAAGGCTTCCCTTCAGATTCAGGGCTCTTCTTAAGAAAGGAGCAGATCCCCAGGGTCTGACCTGGGCCAGGGATGAGGAGTGGACACTGGTCTGCTATGGCCTTGGCCTCCACTTCCTTTCTAATTCTCCCAGGTTAGAGGTGAGGTGTAAACTCTGCAGAAGCTGGTTTTATTTTTCATGATCCTCTTTTGCAAGACCCATCAGAGCCCAAGTCCACTTTCCTTGGCTCTTTGCAGACAAATGGCAACCTGTTTCGACTTCCTTCATCTGCCCAAGGAACAGGCCAGGCCCTGAAATGTGACTCTCCCCCTTTTCCTCAGAAAAAGTCAGGTGAATATAATGAAAGTTCCTGAATTATGCATCTTGCTGGGGTGCTACCCCTTTCAAAAATACCCAGAGCTGGCAGCCACCTAGCAAAGTGGCAGACAAACCAAGACTTCCACAGCACACCATCCCACACTTAAGAGATGGGCATGCAACAGTTCCCAGTGCACACAGTGCACACAGTCTCTCGATAAACGTTTGATGAATGAATGAATAAACAAGAGTAAGAGAGTCATCCAAATTTAAATAGTAGCCAGAATCATGGTGTAAGGTGGGAAATACTTCCTAGCCACAAGGAAGCAGTACAACGGGGGGTGGGGGGGAGGGCAATAAAACACAAAAGTTAGACCAGGGATGAAGCAGTTGGCCAGGAAATACTGCCAAATGACCATTTTCCATGGTGCTACTTTAAAGATCAGTGTGCACAGGAACAACAGCCTTAGCCACAGACACTGGGCCGCTAACCCTGCCGGGTCAGACAATCTCTTGCTTCTCATTTCTGAGTTCTCAGTGGGTTTTTGTTCAAGCTACCTTGGCATCTGCTGGGGCAGCATCATGTGGACTCTGATTTGCAGATCCATAGAATCTCTTAACAATAGCAGCAAACATTCACAGAGCACTTAATTCACAGTAGGCACCACTATAAGTGCCTTCAATATGCTATTTCACTGGATTCTGACAATCCTGCGAGGCAGGTTTTAATTACAAACTTACATTTACAGATGAAGAAACTGAGGAACAGAGAGGTTAAGCCACTTGCGCAAGACTATAACATAACTCAGTAGCAAGGCTGGGATGTCAATTGAGCTCTGTCCAATTCTAAAAAACACTACTCTCTGTTGTGCTAGGAGATAAGAGCTGAGAAGGCCGATACTCTACACTAGAGTTGACAAAGTTTTCTTGTAAGTGGCTAGACAGTAATTCTTTTTGGCTTGGGGAACATATGGTCTCTGTCACAGCTACTCAACTGGCTGATGTGGAATGAAAATAGACATAAACAATACAATAACTAGCTTCATTGCAACTAAACTTTGCTTACAAAAATCAGAGGCCAGTAGGGCCACAAATTGCTGATCTTGATTTAGACACTATGTCTCAAAAGACCCACTCTTCTGTTCTACCTCCCTCAAGATGTTCTGCATTAGGCTAAAATATTTCAGATTCAAGAAACATTTTTACCTTATTAAGTCATTCTTTTCTTAATCTTAGCTAAATCTACAATATTACTCCTTCCATATCTGTATCCTTTAGAGGCTGATCAACAGATATGACAACCACCCTTCATGCCTTCAAAATAAGCAGGAACCCACAGGCTACTTGGATTCTTCTCTAGAGCTGATTGGCAAGGGTTGTAAAGTCATGGAAACACCTGCCAGGGAGCTGCCAGTGTCAGATAACACCCTAGTCAATGGTGAGGATGAGGGGTCACTCACAGAATGCCAATGGAGCTCAGAAAGGGGGTACAACATACAATAGTTGCTTCCCAAAACTTCTGTGTACAACAAGACTGTGCCAGGTCTCTTCTAGAAAGACCTTCTGCAAATAAGCTGTGTACTTTCAGATGTACATGACTTCAGGCTACAAGATTCTATTCCAACAATACAATTCACTGGGAACAAATCGTACAAAAAGACCTGTCACTTACCCTAAAAGAACCTTTCCTGTCTGGGCACATTACATGAAAAGCCTTTTGAACTAGACCAAATTTAACTTTACTTACACTTAATCCACTTACTGTACACAAAATTTTTATGAAATGCTTTACCAACCTCAGCTAATTAATCCACACCCTGTGAGGCACGCCCATACACTTATCTCTGCAACAAGACTTGCAAAACTGGAGCTTGGACAGAGAGTAAATATTAGTAATGACAACAATAGAACTAGCTGCTAATATTTATTGAGTCTTTTGTAGTTACTTGACATTTCTGTTGAGCATTTTTCATATATTAGCACTTTTAGTCCTTCAAAGGAAGGTGGGTACTATCATTATCCTCATTTTATAAATGAGGAGACTAAGGTTTAAAAAAGGTAACACCTTTCTAAAACTGTACAACTACTAACTGGAAAGGCAAAAACTTGCCTTCAATTCAGAACTACTGGACTCAAAACCTAAAGCCTGAGCTCTCAACATGCTGTTCTGATCCTGAGTCAAAACTGCATCTAGTTAGTACTCAGTGGGCAGACTTGCAGGGCCTACAGACTGGATCATAAATCTCATACTTTTCTAGCTACAGTCCAATAAAAGAGGCTGTCTAAAATTTAAGTTCAAAATGGAGTCCCCATGAGTAAGACTCCTTTGAAATTCTGGAATATTTCTCTGGCTACTGATAAGAATCCTACAAAAGATAACCAGGGTTTACTGATGATATCCCCCACGTTAGACAGAATCTCCCAAGGCTGTGACCAAGGCAGAAAGCGAATCCTAAAGGAAAGCTTTTGACAAAGGAATGTTTGTTTTAAGGGGACACAGAGCACTAAATAACTGCAACTGTCACCCAGAGCTATGTGCGGATGGCAGCATCCATGGTGCGCAGGAATGCAGAGGGGCAGGGGCAGAGAAAACCCACCACAATCAAAATCACAAAAGTCATCTGCTTCCACCTACAACAAATATTTGGCCAGAAACGTTGCCTAAAGTCAAGCAGCTGCAAGTCTCACTCATCCCAGTGCTTTGCGCACAGCTGGGCTCAGGCACATATGGGAGAAGGCAGGGCCAGGAGGCACACAGGGTGGAACGCTCTGTCTGGGGCATTCTTGTAAAGTCCACTTTTAAAAGATTCTTTTTTTTACTTGTAGCCTCTTTAGAAAAGAAACAAGTATATGCATTAAATGTGAAACCTGGACATATTTAACTATAAGTATACAGCTGCAGATGCTGTGGGCATTTTAAACATATTTAGCCAATAATTTGAGAGATGGCAGCTCTTTCGAAGTAACCCATTCCTGCTTTGCTAATGCATAAGAAATGCATATAATTTCACTTTATGTAGGTGACCCACAAAGGAATACTAAGAGTTCACCATGTGCAAAGGCAGAAAGGCACATCTGATATTAAGAGACCAGAAGAGACTCCAGGGACTACGGTAAAATGCTGCAAAGAGCTCACCAACTATAGCTTATGCTTGTATTTCAGCCAAAATTTTTTTTTAATTTCCCCAAATCAGCCACAGTCAGCAAAACTGCTCACAGACCTTTCCTCTACTTTTCCTTCTCTTCCTCTTTCTAAAACTAAGATCCGAAGTTATTCTCTACATCAGAATCCAGAAATTTGCCATGTGATCTGATTTAAAATATCTTTTATGAATATTTGTTACTGATCAGCAGCATACCCTAGTTTTTAAAATAATGAAAAACTACATAATGCTAAGTGCCCCTGTTTTTAAAAATGAAATTATAAAACTATATTAATCTAATTCAATATGTCTAGATATAAAGTACTTAAGGAGGGTCTCCTCTGGTGGCACAGTGGTTGAGCGCTGGGCTGCGAGGCTGCCCACAGCCTGTGCAGCACCGGTTTGATTCCCGGCTGCCAGTGAGGGTACCACATGGCATGACAGACCTCTCCTGCCGCGCCTGCTGCTACCCTTAGCAGTGTATTTTGTCAGTCTGCCTGTTCTGTTCCCTGCTCTGCCTCTGGTGAATTCTCTCACCCTCCCGTGCCTCTGACTGTACCTAGTGCTTGTATAAACAAATAAATAAATCTTTAAAAAAAATAAAATAAAGTATTTAAGGAGCATGAAATAAAACAAGGAAAACAACTTAGATAAAAACATTGACAGAGTGTGTATACAAACAGATACACACACCCCACAAACTGAACAGAAAGGAGTCAGGAAGATTTTTTTTCTTTTTTTTTAAAAGACTTATTATTTATTCATACAAGAACTGGGGTATAGACCAGAGGTGTGGGGGGTGAGAGGATTTACCAGAGACAGAGTGGGGAACAGAACAGGCAGATTGACTGAAATACACTGCCGAGGGGAGCAGCGGGCGAGACAGGAGAGGTCTGCTGTGCCATGTGGGTAGCTCCCTGGCTGGGGATAGGTTGTGTCTTAACCCCTTGTGCCACCAGGGAGACCCAGGAAAATTTTCTTTACTAAAAAGAATCAAAGCCATGCCCATGACCCAGCTGACTTAAATGCCACGGGCATGGCTTGCATCTGTGCTGCACTGGGGCAGCACGGGCCAGACTATCTCACTAGCCTCTGCGCCAGGAAACCCCAAGGCAGGCGGCAGGGTTTCTCACTCGCAGGAGAGACCATGTGATGATCATGTGGTGTGAATTAAAAGCAGTTACAGCCTCTTGGAATGCAAGACCCACTTAATTTTGGCAAAATGTAGCTCTCTGGCTCAAAAGCAAAAACCGCTTAAGAGAGTGTTTGGATATCTCCAAGCAAATGATTCCAGCAGACATGGAAAGGCAGAATAGAGATGTTGGGAGTGGCAGACACAGTACTTAATTAAGTCTTGGGGTTCTTAAGCCTTTTACAGGAGAGAAATCATTTAAGGACAAGAGTCAAGTGAATGAACAGCAAACAAGTTCAGGTATACATTCAGAGAAACACATTCTGTTTTCTTCAATTTTGTATATTTGGGAAAAAACAAAAACATAAAAAACAGTTTTAAAAAAACTGCCAAGGTACGTCCTCCATTTCTGAATGTCTTACCAAAACAAGCAAAATCACAAATGAGCACCATTTGTTTAGTTGTTAAAATTAGTTCTAAAGAATAAGGTGCACTTGCGTAACACTGTATAGTTGCAAATCTGTATCTTCCACCTGAACTCTGGATCTAAGCCTTCAACAGGTCTCTTTCCCTACTTCATGTCCAAGGGCATCTCAAAACCAGCCTTTCAAGAAAGAGTTAGGATTAGCAAGTCTACCCCCAGCCCCCCGCTGTTCTACTTTCTGGTTCTCCCGACTACCTGCCCTGCCATTCAAGTCAAAGACCTGGGCATCAGTTTTCATTTATCCTTCACTCACACATGACCCTTTCGCCTTCAAACAACACCAATCCACCTCCCAAATACCTCAGAAATTAATCCAGTTCTTTCATTTCTACTGCCACATTCCTAGTTCAGAACACATATAATTTAAGAGTTTGGGCTTTGGCTTCTGCCTTGCTCTGCCATTTATTAGAGGGGAGACCTTAGAGAAGTTACTCATCATCAAAATTCTTATATCTGGTGGTTGAGCACTGGGTTGCAAAGCTGCCGGCGACCTCTGCGGCACCGGTTCGATCCCCGGCTGCTCCCCGGCCACTGGAGGAGGGTCCCACATGGCGCGCAGACCTCTCCTGCCGCCCGCTGCTCCCCTCAGCAGTGTACTTCGGTCCTTCTGCCTGCTCTGCTCCCTGCTCTGGCTCTGGTGAATTCTCTCACCCTCCCGCGCTTCTGACTGTACCCAGTGCATGTATAAACAAAACGAACGAACAAACAAACAAATAAATAAAAAATAAAAACATGCCTCTATAAAAAAAAAAAAACAAAACAAAATTCTTATATCTTCTGACCTATAAATGAGTATAATAACTATACTCACCTCATAGAAATAACCAATGTTAAAAGCGCCAAAGCTGGGCCAGGAAGCTAGTATACAATCACAAAATCTCAACTGTCAAAACTCTTCTGAGTGCTCAGCACAATTTCTCTGGATTAGGTGACTCTCCTCTAACATTATCTTGGTAATTATTTTGTTTGTGTCCCAGTTATCAGCAATTCATGGCAAGGACGGACACACACACACACACACACACACACACACACACACACACGAGTGTCCACATGTCATGAATAAATGACTAATAAAACAACGGAGATAATAAATAATTATATATGAATATTAACATACTACTGGATGCGGTCTTTGTTAAAAGATCAATGAGAAAATGAAACAATGACATGTACAGGTTTAAGTTAGCAAGGAATCAATAATGAAAAGCATTTGTTCCCATAATATTTCAATGTATAACATAATGAATTTTACTTTCAAGTAACACACAAGTTTTCTCTTAGAAAGTAACATACATGAGCACTTCCTGATCTTGGAAAGATTCACTTTTGCTATTCAACAATTTATTTTCCTGGTTTTGCAAGTCAGAGATATTTGTTCCTCTAAAGAAGCCTCACAGTAGTTTCAGAACTATGATTCAAGTCTTTTCAGATGAATAACTTGAAAAAAACATCTCAACTTGCCTATACTGACATCGAAGACAGCCCATTTTTGAGAAAGACAAAGAGCATGTCATGTCTTTGAATACTGAAACCACTCATTCACAAGTAAGAAGGAGAGACTCAAATGTTTTCCTGTGGGGTTGAATTAAAAAAATTTTTTTTGATAGCAGTTATGTGGTTCCTCTCTACTGACTCTCCAGTTACAGGAAAATGACCTCTTTAAGCAATGAAAACAAACTGTCCTCAGCTTTTTGAGGGGAACAGAATGAGAAAAGCAATTGTGATTTTTATTTCAAAATGCTAAATAGTGTGGTTCTGACTCAAATCTCTTCACCCCCTGAGAGTTGAAGGACTCCCATTCAGCTCCTCTCCAGGTGAGGGGCAGGTCAATACCTGAGCTCCGTAGACACGCTGCATGGCCTGCAGCAGCTGGTTGGTGTAATCTGTGAGAGTGCAGGCATCTTCTTCAAACACACTCAGTAAAGAGCGAGTCTGTAAGAAAAGAGGTCAGTGGTTATTTTTAAGTGGAAAAACTACAAAGGAGGCAGAACTCATACCCACATATGAAATGGGGAGGGAAGGTGTCTGTTTGGGGCTTTCTTCTTTTACTGATAATACTAGGACGTGCTGATTCCTGGAGCTATAAATTAGAACTCCTTTGCTAATTTGTTAGAGTACAGTGTGTGGGCAAATTCAATACAATTTGAGGATCTAGGTCAGAGAGGAAAGTCAGTTTTTTAGAGATTAAGACTCAACAGTTATTAGCTGTCCTGTCTTTAGCCCTTCCCTAAGTATCAGTGGGTTCACTCCATTAAAAAAAGTGTTAAAAGGGGCAGCCTCTCCCTTCCCATCCATAAACTGAACCCAACATTGGGCCTATCTGTGCACCTGGGGTGTGTTTACCCAGCATGCCTCATGCCAGCTATTAACCACCTGTCTGTTTTTCTGCACTCCTGGACATCTTACAGGAGTGTGTCATTATTTCCTCTTAAGGTACTGTAATTAATTCCTGTGTCTTTCGTCATAGTTTATTCAACCATTTTTCAAACTGATGGCCAGGAAATTTTGTGCATTCTGGACCTACCACTAGTAGATCTGGGCTCAAAACCCAAATAGCAGCTTGTAAGAATGTTCTCCCCATTCTTTTCGGGAAGACTGGCTAGCCAGTGCTCTGAAAGCAACCGGGCCATGTCATTAGCCGGAAGAGGTATTCCCTATTGTTTTCATGCAGAATCTTGACACATGCTAAGCACAAAAGAAATATGTATCTATTGGGTGGTGTCTGAAGAGGTTTCAAGGCATCACATAAGACACCATATCTACTCAAGGACTTTCATTAAGGTGTCTAGTATGGTAGGAATTTAAAATACTCTCTTACAAAGGAGAGTATTTTAGGTAGGAGGGGATCTCTGTTTCAGAAAACAAAACAAAAAAACCTCAATAGAAAGGAAAATCATAGAAATCCCTTTAATAAGCTGACATCAAGGGATTTTATAAACAATCCACTAAGGTTCATTATTTCCCTGCAAATGAATTTCCGTTCCTTTTTTCTTCTGATTTTACAGTTCCCCTAAGAAACCCCAATGAACTGCAACAGGAACAGGGAGCTGGGGTATCAATGCTTGGTTTTGTTTTACAAACTCTGGCGCACTTTAGACCTCACCAGCTTACCCTGCTTTTGCCCAGGGTCTTTCAAGGCTGAAAATACATCCTCTGAGACCAATGTATTCTCTTCAGTAGCAATCTTTATCAACAGCGGAACCAGAACACGACAAATAAGAAAGCCGTAAGACAGGTATCTAAAAAGCTTTCAATGACAGCAAAACATCGTAGACGCATACAGTAATTTGTGTTAAAACAAAGTTCTTCAAAACTTTTAAATTAAAATCCACACTACAGCAACACCATTACCTACAGTTATTTATAAATGTAATCGAATAGTAGGGAACTTTTTTTGTACTCGGGCTGCCAGTGGTATAGGCGCCACCAACACTGATTATGATTCTGGTAACTTTCTTTGCTGTAATTACTATGTCTAGGGGAATGGGAAGGAAGAGAGTGATACAACTGGATTGATGACACTTAATTTTTAAATTACAACTTATAGGGGCCTCCCTGATGGTGCAGGGGTTAAAGGCAGCACTATCAAGCTATCGACAGCCACTGCAGCACGAGTTCAATCCCCATGTGGGAGAAACCCACATGGTGCAGCAGGCTTCTCCTGCTCCTGTCTCACCCACTGCTCCCCTCAGCAGTGTATTTCTAGATCTGTCTATTCTGTTCCCCGCTCTGTCTCTGGTGACTCCTCCACCCCCCACACCTCCAGCTTACACCACAGTTCTTGTATGCATAAATAAATAAATCTTAAAAAAATAAAATAAAATACTACTTATATCCAGTTATTGAGTCTCAATAACTCTCAACAGTAAAATAGAATGGACAATGAAAGTTTCAATGAAGAGAGCGCTTGTGCAAATGTCCTCCACAGAGAGAATGGAAAAACTAAAGCTACCATGTTATGTGAAGACCAGCTATGCATTACTTCATTTAGTCCTTCCAACAACTTTATGAGGCAGATACCATAGGTTACATTCACTCCATTTTATAGATGATGAAACTGAGACTCATCAAAGTTAAGCAACTTGCTCAACCTCCAACGATGGCTGGGCAGCAGCAGGACAGGCTGTAAATCTAGGTCTGGCTGGTAGCAATGGCCAGCTTCCTCGGCTGCAGAAGACTGCATGTGTCACCCCCAGGGTGGACCTCATCAGTGGCCACACTCTCTGATCCTCAGTCCACTGTACTGCATGGAGGCAGGATAGAGGCTGCCTAGAGCTGGCTCTTGTTTAGTTATGCTACAGTCACGGTCTCACCTGTGAGAACTGCCAAAGAACTACATCACAAATATCTCCTTCTTGATACTCAGGACATGTGTACCATGACTCCCAGAAGAGCTCGCAGGAAAATTCCACTCTTTCCTCTCTAATTTAACTAGGCCAACTTCACTCCCGGGAAAAATACAACAAAACTGAACTATTTCAGATAGTGATTTGATAGGTTTATCAGCTCCACATCTGTTCAAGCTTAGAATAGGAACGTTCTCAAAAATAAAGAAGGTATGAGACTAAGGACCAGGCAAAGGTAAACCAGTTGCTGAAAATTCCACAAAAAGGTCAGAAAGGTGGTATGTATGTCACTTCCAGAGATAATAACATCAACCATTTATATAACTCCTATGACATACATAGAGGTACTTTATATACATTATTCATGCTTCATAATAATTCCACTAAATAGCTATTTTAATTCTAATTTTGTCAAAACACAAGTTTAGAAAAGTTGAATAACTCACACATGGTAAATTACTCTGCATCACCAAGACACAGAATCGAGATTTCAGTTCCATCCTTTCTCTACAACCCTACATTCTTAGAAGTATGCCTGGCCAGAAAAACAAACCAAAAACCTTGGATATAACCTTAGTGCCTTATAGTCCCTCCATCTTAGAGTAAGAAACTGGATGTTATCTCATAAAATATTCCTAGACATTTTTTCACTCTCAAGAATAGCATCCCATTGCATAATTGCACAAATTCAGTAGCTGAGTGTTTAAAATGTATGTGTGTAAGTATGTCTGTCTATATTAAAGCAAAAAGCAATTTAACTTCTTATACCCACAGTTTGGCTAAGGAAGAAAACTGTCTCAGTTGAAGAGAACCTACCTAAAGGAAAATGTATTATTAAAAAAAGAACAGCAAACCCCTCCACATGAAGACAAAACCACAAGGTTTTGTTTTGAGAGATCCTGAATAAAGAAAGGCTTGATCTGGTTGGTGAGTGCTGTTTCCAGCTGGGCCACTAGCCGCATAATCGCAGAACTAAGTGTTTGATTTCTTTGTGCATTAGTTGTGCCAACTGCAATGGAAACCAAAAAAATCAAATAAATCTGCAGCAATAATGCTTCTTGTGTTCACCTTAACTCAAAAACATACTTCTTACAAGAAAGAGAATGCGCCCCCAAAGAAGTATGAGCTACAGCAGCTTAAAGCTACATTTGTCTTCCTATCACAGCAGTATTCACAATGCTGGAATGGCTACTTTTCTTATCTATCCCCTGGAACAGACTGTGAAGCACTGGCAGGCAGGCAGAGGCTCACAAACGGCAGTGCAAACAAGCATCTTAATCCCTATAACATTCTGCCTCTCGTATATCTAAGGTAACCAGAAGTATTAAGTGCAGGCCCACAGACTAGTCTTATAATGCACTGCTCAGCACTGGGAACTAAAAGGGAAGACATGAACAGATCTGGCTAAGGTTAGTCAACTACTATTCAGCTCTTCTTGGGTCACTGACTTCAAATACAAAAGCTTTTGTGTTCATTTAATGAATCGGTGCAACCAGGTTACTGCAGCAATCGTCATAACTACTCTACATTAAACTAGAGGAAACAAACAACAGATGATTTCTTAAGACCATTTCCTTTTAGTGTCACCGATGACAGAAAAGCCAGGTGTTAGGTAGCAGGGGTGGACAACATAGGCAGACTGTTCCAACCCAGGCTCTGCCACTTGATTATCTTGGCAAGTTACATAACTGCCCAGCTATGCTAATTTTAATGGAGGGCCAACTTCAAAAGATTGTTGGGAGAATTATGTGTTAGTATATGTAATGCATTAAGAATAGTACCTGGCACATGGAAAAATGCATGTTTGATATAGATAGTTGCTATCGTTTTATTCTTTGCACAAAAAAATGAGCCAGAGTTGCTGAGTTAGATCCTCCTTCCAGAGGCTCAGCTTTGCAATCCAGGCTCTGAGTATCGTTATTGTTTGCACAAAAAAATGACAGAGTTGGGTTAGATTCCTTCCAGGTCCAGGTCTGAGTCTTAGGAGTAAAGTTACATTGGGCACATGCCACATACAGCAGTTCTAAATAAATACGCCCTGGTGATTATCAAAGAACTTCTTCTTGGAAGTAGCTTCTGTTCAACCTCACCAAGACCGTTCCATTGAGAGGAACAAAGAGTAGGAATGATAATGTCTCTAAGTCTCTTCTTCCACATACAAGTTCAATGTCATATACCATGCATTTGACAGAAATTTAAGCTTCCGGAGACACCTCACACATAATCAGCTCCATGTCCTCAATCTGCAGATGTGAAAACTGAGCTGTCACAAGGTGGGATAGGGACTGGCTCCCATCACGTGACAAGTCCGTGGGAGAGCCAGCATTAGGACCCAGGACTCCTGACTTTTATGCCAATCCCCTGTTCTCTTCCTCACAGCAAGCAAATCCTGCAGCCCACTCGGAAATAGTGCATATTCATTTATGTGAGAGCCAAAAGTTCAGAATGTGACTTATTGGAGAGGGCAATATGGAGAATCAGTGCAATCTCTCTAAGCTGGCTCAGCCATCGCCATACTCACTTAGGAAAGCAATATATCCTTGTATCTCAGTTTCTCCAATTACAAAGCAAAAGGAAACTGTTCAAAATGGTATTGTTTGAAATTCGACATTATTATCTTTAGACCCCACACAAGAGAAGCGAGGCTAGACAAAATGACTTCTACCAGGGGCTTTGGCGCCATTAAAATACCAGAAGTCTATAGAGACTTCAAAGAAGCCTTTGAAGAGTCAGTTTTAACAAAAATTAACAACTTGCTTACAGTTTCTTACTTGCCTACATAAGGAAGACCATAAAGAACAGGGCACCAGCAGCCAAGCACACAATCCTTTTGACCACTTATTCTGAAGGGAATAGATAAAAAGTTGGTGCAGGCAAGTTCATCAGAAAAAAGATTATCCAGGCAGGTACAATTCACTAAGAAGAAAAAGAAACAATCAAAAAGGGGGTGTGGGGGGCTAAGTAATACGAAACAGGTTAACCTTAATCTAATTTTTTTAGAGTTGAGCCACTAGGGACTAAAGAGATATATAACCCAGGGAAGCAGGGCCAGGGGAATAGATGTGAAGCTAGGGAAATTTAATGAAGAACAAAAGCTCTCTGGGGAAAGGAGCACTGAATTACAAACTAATGTCACTCTGCACCATTCGCTCTATTTACACACCACCTTTCATCTGCAGGGCTCAAAGGACTAGATGCACATCTCAGACGTGCTCATGAAGTTCCCCCGACAGCAGTGGGGCAGGTGTGCTGCATTTTCTTTTCACAAATGGGAAAACAGTGCCCAGGGAAGACCTGGCACCGCTGGAAAAAGAGATCCAGCTTCTGCCTTCCATGCTGGTTTTAAACCCACCAGGTCCCTCAGAGGCAGCAGGGGCAGCGATAAAATACGATGGAGCTTGACAGTCTGATAACAACTTTAAAGGCACTGCCTCATTTCATTCTAACAACTCCGTGAGGCAGGAACAATTCTTCCTCTTATTTAACAGCTGACAAAAGTGAACCCAAGAAGTGAGGTGATTTGCCTGGGAGCTCGGCTGGAGTTTAGGCCGGCAGCCTTCCTTCTGGTTGAGTTTGGAAAGGGGTCAAGACACAAAGACTCCGGGCTGGGGCACAGGGGGGAAGTGGGGTCCCCCTGGGTTCTGCAGCTCGGCCAGGAGAGTGGCCCCCCTGGAGCGCCCCGGGTTTTGCTGTCCCGCCGGGCGCCCCCTCCTCGCCCCCGAGGGTCCCAGCAAACTCCCGGGCTCCACCCGAGCCGGAGGGGCCTCAGCCCTCGGGAGGGGGACCTGAGCGGCGGGAGGTACCTGCGGGCTGTCCTGCAACGCCTCCTCTAGCAGGAGCTCGTCCACGACGGGCATGGTGCCGAGCGGCGGGGCCGAGGGCGACGGGAGGGCGGAGGGAAGCGCGGCGGCCGAGGGTGCTCCGGGCTCCGGCGACGAGGCGGACGCTCCGTGCCGCGACACCCCCACGCGCCCGCGCCAGCCAGGGGCCGCCCTTAGCCGGCCCGCCCGCCCGCCGCCGGCCCTCCTCCCGGCCCTCCTCCCGGCCCAGCCTCCGGCCCAGCCGCATCAACAGGAAGTGTGGCGAGCGCCCGGGCCGGACACCGGAAGTGTGGCGAGCTCCCGGGCCGGACACCGGAAGTGTGGAGACCCCACTTCCGTCGCGCCCACACTACGCTCACCCCGCAGGCCCTGCGGCCCTAACCCCCGGGTGCCCGTCCCGCGTGGAGGACCCGGATGCTGATGCCAGCCAGGGCTCATAAAGCCCAGGGCGCGGACCTGCAGGGCGGAGAGATAAAGTTTGATCTGCTTGTGACTACCCAGAAAACTTGAGATGGAGCTGGGAGGGAATAGATTTTTTTTCATTTCTTTTTTTTTTCATTTTTTTAACATCATTTTTCATTTTTGAGCAATATTTGCTTCCCCCTGCCCCTTCAGGTGTAGTCCCCAGAGAGTTTCCTTCACCAGTGCACCCATGGATTTTGCCTCTGTGACTCTCCCCACCCCTTTATTTTATTTTATTTTATTTTATTTTATTTTATTTTATTTTATTTTATTTTTTTGTCTGCTCCCCTTTCAGGTGTAGTCCCCATAGAACTTCCTCCACCAAATCAGAGCTTCTTAGTGTTGCCCCAAACACTTGTCTTAGTCTATGACAAATCATTTATTTTATTTTTATTTATTTTCCATTTTTTAAACGTAGTGCTTTTATCTCACATTGTTGGTAATTTTTGGACAATGTATGATTTCTCCTCTCATCATAATTCTCCCACCACAAATCATTTGAACTGATCTCAGAAAAAAGAAAAAATTCACAAAACAGTTTTTCTCTTAGGGCTGAGTTCTTCTCTAGTAGGAAATTGATGTGGGTTTTTGGATTCATTACAAATAACCATATTTTTTTCATGAAAATGGGAGTCAGTATAAAATGGCCCTCACACATTTTATACTGTCTCCCCACCCCTGTAAAACTGAAAGACCACCCTGTACTTCTCACACCACTTTTTCTAGATATGTCTGTGTCCACTCAGCAGAAGGGTCACCTTCATCTAGAAAAAATTAGGTCATCGAGTCATCTGTGATATTCAGAAATAAGCATTTTGGAAGCCACAACTTTTTGATTTGGGTAATATTAAGGGCTCATCCTTGTGTTTTGTTGTGTTTTGTTGTGTTTTTTAGGACTGGAAGGGGTAGATGATCTAGTTCAGTTATTGTCATTTAGAGACAAGAAAATGGAATGCAGAGAATGAAGTGAAAGTTTATGAAAAGGAGAGGATGAAGAGCAGGAAGAGGGAGCAATGGGGAAAGACTGGTCAGTGGAATTTGACAGCTTTTTAGATTAAAGGGAAGGATTTTACGAATCATGTTTCTCTGATAGGACACGTCACTAAAATCCATAGGACTAATACGATAAAATGCAAATTATATGTTCTACAGAAACACCTAAGGCACAGTCCACAAACACCTGATTGCGTGCTATTTTATCTCTTGAAAATGTCAAGCCATCATTCTCAGTTCTAGCCTGACCAAAACTTCCCCTATTTTATCACCTCCAGGGAAAACCTTTGGCATCCTTTCCCCCACTTGTTATTTCTTCTCTTTGGGAAGACTCATGCTCACACCATACTTCTTCCTTTTCCTGTATTTTCTATCAAATACCTTTGAATTAACTTCACCTCATCCAGTCTGGGCACCTCTCCTGACTGAAAGCCTCTTCCACAAGATTAGACTCAAGCTCCTCTTTCCCTCTTTGGTCGCGCCAATCCCCCTCCTCTAAACACATCTTCACCATGTCATCCAGCAAGTTCTATTCTGTAGTGCTTTTTCTTTGTGTAGGTCTCATTCCCTCTGTAAACAGCAAACCTCTCATGGTGTGTTATCTTCCTTTTATTCTGAATAAAATGCATGCTTATTGCTATGACATGCTCATCCCTTCAAATGCTTTCTAATTATTTAAGGGAAATTTTCTCATCCTTCCATCTTCCTTTGTCCCACCCTTCCATCCAATTGGAAACACAAGTTATTGATCACGGACAGACGGTATTTATCCTCCTGATTATAAGATTGTGCCAAAGGGAAAAGATGCATACATTTAAACTTGAAAATAGATGCAAAAGGAGACAGTGCCCTACAGAACCATTCCTTCAAAGGTCTCAGAAATCCCCTTGAAAATCATATTTTTCATATGCCATCTCATCTCCCAGTCAAAGATGCATGTCTCTGTCTTAGGTTTGGTATCTCTAGAGTGCTCACTTCTGCAAAGCAGAAAGGTTTCATTTACTAACTCAAGCCAAATGCATATGACCACTTTATAAATTTATTGGAGGAGGGAGGGAACAGAGGAAAGCCACACTATAATAATAAAAGTATACAATTTAATTAACAGCAAAAGAGGGGAAAGTCAGAAACCTCTTGGCAAAGTTTGTAAGACTGGTGTGCGGAGTTGGGGGGTGGGATTCAGAGAGCATCCGGTGTGTTCCATCAGAGGGAGGGGAATGCAACTTCTCCAGGTGAGTCCCTGGCAGCTCTCTCCAAACTTTGGAAGAGGCTTCAGAATTATGGACTCAGAGTCCATAAGCATTCATATTGCTCAAATTTGGAGCCTATGTTTATACCACTTTTCAGTGTTTTATCAGTGATTTTGGTGGGGCTCCTCAGCAGTCAGGATTTTATCCTTGCTTTCCCTATGACTGTTTATCAGTATCTTGTAAACAAGTGGTTGCTTTGTTTTGATCATTTAAATCTCAATTGTCACCTCCCACCCTTGTCATCTGTCAGAAGTATTATGTCAGTACACATAATATCTGAATCAGTCAGGATCGTTAAAATATCAATATTACATCCTCAAGCACCTGTATTTTAAACATGTTTTTACACAGTGCCATTTTCTGTATAATTACCTCTACATTTTGGGCTGAACAACCTTAGTGGGATTTCTTGGAAGTTAAGAACCATTTATAACATTGTTTTTGCAGGGAAAATGCATGCCAAATTCAAAACAACTAAGTTACAAAACCAACGCTCAGAATACAGCACATTTGCAGATTGTTAATCTAGTTCACTTCCTTTGTTAATTCATCCATTTCACAAATACAGACAGCTCAATGTTCAGCACTGTTTCTCCCACTTATTTTGTTGCTTTTATTATGACTCTCACTTAAATTCCAAAGCCAAACATCCTCCTCTTGAATAGATTTCAAACATCCAACCAACCGTATCTGAAATCCCTGAGCAACTGTGAGGTTGGTATAGAAGGAACAAATATAGACAATTTGGAGTTGCCATGTCCTCTGGGGAAGGAAAGGATGGACTCTATGGGACTGTAATCTTTTACCCATTGGAGACAAACTAGGAGAAAGACACAATGAAAAACAAGTGCTTGGGAGGGTGGGTTAGAGAAAACCTGAGGCTTTGAGAATGAAACAGAAAAGTGGGAGGGAGAAAGGTGCCTGTTTTGGAAGATGCTGAGCCAACTGTAGAGTATGGCATACATGTGGTCCACATGTTGAAATTCTTTCCTCTGTCTGCAATGCCATTACTGCTTCTTTGTCTGATAAACCCAACCACAACCTTCAAGCCCCAGCATGATGTGAATTTCTTGGTGAAGACTTCATTCACTCCTATACCCTCAAACAAAAATAAATCTTCCTTTCCTTCAGTATGCTTTGGAAACACTTGGAAAATTCTAGAATAATATTTGCCTCTATTCATTCCCACCCTTCCAACTAGAGTAAGCAAGAACTCTGTCTCTTGTTTATTTCTATAATTATAGTGCCTGGTACATTACCTAGCATAAAAACAGTCAGTCACTTGAAAAATACTCATTAAAATGTAGTTATTATAACATATATGATTAGTATTCAAGAGTTTAAAAAGTGATATCGCAAATCTCATTTTCATTTGATACCACGATGCTGTGAGTTTTTTTATTCCTTCATTCACTACTTAGTACCTACCATGTGCCAGACTCTCCTCCAGAATCTAAGGATATAGCCTCAGACAAACAGACATTCTTGCCCTACCTAATGCAGCTTATGCTGTAATAGGTAGATAACAGTGAACAAACACAGATTGGTAAACAAAAGATAACATCTACGAAAGGAAGAGAGGATAATAGGATGTGGGGTAATCAGAAAGGTTCCTTGGAGGTGGCCAATATTTGTGCTGAGAATTGCGCAATGAAGCAGATGAGCCAAGCCTGAGTGGAAGAGCAGGTGCAAAGGCCCTGAGGCCTACACATGCGGGCACATGCTCACCACTCTGAGGAAGAACAGAAAGGCCAGTGGAACTGGACTAGAGTGAAGCAGGGAGGAATGGGAGGAGATGAAATTGAAGAGGTACCAAGCACCAGATCACAAAGACTCTCAAGTCTGTGATTGGTGGAATTGGTGCCCTTTTTAAAATATGACAGGAACAGCAGTTGAGCACTGGGTTGCGAGGCTGCCCGCAGCCTCTGCATCACCGGTTCAATCCCCGGCTGCCAGGCGAAGGTCCCACATGGCGCGCAGACCTCTCCTGCCACACCTGCTGCTCCCCTCAGCAGTGTATTTCGTCACTCTGCCTGCTCTGCTCCCCGCTCTGGCTCTGGTGAATTCTCTCACCCTCCCGTGCTTCTGACTGTACCTAGTGCTTATATAAATAAATAAATAAATCTTTAAAAATAAAATATGACAGGAAGCCATTTAAATGTAAGCAACTGAGTGACAAGGTCTGATATCTATTTTTTTTAATAGAGGCATGTTTTTTGTTTGTTTGTTTGTTTGTTTGTTTTGTTTATACATGCACTGGGTACAGTCAGAAGCGCGGGAGGATGAGAGAATTCACCAGAGCCAGAGCGGGGAGCAGAGCAGGCAGACTGACGAAATACACTGCTGAGGGGAGCAGCGGGCACGGCAGGAGAGGTCTGCGCGCCATGTGGGACCCTCCTCCGG